GTTTGTGAAGAGTCTTTCTGGATGGAGAATAATATGATGGCGGTGCTACCTCGGCTGAACTAGGCTATATACCTATAAATTACACGAGTAAAAACTTTCTCTTAATATGTGGTATAATAGAGTTTCATGTTGTACCTGTCGACTTCTTTTTCTCACCTTTCAGCAGATGATGGAAAATTCTCTGAGCGTGCGTGTTTGTGAGTTATATTTCGTCTGTTTGACCTTCGGACAGCAAAGACCCTGGGATGAAAGTTTATTCAACAACAAAATGCAAAAGATTCTTCATAAAATTCCATTGGCTATTAAATTGATATCGATACTTCTAGCCCGAGAACCGCCATCTAAAATTTAGAAAACCACTTCGAACTCTTGGATGGATCTTTGACAACGTCATCCAGGTTCTCGTCACCCATCTCCTCATCTTGACCACTATTCGAGATGACCTCCATCCACACATCGCTCGTAGCGGGAATGGGAGAGATCTTGCAAAGACCCCAGTACACGCTAGAAGCGACAATGAATCCGCAGAAAAAGTTGAGGTTGTAGATATAAGTCGCGCCAATGGGGACGGTAGCGCCAACAGCCCCAGCAAAACCGACCACGTTGATAAGGATACCGCAAATGTAGGCAGTATAGCCGCGCCAGTGTACTCCGAAGGTGTAGTAGTACGGGCCGTTGTCGCGGGAGTGGTAGAGCTCCGAGATTTCAAGGTACCCCTTGCGGACAAAGTAGTAATCTGACACCATGACACCGGCAATGGAGCTGAGGAACACACTGTAGGCGGACAGATAGGTTGTGAACTTGTTCGAGTCGCTGAGCAGGTTCCATGGGCACATGGCCAAGCCCACAGCAGCGCAGATGTAGCCACCGCGGCGAATGTTGATGAACTTGGGTAATAAGGCGGTCAAATCAGTGCCGGCTGAAATGGAGTTTGCAGCAATGTTGGTTCCGAGTTGCGCCAGGGCAAAGGCAAGCGCAATAATGAAAGTTCCAAATCGTTGGCCAGATGAAGCATCATCAATAAACCTGTCGAGAAGGTCCAGAGGATTCCAGATGGTCTCGCCATAGATGATTGTCGCAGATGATGACACAATGATACCAATGAACGAAGTTACTGCGAAGCCGGTAGGAATGGTGATCAACTGGGACCACAGCTGGTCTCTGGGTTTACGGGCAAAACGAGTAAAGTCAGGGTCGTTCACCACCAGCGTCGCAAAGTTTGCGATGGAAGACATGATGCCACCAATCATAGCCCATGCAAGTTTTGATCCGTGGACCGTGTGTCCCTGCCTGATGATGGGGCCGATGCCTCCAGCGCGGGAGCAGGACCAGCCCAGGAATGCGATACCGGCAATAGGCACGAAGTACGCCTTGACGGTAAACAAATGTCGGATCTTGTGGACGGGGAACCAGATCGCGGGCAGCGAGACAAACCAGAAGATGAAGAACGAAACGAAGTCGGCCGTGCTGGTGGAGGAACTATTGAACGTGTCTGGGATCTTGGTGCGGTCCCAGGACAGCCAAATAGATCGAATCATGATGTAAACGCAGTGGCCGCCGATATAGCACTGTGTCCCGTACCAAATACAGGCTGGGAAGTGTCAGTTGATTTGTTTCAGTGTAACAGGGACGGACAAGCATTACCCATTGCGGCTCTGTTGAATACAGGCCATAAGCTTCCCCAAATACCGAATGACGATCGAGCCACAATCTGCGAATATCCGTTAGTCCCAATAACTCTCTCGGGATCACCACTGTTGATGATAAAATACACATACAGGAAAACCGATGTGATACGTGGCCCCGATGTGGCCAGTCAGGCAAATGAAGCACGCGGCAATGGCATAACCGATCCAAACACAAAGCCAGGCTTGCCACCAGGAGAGGCCTCCGATGATCATAGATGACGAGATCATCCATGTATTGATGTTGAAAGAATCAGCGATCCAGAATCCGACAAAGTTCCACGCTCCCCATTGGCGGCGTTCTTTCTCGACAGGTTTCAAATCATAGTTGTTGAGCTATAGTGATTGAAACACTGTCAGCGACCAGATTATGTCATAGGTGGGATTCTATGCCACATCGACAGTATTGATCAACGGAGGGGGGTACTGACCATAGGATTGCCTTCAGCAAATTCTCCCGCGTCAGCCTTGACGGACACGAAGTCCACCACTTTGGTGAGGGCCGAACCACCAGCCATTTTCGTAGTTTTGTAATTCTGGAGATCTAGCTGAATGCCGACTCGACGGAGGAGAATACCAATGAGGGTGGGAGTAAGCGAGGCTTAAGGTGTGCCCGCTGCGTCAGGTGTGTGTGGTATTGTAGGTATTTCCCCAATGGCACGAATGAACGGCGACAATACAGAAATGATACCCAATGCAAAGCAAGCCCAGGGTATGATATGACAAGGGAAGGGTGGCCAGGTACTTATATTTCGGGATGCGTCTCTGTCGCTCCTCATGCCCGGCATGAACCATTAAGTAATCAATTCGCTCTCCACACGAGCTGGACTGGTTACAGGCTGGTCTCAGCGCCGTCGTAAAACAGGCTCAATGTTACTGGCCAGCAGAGGCGGGAGATAAGACACACTCTGGGGGAAACCTGGCCCATGTACAGGCCAGGCAGCGGGAATCCCGGGGCAGATTATCAGCCAGACTAGGCATTTATCTCCTCTAATCCTGGCGGGAGATAAGTATTTGACGCACTGTCATTGGCACATCTCGTAACTTGGAGTGCTTCTTATCATCGGCCGTCTCCCTGAATTCTCCGCTAGTTCGTGGCATCATGGCCCAGAGAACAAAAAGATTATTCTAATTCGATCGCCTAATCGCGCCACTTTCTCCTCAATCGTAAGACAAGCACAATATCCTGACTCTCTAGGCCCGTCTGGTGTCGAAACCAACGCCACTCCCGCAATCGAGGCAGCATTTGCCCCTTCAGCTGGTGTTGGAGGTGATAAGCGCCCCCCCCCGGCTGAGAGACGGAGATCTTTTTACGTACTACTTTGCTTCTCCCGGGCCCCAGCAGCCAGATAGTATAATAGTTCACTGCCGCCAAGCCAGATAAGCAACCCAATCTCAACCTACCTCATGCGTGTTGAAGGATGCCATGTCATTCAGCTTAGAGGACTACGGGAATGGCATCCTTTTTGGGTTTAATTGCTTTCTCCGTGGTGACATAGTATCATCACGCGAGCCAAGATGAGTGAGCTGCCAAGCGACCATTATCTTGCTATCATTACTTTTCATTGAGAGGCTAAAACTCCTCGTCTAACCGCAGCACCATGGTGGCATTCCCTCCCAGAATGGCATCGGTCTCTGCTGACTTCCCCTCCGTGGCCTTCCTGATGGCCGCCGTGTTCCACGTCACACTCTCCCACTCACCCTGCTCGTCCGTCTCCAGGGGTGGGAAGAACGGATGGTCGGTCCCAAACATGACCCTATCAGCCCCGCTGGACTCGGCCGCCAGCTTCAGAGACGCGGGCGAGTACACCACCGCGTCCAGGTAGATCTGCTCCTTGAGCACATCCCACACCGTCCGCCTCGGCCCGGCCATCTTCCCCTCCCGGAGCAGCTGTCCGTCGTGCACGACGCAGCTCTCGATCCTCCCCGCGAGGAAGGGCAGCGTGCCGCCGCTGTGGGCCAGGATGACCTGCAGGTCCCTCACCTCGTCGAACACGCCCGCCAGGAACATGCGGGTGACGGCGATGGTCGTCTCCATCGGGAACCCCAGCGCCAGGGGCAGCACGTGGCCGTACTCGCCCGCCCGGTCGCCCCAGACCTCGCTGGGGAGGCCGTAGTGCGGGTGCAGGAAGATGGGGAGCTTCGACGCCGCCAGCGCCTTGTAGACGGGGACGAGCCGGCGGTCGTCGAGGCCCTTGCCCAGGCCGGACGTGCCCAGGATGACGCCCCTGCAGTACCTGAGGCCGCGCACGTGCTCGATGGAGCTCAGGATGTCCTCGATGCTGGCCGTGAGGGGCAGGGCGGCGAAGTAGAACAGGCGGCGGGGGTACTGGCCGCACAGGTCGGAGAACTCCTCGTTGATCTTCCTCGCGATGGAGGGGGACTCGGAGGCGTCGAGGAAGTCGAGCCAGGGGTTCGCGAGCGAGACCACCGACTTCTGGATGCCGTGCGTGTCCATGAAATGGATCTTTTGCTGCACGGAGCTGTAGTGCGTTGTGAGGGGGCGGCCTGGGACCTTTGCCTGGGGGTCTTTGAGGGCATCTTCGAGAGATTTGACCTCCTCCTCGAGCAGTATGAGACGAGGGTCTGAGGCTTGCGGGAACTTGCGCACAATGGGGATCGTGGTCCGACTCTCCATGATTTCTACATAGCTGGGAGGGTACATGTGCGTGTGGATGTCCACGATGCCCGATGTTGGGGAGGCCATCTTGGGCAGGGGGATAGGACAATGTGGAGGGACGGAATGATATGGAATGGCCACGGGACTAGCGATTTGACGCCGTGAATGAGTCGGAGAAAGGGAATAAAAGATGGCAGTCGATTCAAAGAATGTCTGTCTCAATCCGAATGGATGATATAGCTCGGGGTCAATTCACGATCCTAGACTCGGGCTAGCCACGACAAAAGGCGAGGGGCGAGAGGAGCAAAGAGGGACAGACAGACACAACGCCCAAACTCTGGCCAAAGCGGGGGTTCTCCACACGGCAATTGCTCGCAGGTCTTCTTATCATCTAGTCACACGCCCCCAGATTCTCCATATTACTTCTCCACATGCCCCAGTCAACGCTGATGACCATCGTGATGGCTGTGATACCACCCCTCTGCTCGCCTATCCGGTGTCGGCACCAGCACCAGCCAGGGGGTGCATTGAATCGGGATGCTCTTGGGGATGGACGAAGTGAATTGGCAGATGTGTCGCGATACTTGTTGATGTCGTGGTCCGATGCCTATTATTGGTGTCCATAGATTGGAAGATACTTCCTTCACCAATCATCGCAGTGGAAATATCAAATATCGTGTGTGTACACATCAAATTCACTGCGCGGACATTGCGACGATCCCTTCCTGGAAGGCTTCCATGTTCATATCATCAGGAGCCCCGAACATAGTCCACTCGATCTTTATATCATAGAGATGGCGGAATTTGTCACTCTCCGCAGCTTCATACAATGGCACCACCATAAAGAACGTGTCTTTGGCGGAAAGAGCATGCACCATTTTCAAACAGGCCCATACTTGAAAACACAGGCCGCGGTAGGTCTCATATGTGGCGCCATGATGGACATCACCCAAGCTGTAGAGATCGAAGAGAATCTGTAACAGGCTAACAGCAATGCTCGTAGCGCAACTAAGTGAACGGCCACCCGTGTTACCTTGTACGTAATGAACTCGTATCTGCGACCGACGAAAAGGTCCGGGTCTGGATGCTCGATAATGGAGCCAGAGGATTGCAGCCTTTTCCATAGTCTCCTGGCCAAAACTCCAAGATACCTTTCCGCTTTCGACATGCGATGGATGAGTAATGCTCGCTCGTACTCTATGTCACTTGGGTTTGCTTTGTTTCGAGTGCCTATAGGTTTTCACTCTGCACGGCATGTTGGAGGTCTTAGATCGCCTTCGTATAGAGGCTGGTCTGCAACCGCTGATGAAAACGTAGCCGGGGATCGGCAAATTGGCTCCAAGCATGGCAAGAAAGCGTGACACAGTTCAGTAGAATGCAACTATGAGATAGCCTCTTAGGGAGGTCAGGTAGCTCACCAAGAACCGCAAAGGTGGCCTGTAGATCGGATCCCAACAGAAGCACCAACTGACTGCTCGGATAGGTGCAGCGCTCTGGGGTAGCGATACTGTCTTCGTCACCAAGTTACCCAGCTGTGTTCTCTAAGTGAGACACGAAGAATCATTTCATCTTCATCAGTTCATCTGTATAGATTCATTTTGTTTCTTTTAATTGAAAAGTGATTAGGCTTCTATGAGATCGGTATCCTGCGTCCACATCAATGCGTCACATCCTCCCAGCTCTGCCAACCCCGGCCTTCCACATTCTTCAGCTCGTCCTCTGAGTACTTCTTGCCCGTTGTGAAATACCCAGCGTTGATTTTAGCGTCGATTTCGACTCTCGAGTCGCTGGGGATAAGGTCTATCCATGGTTAGCATACGAGTGACAAGCTATAGAATGAAGAGAAGACTCACGGTCTGGGATGGGAATCCGCTCGTAGATGGGGATGCCCTGCTCGACAATCGCATCGTGTTTCATATTGGACATGGACAGCATCTTGTCAATCTTCTTTATGCCGAGCCAGTGCAGGATGTCGGGCATTAGTGCCTGGAAGCGCATCTGTACCAATATCGTCAGCAACAAGAACAATATCTAAGCGCAAGGAGATTCTTTCAACTTACATCGCGAACACCGGCAATGTTCTCCGTCCTGGTAAAGTACTTATCGGCCGTGTCACCCCCACGCTTGCGAGAATTGTAGACGAGATACTTGACGACCTCGCCCAGAGCACGCCCCTCCTTCCGGAAGTAAATCACCACGCCCGATCCGCCGTTCTGCGCCTCCTTGATGGCCTCCTCGATGCCGAAGGTGAGATACGGTCGGCAGGTGCAGATGTCGGACTGGAACACGTCCGAGCCGTTGCACTCGTCGTGGATCCTCAGCGCCAGCTTCACGCTCGGGTCCGACACGCGCTCGGGGGGGCCGAAGATGTACACGGTCAGGCCGCCGATGGGGGGCAGGAAGACCTTCATGTCCGGGCGGGTGACGAGCTCCGGGTAGCTGCCGCCGGTGTACTCGAAGAGGGCGCGGCGGAGGATGCCCTCGTCAACGTTGAAGCGGGCGGCGACTCCCGGGAGGTGCCAGACGGGCTCGACGGCGATCTTGGTGACCTTGACGTCGCCCGTGCTGTTGATGACGACGTCGCCGTCGACGGGCAGGCTGCCCGACTTGATAGAGTCGACGATCTCGGCCACGCGCATGTGGGCGCGGGTGATGGCAATGGTCGGCCTCACGTCGATGCCCTGGTCCAGGTGCTTCTTGAAGTAGGTGGAGACGTTGTGGCCGAAGGCGTCCATGGAGACGATCTTGGAGAAGTCGCCCCACGCCTCCTGCTGGGGAGGCTGGAACGTGGGCTGTGTGTTCTCGAAGTTGGGGCGGAAGTTGGGGGGCAGGTCGCCGGCGGCGATGGCGAGGGCGTTGTAGATGGCGTAGCTCCCGCCGTGGGCGCCGATGGCGTTTCGCTTCTTGAGGGTCTCTTTCGATCGGGAGACGAGGATGGGGCCTCGCTTCTCGGGGTCTGCGTTGCCCCAGTTGAGCTCTACGGGGTCGACGACGCTTTGGCCGGGATATGTGGTGAGCTGGAGTCTGGTGAGTACATGCTCGGTTCAGTCGCGGTGTTCTCACTTCCGGTACATACCACAATGCGATCTTTGAACTTTTCGCTGAGGGCATTGGCCCAAGGCTCCGACCCGTTGGTGGCAGCCATTGTATGTTGAGGGGAGGGGGGAGAGTGTGATGAAGGGATAGATGGATGGATGACCCAGCCAAAGAAGACGCAATGACAATGAAACAGATGGATGAAGATGCACGAGAGAGACACGTACGAACGAAGGCTTTAAGATGTATGCCCTCGATGCTGGGACATTTTACAGAGGCCCTTCCCTGGACCGCCTTCAACTTAATTCCCTGAGCCATCACTATCGGGGTGTTGATAAGAACACTGCAGCTGTGATAGTGAGCAAGCAAAAGGGGGTGTGTGATCAAGGATCAGGGACAGATCCAAGCAGAGCGAGATACAGTTACCCACTTCCCGAGTCTCCACCATCTGCCATCCATCCTTTAGCTTCCTGGAATCATGCCCCAACGGCTTAGATACACTCCTCCCCTGCTATCTATCTGTCCGGCCTGGCGTGCATTCTTCCCCTGGCAATCAACAATCAAGCTTGCCTCCAGGGTCGATACTGGCCTTCGGCAAGCACGTGGGAGGGACGGGAGTCGTGGGGAGGTGTGCCGATAACCTGCATGTTGAAAGGGGTCAAGGGTGAAAAGAAGGATATTCGAAGAATCTTTGCTACCAGAGCCTCATCTCAGGCACGACATCAAGGACCGCTGCTAATATTTCTACAGATTACCTGATTGCTCAGGCTGGAGATCGGAATGTCGGGTCCTGTTAAACCCGTGGTAGCACCCAAAGCAGACGTCCGAGTTGGACATACCAATGGAGCAACTGGGTTCATGCAGGCATTGATTAAATTAATCGACCTTTATTTGGCAAAATGAACTTGATGTTGACTTGAAAATCCTCTCATTGATTGATGTATTTTGCAATTTGACCATGGTTCTAAACTAATACAGCGTTCCGTCACTGACCACCAGGATGGGGCTCGACTTGGTGTTTGGCCGCAGACTGGCTGCCAGCTCCCGGCCAGACTTCCATGTACCAGCCTCGAGCATTTGGGCCATGCTCAAACTGACCCCGCGTGCTTCAAAAGTCTTGGATACAATCTTGTGTAGTTCATCCAGGAGTGCCACCGTCATCGCTCGCCACTCGACAATAACGTCGGAGGAGGCGTCGAATTTAGGCAGAGCCTCTCCAGAAGCCGCGACGCCCTCCTTCAGGTCGTCGTCCTTGAGAGTGAGTACCTCGAGATCGACGAACAATCCACCGTTGCGGTATTCGGGCAATCCGGTGCCAAGGGTGAGATTATCCCAGCTGTAACCAAGCTGGCGCGTGAAGGGTACCACAAGTGAGTAGCCGAGCCACTGGGTCAGCTTGTGGAAGGGCTGGATCAGGCTCCTGGAGCTCGAGTTGCCCTCCTTGATGGCCTTGGCAGTAAGAATAGCGAGCGGCCAGGCGTCTCCCACAGGCTTGCCGTCCACAACAGTGCGGTCGCTGGGCCAGGATGGAATGAGAAGCTTCTGCAGGCAGGACCACAAGGTCTCATAATCAAGAGCTTTCTTGTCTCCAGCCTGAGCAATCAGGTAATCTGTAGAAATATTAGCAGCGGCCCTGATGATTCATAAGGCGAAGAGTGAACATACCGACAAGCTTCCCAGGTCGTCCAGCTTCTCCAAAGATCTCTGGAAGCGATGCCAAAGACCGCCCGACTGACTGGAGCAGTTCGATTCTGGATGACACTCCTACCATTGGGTTTGATTCGGAGATCTGGAAGGACTTGGAGAAGACGGACTCTTGGAGAGATATCAATCCCTTTGCTACGAAAGGATTAGCAACCCGGTGATTTGGTTCATCAAGAGGCCTCATTTACCATCAACGGAAGTCTTGGAGATGGCGCCCGAAGAGAACTCGCCGGCGAGAAACATGTACAGGGAGGCGACGGCGATGCCTTCGCTGCGGACGTAGCTCTGGTCGGTGCCTGGCTCCTTGAAGCTCCAGACGTCACCAGCACCGGCGTCGAGAAGAACCGAGACAAAGAAGAGATCAATGAGGCGGCGGGTGATCTCGACATTGTCGACACCCTCGTCAGCCCAGCCCTTGATGAGCGAACTGACGCGGGGCACGCCACCAATCTCGAAATGCTGCCAGCGGCCGTGAGGGGGGATCTGGTCGAACCTGTCCGGCCCAAAGTCGCGCTGCCAGATAAATGTCAACATGATTGATTCCTAATGCTTGACCGGAGCACGCTTACCTCGATCAGCCCGACGACATACTTGGCGGCATCGTCCATTTTGGCAGCATCGAAGTTGAAGTGGTTCAGACCGCCTTCTTTGGCGGCGGCGAGGACGACGGATGCCTGTGCCCGCACGGCCTGGAGGGAGAGGATGTAGTCTCTGTCGGATGCCATGGTTGTGATTGTGATTATGATTGACTATGATGAATGCAACGTCCGTCGCAGGTGCGTAGGAAGAATGGATTGATGGTGATGTGATGTTTGTAGGATGGAGAAGGCGGTGGGCAGTGTCTGGAGCCACGTCACGTCACGCGCGATGTCAGTCCAGTCTAATGCAGGATGTTTCTGTCTCTGTTTTTTAATGGATGAGGGGAGAAAGTTGTCTCGTGCTGCTGGAGCCAGAGGCAAATGGGAAGGAAGTCCAGCTGTTGGGCACAGACACACCGCAAGATCTACTGCTAACTCACAGCGGTTGCAACGCCTATCCTCCAGGGCTGATACACTAATTCCAGTTACCCTATTTTACCGTGTGTGCCTGTTCGCAGTGATCGATTCAACCTGCACCCCTCCATCACTTCACTCACTTCGTCGCTTTTCCCCTCTGCTTTCATCTCAATTAACTCTATCCATATCCACAATCCAGATGGATAGCAGTGGATAGCAGCAATCTCGATTCCTCCTCGTTATGATCCCGCACTCTATCTCGGCTAGCTACACCCCCCGCCCAGCGTGTCGATAGCACTAAGGTACCTTAGCCTGATAACGCAGTGCTGGGCCAATCTCATCGCTGTTATCGCACCCCTCCTCCTCCCCTCTCTCTCACTATCGCAACTGGCACTCAAGTAATGCCACACCAACCGGACGGCACAGACAGGACGAGACACTTACTACCCGCACGCTCTCTATAATTGACTTGGGACAATCAGCCATCTGTGCCGTCCGTACGTTCGTCAATCTACACCGTTAACATAAACATATTACCTACCTTTGATCCCCTCGTACGATCCATCCCATCACAGTCATCCAGTTGACTGGCATCACGTCCAGACCAATCTTCTTTTCATCCAATCACAATCACACACACATCAGAATGGCCTCCAAGATCGTAACATGCTCAAAGAGCGAGTTCGCATCTGATCTCGAATCCCTCCGCGACCGCTCAATCAAGCCCACCAAGGTCCGCCAGCTCGTCAGCGAGCTCACCAAGTCAGTCGTCCAGGATGTCATCACAGCCCCCGACGCCGACGAGAAGCTTGCCATCATTGTCATCCTGCGGTCCGGCATGGCCATGAGCGACTCCTTTGTGTCCCAGCTCCCAGCCGACGCAGACGTCTCCATCTACCACCTCGGTCTGTTCCGAGACAAGACTTCGCTCCAGCCCGTCGAGTACTACAACAAACTGCCCGCCAAAGACCCCAAGATCAAGCACGCCTATGTTCTTGACCCTGTACTTGCCACTGGTGGTACCGTCACAGCAGCTATCAACATTCTAAAGTGCGTTTGACCCCCTCCACTACTACACTCTCATGTTGCAATGCTAATCATCTTCGTCGCGCACAGAGACTGGGGCGTCCCCAAGGTTACTGTCGTCAACATCCTTGCTAGCAAAGTCGGCCTTGCCGCCGCCTCAAACGTATGGCCAGAGAGCACAGATTTCATTGTTGGGGCGATAGACCCAGAGGTTGATGCAAAGGGCCACATTCAACCTGGCATTGGCGATATTGGTGATCGTCTGTACGGCACTGGCGCTTGAATTTCATTAATGTAGTGTTAATAGACAATTTATACAAAAATGCACAGATCAAACTTATCCCATATCCTCGTGTAAATGTTCAGATGAAAAGAAGTGTTGATCTATGTCTACCCTAGCAACTGGGTGAATAGGATATCAAGTTGGAGAGCACTCATAAGTTGACCACTTCCTAGAACAATACAGACATTTTAAGCCATGTAAATTGGAAATCGGTAGCTTTTACATGTTACCATTGGCTCTCAAGAATATGACAATGCTAGGTGTAGACGTTAGAATACGGTAGGATAATGTTTGAGTGCATCCGTTCCAATGTCCCCGGGGTAAAAAGGCAGCAAACAATATGCCATTTTCTCAGCCATTGTCACATAAAATGGCAACGCCTTCAGAGTCCCGGCAGACCTAACTGACATCTACTGCTTCCCCTTACCAAGAGCTGCCACGACTTCTGCCGCAGCTCTTTCACCTGCCCTGATGGCCCCCTCCAGATACCCCTTCCACTCATATGCAGTCTCTCCGCCTCCAAAATGCAGATTGCCATGTGGCTCTCTCAGGGCATCCCCATACTTCCTAAGCAACCCGGGGCCCATGGCGCTGGTTGGCGCCCCCCATAAGAACTCTTCCTTGGTCCACTCGACATAGTTGATCTCCAGAACATCGCGCGCTTTGCCCGCAAGATCCTCGCCAACAAGCGATCCCAAGTGGCTGAGGACGGAACTCTTCCTCTCCGCATCGGAAAGCGCGTGCCATCGGGTCGCAATCTCACCGGCGATGAACACAGCAAGACTGTACTGGGAGCGCGCAGGCTCCGACGTGTCCCAGCTGAAGCAGACCGGACCGGAGACCGACGTGAATTTGCCAACGAGGCCTGCGTTCCTCCACCAAGGCTCCTTGTAGGACAGGATCATTTTGCCGTAGATGCCCGGCTTCGTGTTGGACACGAGAGTCTCCTTCTTCTTTGGCAGGGGTGGGGAGAATGTGATGTTGCGGTAGGTGTTGGTTGGGATGGCGATGATGACTTTCCTCGCTTTGAAAACTTTCCCGGTCTGCGTTGTGACGATCGAGGTATGCTTGGACTGCTTGATAGTCTTGACGGGCGTGTTGACTAGGACACTTCCAGGGGTCATGGCCTTTGCCAAACTTGTCGCTATCGAAGTGGTTCCTATCAGGTGTCAGCAGAGATTCATTATAACCAAGCCGTAAATTGTGTCAACATACCTTGTTTGATCTTGAGGTACTGAGCCCCGCCTTTGTCCTCACTATTCAGACTCTCTAATCCGAGGCCAGATTTAATGTAGTCCAGCAGATAGTGAACACCGGTCTCATAAGGCTCCCGTCCCACGAGAGCTCTTGTCAGATGACCTGCGAGACCGCGGGCATGCGAAGAATTCCCATAACCGTGCAGGGCAATCCACTGATCAATTGTAAGATCCTGGTCTTCGGGATAGTCTTTCCAGTACGTGATATTGACCGCCTCGGCCGCCACGGAAAAGTTGCCCAGGAGACTGATTTCTATCGCCGCATCCTCTTCGTTACCGGCCTATGAGACAAAGCTGTTAGATTATTCAACATGCTGGGGATTTGGCTATCCGCCTACATTTAGACTCCCTGGAGGAACCCTTCTCGCTTTGCCGTCAGGTCCTTGAAAGACCGCATCACCTGCAGTGTATTGCACCGCGGTGTCCAGTCCAAACTTGTAAACCAGAGCTGAGACTCTTGGCTGGGTGTGGTTGTTGATCCAAGTGGCACCCAGTTCAATGATGCCATCGCCGCTCTTTCGGGCCACTGAACGAGACCTGCCGCCAATCGCCCCCTTGGCTTCGAGGACGACAGTGCTCAGGCCGGACTGCTGCAGATCGTAGGCGGATTTGAGGCCTGAGAATCCACCACCTACGACGACAACGTCGACTTCAGTGTCACAAGCTACTGCATCGGCGCTGACCATGAGGGAAAGGCAGGCTATTGCCTGCAGTGCTGCTGCGAGCGATGGAATTTTGGTAAGGGTCTTCATGGCTATAGAAGCTTGAATGATGAAATGCGTGCTAATTGTTGATTGTTGATTGTGACTATGTCATGAGAAGCTGAGGATATCCGCAACACAATCAGGGAGACATGTTCAGCCTCTTTATAGTCTCCATTTCCCATCTAGAGATGAGTACTCTAATACATACAGTCTCACCAAGATGAATCTGACAACGCGAATAATTTGTCCCTATCGTGGCACAGCGAGCATCATTCCCTATTCCAGATCCTAGGGCGCGGCTTTCTCGGCTGTGTAAGATGCGGGACCCATTCCAACCGCGCTGTGCATGGCGCTAACCCTCATCCAAGGCTCTCTCCATGTAACCATCCTCGAAGCCGGTAATCCTTGGCAGATTACGTGGATGTCCGCGGGTCCCTAAGGCTCATATTAAGCATGGATGGAGATCTCCTTGCCCCATTCCAACCGCGCTCGCGGGAAATATTCCCACATCGTGTCCAGCATGGAGTCTCATAGACCCCCGCGCCACTCCAGAACGAGGACTGGATGCTTGACCTGTCGCTCTCGAAAGAAGAAGTGTGACGAAGTCAGGCCGCGATGCGCGGGGTGTCGACGTAATGTGCTCGATTGCACATGGCCAGCATATGTTGCCTGGAACGGAGGCAGCCAGACAGATGCCATGCAGCCGCGACCCGGGGATGATGATCGTATCGATAATCAGGCACGAGTACAAGCCTCCCCTGGCCCTGGCCAGTATCCAAGCATTTACACTGGGGATGATCGGGCATGTGCGCTCACGCCTCACTCTGTCCTTCTGCTTGGGCATTTTGCCAGGGAAACTGTATCCTTCTTCGCCATGACACCTCTTAAAAACAATCCCCTCCTCACGCTTCTAATGCCTCTCGGTTATATGGACGATCTGCTCATGCATGGCCTCTTGGCCCTCGGCGGCGCCCATTTGGCACACAAGAACCCTACCAATATCGTATTGGCAGATTCAACCAGGCTACATTACGCAAACCTCATCAGAGGCTTGAGAACCGAAATTGCACGCCTCGATGACAACGACCTGGAGTGCAAAGAAAGACTATTAAGTGTTTTAGTCGTCACATGTCTTTACGAGGTGAGTTGAGCCCAATCATTCGTTATACCGCAGGGATGCTAACATCGAAAGGAAGATTGTTTCTGGGAATACCCAAGGTGCAATGTTCAAACACCTCCATGCCAGTCGGGGACTTATTTTGTCGCTTCTCGACGATGGATCAACTAAATCTACATCCTCAATAATTAATTGCGAAAGACTGAGCTTCAGCATTGAGCTGTACAGATATCTGGTCTTTTCGAACACGCTTACGCCATATGGAAGTCCTTCAGAGCGTTCCTTGCCTTTGGACCCATTTCTGGCGAACATTGAAAAGCCTCAAATGACAGTACCTTTGAGCCTTGAGCCTATATTTGCCGGAACCTGCGGGCTGTTCCGACTCGTGCCACTGATAAGCGTGATAGCTTCACAAAGGCTCAATGAAGAGTCGCGAGGTCTCGATTCGCCATCGCTGAATCTTATTAGGATAAGCGATGATCTCTACAACCGTATCCAATCTTGGCGACTTGATCCCCGGTACCAGGAGGGCGATGGCGACAGACGAGAGCAAATCAGCCGTGTGGCCGAGATGATACGACTCGGCCTGTACATCTACCTCAAATCGGCACTCGCCGGCTCAGTCATCTCCGACGCAGCCGATCTGTGTGCCATCCAAGGCCATATAAGCCAACTGTACAGCTACGCCCATGTGGTCCTCGCCTCGCCGTATACGGCCATCTTGCTATGGCCTGTCGTGATTGCGGGGTCCTGCACGCTCATCCCTGACGAGCAAAAGGTCCTCCTACGCGAGATATACTCGATGAAGTACGGCATGAAGCACATGGCTATTGTTGGGGATGTCCTGCAGCTGCTGTGGGATGATCCGGATCCTCGGGCGTATGGTCCTTACGGGCTACATTTTATAATGCAGAAGCACGGTTTGTGTGTGGGACTCGCATAAGGGTGCATGATGGCAATCCCAGGGATTATACAGAAGAGATAAAAATGATTTCATTTATCGCAAACGTCCCCATGCATATGGAGAGTATAACAGGGTAGACTCGAGTCGGGTTACCATCCTTTCTTGTATTGGATGCTTTACAGGCAGATCGTTTTCGCTTCCTTCTAATATTTTGCTATTCAAATTTGGAAAGCAACTGTTGCATAGTGAAGGGCAACATATCTTCATGAAATTTTTCTTTCTTTCTAGCCTTATCGCGCGTGAAAGAACAAATATCGCTTCAGATTCTGTGTTATGATCACTAAACAAACTTGATATACCTGTGAGTAAACGTGCTCGATCACCTAAGAGTCTCACCTTGGGTTAGTTATAGCCATCACCAGATTAAAGATTGAATTAAATGAGATGTTCAATCTTTCATGTTCTTCTCAGAGCACTTTTCCCGCTGTCTACGAGCAGAGCAGAGCTTTGGATCCCGCCTACCCAGATTAATGACTTGCAGCTACCCTAGACGGTTGAGCTTCACTCCCAACTGCAATGCCCACCAATTGCCATCATGCTTCGTCGGTGATCAATATAAGGACTATTTTAAATGTCTTTTGAGTTGATTCTCATTTATTTCTTACTTATATCTTCTGATGTGTTATAAACTGACCCTAAACTACCTGCAGGCAAAGGGCAGCTATTCTACGTTTGGCCAGCCCACATTGTCGCCAACCGGCACAAGCCATCATGTACCTTCATTTCTCTTTCATATGAAGATCAAATGCTTTCATCGCTAGAAACCCAGAAGAACGCCCGCTGCGAGGCTCAGCGTGGCTGCCTGCGATGGAGTCTTGCCCGAGGGCCAACTGACAGCGATTCGGTTCATCATTCCCTTTGCACCAACACGCGGTGATGGCATTGTTGAACAATGGCCGCCCCGTTTCTATTGTCTCGTCCGGGGTTTCCCGCTTTCAGTAAGTTCTGACGTTCTGCCGCCCGGTTCTTCTTAGAACAAGGGCAAATGAAACAGCACGTGGGCTTGGTAAAATCGGGGCACCAACCAAATACCCTTGGACAAGATCATCCCACTGGGCAAATCTCCCCTGGAATCGACTCTGTTGGTGAGTTCTATGGGACAGGGGTGAACATAGGCAGCAGTTTGGCCGCCAACACAGCCGCAATCAACCATCTTCATATACCTCATCTCCGCCATCACGAATACCTCACTCTCCATCCAACACGTTCACAATAAGCGCGCCAACATGGCCATGGCATCGATCTGGTACACGGGCAAGGCAGCCTTTTTATTAGGCGACATCATCTCCACACTCCATGCCGACGAAGTGATCCCCGAAAAGAAACTCAAAAAGGTGGCCGAATATACCTACAGACCGTACGTACCAAGCTCACTCCGTCGCATCCATTTGTTGTTGACCTTCCTCAAGGCATGTCCAGGTCGAGAACCTCTGCGAGCTCTTATACGCAGATGCGCTCAAGTGGCGCGACCGCCCAGTCCAGGCATTTAAGTCGCTGCAGGTGATTGACTACTGCGCGCACGAGGGCTCGCCCAAGTTCAAGGAATGGGCGAGCCAGCTGCCCAGCTCCCTGGACAGCGTAGTGGAGGAGGAAAAGGCGCCCGGGGAGGGGGGCGACGACGACAAGGACGACGACAAGTCGGTGCAGTTTGTGCGCGTCAAGAAATATGCCGCGGAGCTGGCCGCCCTGCTGCGGGACGAGGCAACCCTGGCGTCCGAGCAGGCGGGCTCGACGATCTGGAAGCACAGGATGAACAGGAAGATCCTCAGGCCGTGGGGGGCCGGCGACTTCGTCAACGTGCGGGATGTGCCGGACGGCGCGGCTCCTCCTCCGCCGTACGCCCCCTTGGACCCCTCTGCTGGAGAGTCCTCTGCAAGCCCGGTCGTGGATTTGCCTGAGACGATCGCCGGTAGGCCTAGCAGCCAGGACGTCTTCCTCAGCTCGCGGCGCAAGACGCCCACCCTCGTCAAGGATTCGATGCTGCAAACGACCTTTGGCGACGATGGCCGTAGTGTCTATCATGTTTCATATGTGGCTGATGCTGGAAACCAGCAGCGGCAAGTAAGAAGAGAGTCCAGGTGGACGAGGGAGCGCAAGATTGGGTCATCGGCGTCTAGCAGCACCTGGCTTGAGAAGTGCATCAGCGGAGAAGAAGGCGGCCAACTCCGCGCTGTGAAGGAGATCCCCAAGAGAATCTCAAGCAGAGCCGCCGATGATTCAGGCTTTGTGGATTATACCAAGCAGCTCGAAGCCATTGCCAAGTTCTCACAAGAGGAGGTATGTGGTTTCGCATTTCTCATCGCATGCCCCCAATATTTTGAACCCAATAAGCCCTAACACGCGAGGATTTAGCACAGAGCCCGTTTCGTGCAGTCCTATGGTTGGTACGAAAACGAGGATGCCATACTGGTATCCATGGAGTTTCACCTCCTCGGAGACCTGAGGCACTTCATGTGGTTTCAGTTTCCCGAAGAACATGTCAGACTCATCATATCTCAAATCCTCGTGGCCCTAGATTTGGTGCACGAAAGCGGGTTCGTGTACGGAGCGCTCGATCCATCGGTAAGTCCTATTCAACTTCAAAGAAAAAGATCTCTCCTCTTTCATACCAGAAAATAACTTTTACAAAGAACATATTCGTGATAGACACGGCACCACGGTGGTGGGTTAAACTTGGCGACTTTGGTCTCTCAAAGAAGGCTGCAGAAGTGGAATCCTTCCGTACGAATGAGAAGAGTCTTCTCTACCTACCGCCCGAGGAACGCAAAAAGCAATTTCTGCCCCCGAAGACTGTTGACCCGGATTTCGCCGAGGTCGAGGCCATGCGCGAGGCCAAGCGTGGGAAGATGATAGATGTGTGGGCAACCGGAGCCCTCGCCTTCCAGCTTCTCACCAACCAGGCTCTGCCTGAAGATGTTGACGGCGATTCTGACAGCGATCAGTTCCCTCGCCAAATGCTCATTGATCTCGGAGCAAGTGAGCCTTGTATCGACTTCCTGGATCAATTGCTTTCCACTCCGCTAGATAAGAGGCTGTCGTCTTCTCAGGCTTTGGCACTCCCTTGGATAGGCAGAGCTCGTGAATAAGATCTACAGAGGCATTGGATTTAGATAGAATTCTTAATAGCAGTTGTATAAAGCATGGGCGACAGTGCCTCCCAATATAAATTAGCTTGCGATAGACCGACAGATGATCGATTAGTCTCCAACTCGCGATTCTATATTCTAATGGTACAAGATGGATCAAACGTATTCTTCTGCCTCTTCGCCTTCGTCGTTGAATCTCTTCCTTCTACATGCGCCGAGCCGCCTGGGAGCACATATCCTCGCTGGTTCGCAATCACATCAATTCCTCGTCTTGTAAACCTTGTTGTGTAGTGGGTGTGACCAAACACCCAGAACTTGACGCCTTCAAAGCTGCTGTCGCCTAGTAGTTCACTGGCGAAGGCCGACGTCCACGGATTCTGCGCATGTTCTGGTCGCGAGGTTCCCTCTATACACGGGGCGTGGTGCGTTGCAACTAGAATCGTCCGATTGCTCTGCTTCGCCCGGGAAACCTGGCCGCGAAGCCATCCGAGTTCGTCTGCGTGGACGCGGTTATGGTCGTGAACAGTCCAGTTCTGGATCTTCTTGAAATCCTTAATCTTGGATTCGACAATTTCAAATGCCGTCTCTGGGACGGACGACCAGAGGGTGCAGCCGAGAATAGTGAGGTTCGAGTCGGGATCGTCCCAGCGTGACTTGTGCAGGAGGACCAGCTTGTCTTGCAATGCCGGCTCCTTGGAGAGTCGCTGCGCCTCTTCAAGTCCAACCTGGTATTCCAAGCCGTAGAATTCGTGGTTTCCGAGGATCAGGAACACCTTGTCGAACCGTGAGACTTGGGCGACGAGAAACTTGAGATAGCCGTCGTAGTCGATGAGGCGACCAATGTCCCCTGCCAGCAGGAGGAAGGGCGCCGCAACGGGAAATGTGTACGTCGCGTATTGGCTCGCAACTTCCAGGTGAAGGTCAGAGAGCACTTGCACGCGTGCAACCGAGCGTGCTTGGAACCATTTTCGGAGTTTGTTCAACATCTTTGGAGTTCGGTGTTGAAGGGAGGTTTGATGGGAGTTGGCGGGTTCAGTAGCTCGATGTGTTTGTAGTGGATGTTTTAGTAAACGCACTGAGCACGTCAGGACAAATATACTACAGCGCTAGCTTTGTTTATCATAGGTGGCCTGGCTCTTGATACAAAGCATCAAATGATACCGCAATTCATCCCCGCCGAGTTATTATCGATGCAAATGAAGTCGACTACTATCCTGATAGCCCACGCTGCTTATTACGGGTCAAGATTGTTGCTAATGTTGTTCACTTATATGATGAATCCCGATGCTTCGAATTGGAACGGTAATTGAGATAATGTCTTCTTTGTTCTCAGCAGGGCACATTGGGTGGACGCAATCAGGTCGTAAATAGGTGCTGTGAAAAGCATGAATCTTTATTCATAAGATTTGAATTGATATTTAGTGGTTTATAAATTTACCAAGGTCTGAGTCCATGATTTTGCATTCTTTTGAAAATTAGCCTCACGTGTGAGCCAAAAGAAAGAAAGAAAAACACCAACAGACACCGTTATATGACCATTGGCAAGCCTTCGGAGGTGGATGGCTTCAATCTAAATCAGATCGTACCCAATGATGGCCCTCAAATAATTGACCGATGCCCGGTCCTTTTTTACAAGGCTCCTAATAGATAAAGACGTGCTCAGAGCCATCAGAGTCTCACGGCTACTCAAATCCGATAGAAGATGGAACTTGAACGCTTTCGAGTCACCAGGCTCGCCATCCATGCGGAAAGACGCCAACGGATCACTCTTCACTACCGCACTGATCGCCTTGTCGAGAACTCTAGCATCTGCCAGATCTGTCCCCGGCTCATCCAGGCGATAAAGTTTGAATTCTTTCGGGCTGCCCAGAACTCCTTCATCCTTCACTATGCGTCTCCACTCGAAGACGTGATTCACAGTAAAACGGAACATGACTGTCAGTCCATCCTCTGTGAGGCCTGCTCGTAAGATCGTAGTGGAGGGTATCTCCTTCTTCGCCTCCTTTGATCCTCGGGGGGCTGCAACATTGATTATGGTGTCTAGTGTGGTTGTCTGAATTCCCTTCGCGATCTCGCCTCCAGCCGCGAGCACAGCACCACTCTTTGATGCGCCGCTGTGTAGAACCCAAAACTTCTGGTCTGCTGCTTTGCCAGCCTCCTCTTCTGATACAGACACGGCGAACAATTTACGCCTCGACACATCGCTAAGGTATTCCGTGGATGACTTGGATGACGTGGAGTGGTATATTAACCTTCGCGGTATATTCGCCAGGCGCACCTTGGCGCATTTGCCAGTCAGGGTTTGGAAGTTGCTATGCTTGATCAAGCGCGATGTTTGTGCGCGGTTGAGCAACTTGACCGTCTCCTTGTGCCCATTCGAGGCTGCAGCAGTGAAAGGAGTCTGCCCTGCTTCATCGCACACCTTGATATCGGCCCCGGCATCACAAAGTAGCTCCACTACGTCGATATGTCCGTAATGGGCCGCCGCATATAGAGGTATCGATGCACCAGCCCCAGTAGACACTGTGGCAGCACCTTTGCCGATCAATAGTTGCACAAGCTCAACATATCCATTGCTAGCTGCCACAAGCAAAGGAGTCTGGCCCTGATCATCTGAACTGATGAAATCCGCCCCTCTGTCAGACAAAAAGCCTACTATATTGACAAAGTTGTGGCAAGCGGCTGCCAGTAGAGGGGGCATTCCGTGATTGTCTCGTTTGGCGATGTCAGCCCCTTTATCAGCGAGAAACTCCACCACGTCAATATGGCCATACCGAGACGCCGAATATATAGGAGTCCACCCATCTTGATTCGGCGTGGTTATGTTGGCCCCTTCATCACACAGAAGTCTCACAACTTGCAGATGCCCCAAGGAGGCCGCCACATTGATAGGGGTCCAACGCTCGATATTGGCCGCTGCGACATTCGCTCCTCTGCTGACAAGAAGCTCAACCACTTCCGTATGCCCATGGTATGCTGCGATGTAAAGCGGCGTGCCCAGGTGCTTATCTCGAGTTTCTAGGTCAGCTCCCATATCCAAGAACTGTTTGGCCAGGTCACACTGTCCCATGTTGGCTGTGGAGATAAGAGAACTATCCAATTCACTTTGTATGGTCTTCCCCTCCTCGGCCATGATGAGATGGTCCCCCTCCTCAGCCATAATGAGGTAGTCTAGCGCAGCAGGTTTTGTGTTTTTTTCGACGGTTTTGCCTTTGCCAGGAGTCTCAAGACTGGGTTTATACTCAAAGCCCGTCTCGGTGAGCTTCGTTGCCAGGTCCGTTATTTCCTCTTCGATGCCTAACAAGCTATCGGGAGACGATGGCACGGAGCTATAAAAATTAGCCCCATGAGTTTCTCGTGGATTTGAGACCTCGTACTCATCATTGTTCGTGAATGGAACAGCCGGAATAGCCAATCTGGGTATGAGTTGGTTCACCCACTGATGCGCCATGATCTCGTCGATTTTTGGTCTTTCGCTTGGGCTTTCAAAGGTCAGTTTGAAAACTAAATCCAGCCCATCTGAACTCATTTCGTATCCCTGCGGTAGGATGCTGCTTGCGTCTTGTATATCCTTGCATTCAAGACGGCGCTTTCGGAAATCCCGCACGCGCGTCAAAATATACATGGTCATGGCACCCACTGCCCACATATCCGTTGATTGATAATCCACGTCTGAAGACATATCAACGAGCTCGGGGGCCATGTACTGGAGAGTGCCAACTGCTCCGCCGACTGCGGTATATACAGAGTCCGTTCTCTTGCTGATACCGAAATCCGCCAGTTTCACCCACCAGGAAGCAGGACCATTCGGTTTCGGGCATTGTTGAATCAGTATATTCTAGATCGAGATTAGAGTGTCATCTGTCCCCTGAATTTGTTGGATTTTCTCACTTGTGGTTTGATATCTCGATGTGCAAGCCCAGACTTGTGCATTATAGCCAGCCCTTGTAGAACTTGGCTTATCACTTCCCGGGTCTCTCCTTCGTTCAAGCGCGCTCCATTACGTAGGTAGGACTGCAGGTCACCTTCGGGGAAGTACTCCATCGCAATACACAGGTTTCTTTCGGATATATACCACCCCAGCATCCGGACGAAATATCTGGAATACTAGCTCGGGATTAGCCTTGTGCCCGACTCATTCTCGCCGTACATTACATGAAGTTTGGTACCTTTTTGTGTGAGAACTTGACCATCGTTTCCAGTTCTCGTACTTGTCGCTTCGTTCCAGCGTCTCCATCGCATTTTATCGTTTTCAAGGCTCGTAGTTTATGGTGCCTGCCGCCGCTTACGCAGGTTTGTAGATACACCCGTCCCTGACCACCTTCTCCAATCGGAAATCTCGACGTCTCCCAGAGCTCAACTCGTGAGGGAGCCGAGGGTGGCTGGTCCGGGTCTTCAACAATGTGCGTCACATAGCGCGGGTTTTGGGCGTGTTGCGTTTCCAGACGATAGTCCTGTAACGCATCCCAGCGCTGTTCGCTCATTGAGACGTGGAAAAGTGTTCCTGATCCCGGATTCCACACGATACTTTACTCCTGGATTTCAAGATCGTTACAGGTGGGAGAATCTTTCGACCAGTCATGCGGGGAATGGCCAGAGATTGAAGGCTGTTCTTCGCCTCAGCGGCTCAGCCACGTTGGATGCGACCCATAAGCGATCCGTATGAGAAGATCCACTTGCAAGGTAACGAGGGAGGTGTTCGTGCAGCTGGGCGCTGTCATAAGCCACACCGGCCGGTGTTCTCGCTTTTGAGGCCAATCAATCCTTGCCACGTCGGATTGTGCGCTTACTAGTGGTGTACGTCCGCCAAGGGAGTTCAGTTTTAACGCTGGGACATGGCAGGTGGCTGAGTTTTTTAGGGCTTCAGACTCCCTTGAAAGAATGTTTATTAGTGAGCTTTACAACCTACAGTTTTCCATGCCAAACTCAATGTCCCAGCTGAATATTACTCTCACGAACAAATTAAAGTCCGTAGGACTTCACAACAACGAAGAGGTTCACATCGTATAAACGTCATTAAATGAGAACCCAAGACCACCAACAACAAATCTAGTAGCGGATCCCAAAATCTTCCTAAAATCACAAAGCTCAAAATGCGTGGGCAGGAGGACACACACACATTTATCTCAGGAATAATTATAATACTTTCCCCATCGACCCTGGGATCATGAAATCCGTCCTGAGACTTGTATTTCACATCAAAGAACCGCCAGGTAGATAAAGATGGACAGGAACCCTTTGCTAGTTACTTCTTTCAAACCCGAATTCTGATATAAGTCCAAATCAGTGTGAAAACAATATACAAAACAAATAAACCCCCTATAGTGAACCACCCCACTAAAAAGTTGAAGCCGGGAAACCACCCAATCGTCAAGATCGCAACCAGTGACAACCCAAGACCGAAAAAAGCCCTGGCAGCAGATCTGAAACCCTCCCTAAAGTTGCAATGTTCAATCCGAATGAGGACTATTATACACAGGTATGTCTCAAGGAGAACGGTGCAAAAAGAAAAAGCTGGTTCTTGGACGGCAATCGTGTCCAAGTATTCATCTATACCAACAATGACGAACGAGATGATAAACGACCATAATGAAGGACAAGGTACAATCAATATTGAAAAGCCCAGGATACGACTGTAGCTTGTTCTAGCTTGCTGAGTCAAATCGTCGGATTGTTTTAGTATATGTTCACGTATCCTTCCAGTCTGCCCTGGCGTGGGCGATACCACAGGAAGTTCTGACGCCGCCAATCCTTGACGTGATGGCTCTTCATCTGGACATAAAAATTAGTTAAATAATTATAACAGCTATGGCGGTAAGAGAGAGTGAAATAGTCGTTTTGAAGGCTTCAAATCATGGCTATCATGGTGTGCATTTGTATTTGGCAGGACTTACCGAGAATATTAGAATAAGTCCCATCCACAATGATCCTCGCACATGGAGTAGCTACCATAGCAACATCCATATTGCCAGGAGTTGGAAGGTTGAGTGTCTGTGTCGGAAAGTAGATTTTGTATACCAGCTCGCTTATTGCTAGAAGAGGCGACCCAAGCAACACAAGAGGCATTACTTGTCCAAATTGCCAAGTCTTACTCTCTCCGAGAGCTTCAAGTGTATCACTCCGAAGCTTATTCAGGCGTACGGTGCCCCAAACTCCCGACAAAGAGATAGATATGATCTAAATCGTTATATTGGGAATTATCCCAGGGTGGTGGAATCACAACTCACCTCCATGGCCATGGATGAGTAGAGGTCTAGAAAGAGCCTCAGAATACAATAAATTCCAGAAATAAATGGCAGCATAATTGATAACATCCAGAACTTGAGGCTAGGTCGCATTTTTGATAACTTCCTGTCTATTTTGCCAATGAGACAGATATAGATGCGATCTATATCCTGCTGAAAAGTCTTTGAGAGCTTGTTCGAGATAGTCTTGAAAACCTTGCATACTCTGACTGAAAATCCGTACATGAGTAATAGCATTGAAATCAACATTGAGATCGGGGTAGGATTGTTAAATTGCATTCCCCCTTTAAATAAGCAAGCAGCTGGCGTTGAAGCAAAAACAACTGTTGCCGGGTTCGTGCAGTTCTCGAAAGGGATTCTCGCAGTACCTACCCTTTCAGCACCCACTCTTGGGTCTCTTGAGTCTCCTAAGTCACGTGTACCCGCCAGACCACTCGTATTATATTCTTCACAACTGGAACTGATGAAGGCATCCGGGTTAAAATAGTGTTTTCTTTCGTAGGTATAGTAAATGTCAAGGTAGTCGAAATAGCCGGTCGGGAAAATTGCAATAATGAGAAGAATGATTAATACGGACATCATCGTCAGCCTCCAAGACCTTGAGGCTGGATGGTGGTAGAGATAATTTCGGAGGAATGTCAAGGCTGATAGATGTGTGAGGCAGGAGAACCAGGCGAGGTACACAATCATAGACCAGTAATGAGCTGCCAATCCATTAGACATAGTATAATATCCACTGATGAGAATAGCCATTCCAGTGACAATCTGTGTATCAGCAAGCATTAAAAGACACTGTAAGATGATTAATTTTGAGGATTAATGGGATACATCGCGTTGAATCGCGCTGCTCCACTGACCTTTGTGAATGCCTTGTCGAATAATCGCCTTGTGTGTTCTTGCCTCAACTGTAAGCGCCTGGTAAAATAGGAGAGGCGGTTATAAATCAAAAGGTCGATTGGATTTGGTTTGTGAATTGACTCAGTATGGCAACCCTCGAGTCGAAATGGATCAAGAGTCGGATTGAAGGCGAGCAGGTAGTATAGCACTACCATGAAAACGGTGAACCACCCTGTGATCACGAAGCTCAGATATACCTGTTATTTGCAACACGCTTTGATTAGCATTATTCCCGTTCACTATATCTTGTAATGTTGGAGTCGATGCATAGAAATAGCATACGCCAAAACCTGCAATGTCTTGGTCCAACTCCAAGGGAGGTGGCAGCGTTGTGCAGGCATCAGGAGAAAGCATGATGACCCTGGAATATTCTTGAAGTATCCTTTGATATGAGAGGGAATTTGACGAGGACGAGTTTTGAATGGGCAAGAAAGAAAGACATGTACTAAAGTGATATACTTCGCTTCTTCTATCACGGTCCCTCGTACAGCTTTCAAATCAAATAGGGGCGAGGAGCGTGATGATATGGGGACAGACCAACCACGATTAGGGAGAGCAAGGTCTCACTGCCTGCCGGCCGATCCCATGAATATCTTGGTGAGACAATTGGCCCCTAGTATTACATTCTTCCGAGACCTGCTGTCTGAAATATCTAGGTACCTAACGGTAACCGAACTGATCGGACTCGCCCATTTACTGCACGGCTTGGATAAAAGTCGCGAGGTTCAACACCTGTCAGGGGCGTTTCATTAACTAGCATTGAAAAGCAATATAAATTAAATATTCATACAGAATTAGGCGTACCATTTTACCGGTTAGCTTAAGCATGTACGTGAGTGTCATCATCATCTAACAAAACAAGGCCAAAACCCACCCGTAAGGCGCCATGGTCCGCCCCCTTTTCGACTCAGCCACTGTCTCACAACGCAAGATCTTACTGACATCAAAGACCACCAAGCCATGATTGTCCTCTCTGGCCCACTCCGGTCAAAGCAATGAGAGAGTTCGAAGGCGCGCTTGCCATTTACATCATTGAGCTAGGCTGCACTGCCACAATCGTATCGCTAGAAGGCCAAGAGATTCTGACAGACTAAGTGTCTAGATGAGCTAGATACCTAATGTGATGATGAGTTTGGATAGTTCATATTCGGAGTCGAGCTATGTATGTCAAGCTTCCAGAAGCGCATAATTCAGAAAAAGGCAGTACGGAAATTATTTTCATTGAGATTAGCTACTTTATGAATGGGTAGGCATGACAACCTCGGCCTTGCCTGACTTCAGCGCCTGACTGATTGACCATCTGGAGGTCACAGTCTGCTGCTGGGTGTAGAATCGGATACCAGGACGTCCGTAAAAGGTAGTGGCACCGCCTCCGGCGACACTTCGCTTGTTGCCGGTGAACGAGAACATGGGCAGAGGCACTGGAATGGGCACATTAATGCCGACTTGGCCAGCCTGGATTCCGCGGCGGAAGTAGTCAGCCGCGGGGCCGGAGGATGTGAAAATGGCCACACCGTTACCATACTCGTTGGCATTGGTGAACTCGATTCCCTCATCCAGGGACGCAACGTCAGCGCAGACGAGAACTGGCCCGAAGATCTCCTCCTTGTAACACTGCATGTGTGGCTTCACGCCAGTGATTATGGTTGGGCCAACCCAGTTTCCGTTGGCGAACTGCTCGCCTTGGGGCTTGAATCCACGACCGTCAAGAAGGATGGTGGCGCCCTCCTTCTCAGCTGATGCAATCAACTCCTCAATGCGCGACTTGCTCTGGGGGGAAATCACAGGACCTAACTCAGCACCATCCTCGAACCCGCCGTTAACAGACAGCTTCTTGGCAATCTCGACCAGGTCGGGCAGCCACGTGGTGGCCTCTCCTTGCAGCAAAAGCACACTAAGTGCCATGCAGCGCTGCCCAGCAGCTCCAAAGGCGGCTCCAGCAATAGCATTGAGGGCTTGAGCCTTATCGGAGTCGGGAAGTACCAGGGCGTGGTTCTTGGCACCAAGATTGGCCTGCACTCGCTTACCGTTGGCAGAGCCACGGGTATAGACATACTCGCCAGCCTTATTGCTTCCAACAAAGCTGATGGCCTTGATTCTAGGCTCGTCAAGGATAAAGTTGACGGCCTTGTGCGTTCCGTGGATAACGTTGACGACACCCTCGGGGAAACCTGCCTTTTGGCAGAGCTCAGCAATAATCATGGCGGCACCAGGATCTCTCTCTGAAGGCTTCATGACGACTGTATTTCCTGTGACGGTGGCAACAGGGAGCGACCACAAAGGAATCATGGCAGGGAAGTCTGAATTAGTCCGCAGTTAGCAACGGTAGTGTACGCATGCTGGGAGCATGGAAAAGACGTACTGAAAGGGCAAATGACTCCAACGACACCCAATGGCTCGAGGTAGGTCCTGGTCTCCAAATCCTTTCCAAGACTGAGAACCTCGCCCTTGAGCAGCTCAGGAGCACCGCAAGCAGCCTCTGCCACCTGCAGGCCGCGAAGGACATCACCCTTGGCATCCGCGACAGTCTTGCCCTGCTCGATGGTAATCACGGCAGCGAGACGGTCCCAGTTCTCGCGGATGAGGGCCACCAGCTTGAACATGATTTGCTGGCGAGCGAGGACCGATGTCGCACTCCATGCGGGGAAGGCCTTCTCGGCAGAGTCGACGGCGGCGATGAGCTCAGCATCGGTGCTCTCTGGCACGCGGGTGACGAGCTTGTTGGTGGCTGGGTCGTAGACATCGATGAAGTCTGTGCTGGAAGAAACGAGGAACTTGTTGTCAAGGAACCATGGCGTGATGGAGGCTTCACCGACTTCGTGGCTGTTGGGGAACTCGGTGGCGGTGGTTGGCAGCGAAACCGGGGACTGGGTATTGACTGCCATTGTGAAGTAGGACACAGATGGAAAGGGGATGAGGGATCTGTGACGGAAAATCAAACTCGTAGAAAGACTTCCTCGTGCGAGAAACAGGCCAGGAGATTCTCGCGAAGTTGGGTTTTATTGTCCGTGTAGCGGAACCGACCAGGATGGGAGGAGGAGAATGGGCAAGTGGATCGCACATGCCGTTCCGATGCCAATTACAGTTGGCTACAGGGGAGAGGGGTGGCACGCTACAGTGGGCGGCGCTATCTTATCTCCCGGTACAGCGGGGTGCCCACTGTCGCGTGAGCCCGGACAGAGGGGTGCTTAGCGGTGGAGGGCCTGAGGAACCGCGCTCCAGCGTTATCTGCATCCACTAATTAACCTCACGCCCCCTGAGCGGATACCTAAAGCACATTGATCTCCTAACGAGCCAAGCAGGCAAACACACGTTGAGACGGCAGCCAGCACTCTCTGGCTCGATTGCTGCCCAGGTGATAATGCCTTGGGTCGCTAACAACGTAAGGTTATGGTTGCCTTGTGCCCTGGGATGAGACGCACTGGCTGACTGGGAATGTGCAGCCGACAGGTCTCTATTTCCCCACACCGGTCATCACCACGGGCAGCGATTGGAAGCAGAGGCAGGACACGGTTCATCTTCACACCAATGAATTCCGGTCCCGTGACGTCTAGCATTTTTCATTACTCATAGCGCCCGCCTTTTCGTCACCGACTCGATTTCAACCCAAAGAGGCTGGTCAAAGGAGAGCATGGGGTAGCAGTTCCTTGTGTCTATCTCCTGGCAAATACTATGTACAAACAGATGCCATACCCGAATCCCAATGACTACATGTACCTATCAAACATTGCTGCATATGCATTCGTCCACCCCATTCAGTCAGTCGTCCCGTAGAACCGGTCACCAAAGTCACCCAATCCAGGGGCAATATGGCTACAAGTGAATAATCAATCAGCACAAGATCCTCGGCAAGCGATGTCAATACCAATGTACTCACTTTGATGCAGTCAGGTCGTTGTCAATTGCAGCCGTCACGATCTGCATGGCCGGGAACTTCTTCGTCACAACGTCCAGCCCCTTTCTCGAGGCCACCAAGTTCACGAAAATGATGTTGGGCTCCTGCACTCCGTTATCCTTGAGAACCTCGATGGCCTTCGCGGCCGAACCGCCCGTGGCCAGCATGGGCTCGAGAATTAGCACCTCTGGGCACATGGTTAGCCAACAATTCCGGGACTCGCTTCCCATCAATACGTACTTTTATTGGCGATGTCTTTCGGTAGTTTGCAGTAAACGTAGTGCGGTAGACAGGTCTCCTCATCTCGTTGTATCAGAATCTTGCCGTAGCTCAATGGGCCCCTAAAATCATTGCGGATCGGTCAGCAATCAGAATGCTATACAAAGGCAACACGGGATTGAGAATATACAATTCTTCTCTACTCACAGATACGAATTTCGGAGAGAGTTCTCCATGCTAGCACCAGCACGCAAGATGCTGACGCCGCAGATTGGCTGGGAGTGGGACAGCCCCGAGAAGACAGTCCCGGTCGGCGTGGTCACATCTCGGCTTTCTGTTGGTAGCAGCTCCAACGCTAACCAGATTTCGTCAGCATATAAATGGGAGAATATAGTCTGGCATGGGTTACGGTACCTGCAGGCATCAACTGGGTGCAAACCTTCTCGAAGGCATCGACGAACGCGGGGCAGCCGGTCTGTGCATCCCTGATCACGGTCATCAAGCTCACCAGATACTTCGTCTGAGGTAGGACGGTAACTGTGGGAGGGTGGCCGTTTGTGTTCGTAGCAGTCATCTTGATGGGATCTCGTGTAAAACTCTAGGCGTCTAAACTTCGTAAACTGTCAACTACCGTCAGTCTAACAACGTGACCGCGGGCATTTCTATAGACAAAGCCTCCTGGCCTGGCAACCCCCAGTGGCGAAGGAGGCGTGTACGAAATTGCATCTATGCAATCATTGGTTATCTTGTGGCTGATTAACATGAAGATTTCCCCAGGTTGTAGATAAGCATGATCTCCTTTGCGGCAGAGCTGGGGGCGTGTTTCTACGCGGGACTCCACACCACCACACACGCCTCCTGTTATCTAATCAACCGCCTCGACCAGTACGCTGGATAGCGATGATGGATAGAGATGAGCAGAGTGTTGTTCATCGAGTGTTGCTTTAGTTATGTCGTAAATATACGAGAAGAGGATGAAGTTGCCCTCCTGGGCCGAGATAGGGTTCGAGTCAGTATTCAAACAGAGTTGAGTCTCAATCAACTCAACATATTCAGAGCCTAGAATCTGCAAGCAACATGACTGGAAAGAGGTTGCATCTCCTTAGTGGTAAAGACCTGAATTCCCATTTCCGGCAGTCAAGACTTCGAATACACGTGCGTATACTCATAATATCATAGGCACTAGCCATCCAGAGTTTGCCAAAGCAATCAGTCGACAGTATGTCCTTCCTTGGGTTTCATTTTTTATTCGGGTGATTCAATAAGCTCATTTATACTCCTCTTAGAATAGACTGCGATATCTCCCAAGGTATTGAGACCAGTCGCTTCTCCAATGGGGAGACGTCGGTGACCATCGCAACGTCCGTCCGAGACAACGATGTCTATATCCTCCAGACTGCATGCGAGCCCGTCAACAATGTCTTGATGGAGCTGCTTATTGCCATTAGCGCATGTAAGATGGCATCTGCGAGGAGAATCACGGCCGTGTTGCCCTGTTTCCCGTATTCACGACAAGACAAGAAGGACAGAAGTAGGGCCCCCATCACGGCCAAGCTCATCGCAAATATGCTCGAAGTGGCAGGATGCGACCACGTTATAGTATGTTTTGCCATGTTTTTCTTTTCAATCCATGATATTCTAATGACTAATATTCCTCTCAGACTATGGATTTGCATGCTTCTCAAATCCAAGGCTTTTTCAATATACCTGTAGACAAGTAAGGAAATGTTCGGTTAAACCGCCATTGATAGAAGTTTAAGGCTAACTTTCAACATTTAATAGTGTGCGTAATGTAATCCCGATCAGAAGCAGGTCTGAACTAACAAAAAGAAAGCTTTACGCCGAAAGAGCAATGATTGACTACATTGAACGCGAGTTCACAACCACTGATCTTGTTATCGTGTCCCCAGATGCCGGTGGCGCCAAGAGGTATAGTATCCTTGCCCTTCCCATCCTACGCTTCAACCGACCAACATTGTGAGGCAGAGCCGCAGCCATTGCCGACAAACTCCAGGTAGACCTGGCCATCATCCACAAGGAACGCAAGGTGGCCAACAAAGTGAGTCGGATGGTGCTGGTCGGTGATGTCCAGGGCCGCAACGCAGTCCTCGTGGACGACATCGCAGACACCTGCGGGACCCTGGCCCTCGCCGCGCAGGTCCTCAAGGACCACGGCGCGGCCACGAGCAACGCGGTGGTGACCCACGGCTTTCTCAGCGGGCCTTCAGTCGAGGTGATTGAGAGCAGCCAGCTTGATCGGCTGGTTGTTTCCAACACGCTGCCGCTGCCGCCGCATGCCATGTCATGTAAGAAGATTCAACAGATGGATATCAGCTATACGATCGCCGAGGCCATCAGAAGGACGTATAACGGAGAATCGTGAGTTTCCTCGTGCCACGACTCACCGAACATATTTCCCAGATGAGACTAACATATAACAGGATATCGGTGCTTTTTAGGTAGATCACCTGGAACCATTTCATGGGGATGCAGGGATAAAGTTCTGCGGCGAGGTTATCATGTTATTTATCATGGGAGCATTTGCTTTTTTTTATTCAAGTCATAATGTTGTTTATTACAAAATTTATTCATAGATGGAAAACTAAATCTCAAATGAATTATTTCCTACCCCAATCCAGACAGTTACGAATCGATTTAATGGGATATGTATAAGCCAATTACCTTCCAACATGGGATCTCCATCAATATAACAGCAAATATTTACAAGAAACAATATACCAGTAAGTAACTTCTATGATCGACACAATCCTAAATTCTGCTTTGCCTCAATATGGTATATTTTTACAAAATGATTCTCGCATGGCGTCCCTTCTCAATGTGATGGTGTAGGGTAGCTGTAAGTTGAGAGAAATGCCACTGATAAGGCGCTGTTAATGACACACCACAACTCGACAAAGGGCTGATAACAAGCTTGGCCATTCATAATCCCACGCCCACCGCCGATAAGCTGGCACGGAGGTCCCTCGGCTGTTACCATGAGCAGTGAGAGGCTTGCCGTGTTTCCCCTGCATGACACGAAACTGATAAGCAGATATACCGCATGCTTTAACGGGCGGTGGCCGTCGGAACCCGCCGACAGACAGACAATAGCTGCCCACACAGTCTATTTCTCCGTCTAATGTCACTAACCTTCCCTCAGGACACTAGACTGGGCTGGAAGACTATTCTGTAGTTTGTCAAGAGTATTATTCACCAAACATGTCTCGAGCAGCCCTCACAAAAATTGTCCGGCCAAGGACTCTCCAAGCCCCAAGAGCTCTCAGACCAGCCGTACTGTCACTAGTATCCCACAGGGCTACGCCAAATGTCACAAGACCCTTGTCTATGAGCTGGAAACGAAGCCTGGCCACGTCTTCCATCAAGCTGGCAACTACAAGCCCAGTTGTGCAGAAGAAGCTCGACTCCTTCATCCCTGTATGTCAACCCAGTATCAACAAACCAAAACACACCGCTAATGCCAAATACAGCTGATTGACTTCTCAAAATTCCTCCACGGCTCAGAAACAGAACGTGAACAAATCGCCGCCGAGATCCTAAGCGGTTTCCAGAACGCCGGCTTCATCTACCTCCAGAACCACGGCGTCGCCCCCGACGCCGTCCGCACCGCCTTCGCCACCTCGGCCAGGTTCTTCGCCGAGCCCGACGACGACAAGCTGAACCTCTCATGGCTGAGCCCGGAGTCGAACCGCGGCTACTCGGCGCGCGGGCGCGAGAAGCTGAAGCGGGTGGGCGAGGGCGGCGGCGAGGATGCCGCGCCGCCCGACATGAAGGAGAGTTTCGAGATTGGGCGCGAGGGCGACCCCGCGTTTCCGAACCAGTGGCCCAGGGACGGTACCATGGTGGAGGGCTTCAAGGACACCATGTTGGGGTTCTACGGGCTGTGTAGGCAGCTTCATGGGAATGTCATGAGCGCCATTGCTGTCGGCATGGGGCTTGACGCGAAGTACTTTGAGAGTTTTATCAGTTCTGGGGATAACACTTTGAGGTTGTTGCATTATCCCGGTGTTGATGCCAGTGTTTGGAAGAACGCCAATGCTGTCAGGGCCGGCGCTCATAGTGTGGGTTCTCCCTTAAGATGACAATTGACGAAATATGTCACTAACTTTTCTCCAGGACTATGGTTCCCTCACTCTTCTTTTCCAAGATGGAAGGGGAGGGCTGCAGGTCCAAAGCCCATCCGGAGATTTCGTCGATGCCACCCCTGTCGAGGGAGCCATCGTTGTGAACGCGGGTGACTTGCTCGCCAGGTGGAGCAACGACACCATCAAGAGCACCATCCACCGCGTGGTAGAGCCGCCGGCGAAGGAGGCCGACAGCTACCCTCCTCGATACAGCATTGCGTATGTCTTTTCGCCCTTAGTGCCAAGTGGACTGAAAGCTAACTGGCAGTAGATACTTCTGCAACCCCAACCACTCCAGTTTTATCGAGGCATTGCCTGGTACCTTTGCGACGGAGGACTCGAAAAAGTACAAGGGGATTCAGACGGGCGAGTATTTGGTCCAGAGGCTCACTGCCACTTACTAGATACGTGACAAAAATTCGATGTGTAGTACCGCGTCTCCCGTAGCTAGTATATAAACCAGCATTCAATATCAAGTAAACATGATCAAAATACAACCATTTCGGAACGGAAAAAGAAAGAAGGAAAGAAACAAACTAGCCAAGTGTTTATTTATAGCTGTTTTTAGATATTTGATATATGAACGCCTATCCATATCTTACTTGCTTCTGCTCCTCCCCAAACCAGTCTTCAGCCCTCATCTCCTCGCTGGAGGCATAGTTAATGATGGTGCTCTTCGTCGTCGTGTAGGCATTATACGAATCCACTCCGTTCTCGCTCCCAACACCACTTGAGCTTGTGGCTCCCCCCCACGGGCTACTGGGGTCGTTACGGTGGTGTGTGTTCACCCACAGTATCCCCGTGTTGATGCTTTCAGAGACCCTGTAGGCTCGGCTGAGATCTTTTGTCCAGAAAGCAGCCCCAAGACCAAACTCGCTGTCGTTGGCGAGGTCAATGGCTTCCTGCTCGGCAGAGAACTCGGCCACAACAATCACAGGCCCAAACGCCTCCTCTTTCCAGATCTTGCTCTTCAAGATGCTGTTTCCGTCCGCGGCCGACACCAGCACGGTTGGAGGATAGTAGAAACCTTTATCGAAATCAGCCTGGTCGAGCTCCGATAGCCCAGTCAGACGCGCACCTCCACATGCTGCAGTAGCAAACCCTCCAGATACGGACTCTTCGACAAGGCCCTCGAGGTTCTTCATCTGCTTCTCGGAGATGATCGGGCCCATCATGGAAGCCACGTTGGTTGGCGCCCCCATCCGTTTCTGGATGCTCTGCGCCTTCGTGGTCAGCAGCTCCAGAAACTTGGGTAGTATTGACTTCTCCACGATGATCCTCGTGGCAGCGACGCACGTTTGGCCGCTGGCGATGAAGGCCCCAAACGCCACTCCGTTCACAGCGGCCTCGAGATCTGCATCTTCGAACACAACAACGGGGGCTTTTCCCCCTAGCTCCGCCGTCAGACGCGCGAGGTTGCCGCCCACGATAGATCCGATCGCCCGACCAGCCGCCGTGCCGCCCGTGATATCCACCTTGCGTACCAGAGGATGGCTGACCAGCGCCTTACCGGTGGTGATGCCGTATCCAGGGATGACATTAAACACACCGTCGGGCAAGCCAGCTTCCTTGAGGATGGGACCAAGGAGCAGACTCGTCAATGGTGTGAGCTCACTGGGCTTCAGCAGGACGGTGTTACCCGCCGCGAGGGCCGGGGCAAGCTTCTTAACAGCGATGAGGAGGGGGTGGTTGAAGGAGGTAATGAGAACGACGACACCGAGGGGGATGCGGTCGATCCAGTTGTGCAGCTTGCCCGAGGTGGGCAGGACGGATCGCTCCTCGGTGCGGAGAAGCGCGGCGTAGTACCTGAACCAGCGGACGAGGGATGGGACCTGGGCCTTCATTTCCCTGATGGCGCGGCCGGTCTGCTGGACCTCGAGTGCGATGAGGCCATCGAGCCTGGCGACGAGGAGGTCGGCGGCCTTGTCGAGGACATCGGCTCGCGTGTGGCGTGGGAGGCGTGACCATACGCCTGATTTGTGGACGTCCTGCGCTGATTGCACAGCGGCGTTGATTTCATCTATGGAGGCGGTTTGGCATCTGCAAGCACTTGGTCAGCGTTACCCGTTCGTTGTTTAGACTCAACCCACTGATTATACTCACTGTGCAAAGACCTCGCCTGTCGCAGGGTTTTTGATTGACAGCCTGTAGATGTTAGAAAATCTTCAAAATATGGATGAATAGATAGAACGCAATCACTCACACCTCGCCGCTCCCCGAGACGGTCTTGCCACCAATCCAAGGAGAGTATGTGTCCATGATGAGAGGCTATCGGACTATTCGGATTAGCAAACTTCCAGATGCCTAACCTCAACCAAGCTCAACGGCACGAAATAGTCTTCCTTATGGTGTCGCTCCCCGCACTAGACACTCGTTCACTTCAAGCCTAGCGGTTGTAGGGTGAAGATTCCAGTGGATGAATCACGGGAGGGGTCGGTGCAGCGAGATAAGGGTGGAGGAGGGGTGCATTCTGGATGATGAAATGGATGGATGAGTCCCGCAGTGGGTTGATTGTTCAAGTGCGGGGGAAATCAACGGATTGATTCTGTGCGTCTTTATCCTATCGCGCTCTCCAGTATCTTATCGGCCGAATCGAACAATCTGTGGCGTGTTTTAGACTCGCTGCTTCAACTCGATGCGCGCAACCACTGAGTCGGCCTTGAAAGCGATTGATCGATAGACAGACGACCAACTGGATCGATCGATTGGTTGAATGGCGCGCCCCCAATAATCCGGGGGAAATGTCATCAGGGCCTGAGTACAGAGTATCTGAGCGTCTCTCCTGCCTGCCAGAGGACGAAATGGCCAGCAGATGATGACACGAAGAAATTACGTCCAGAATCATGCACGGGGAAAGAGTATTGGACAGTATTTCCGAGGGAAAAGGCAGTCCACTAAGTGTCGGGGCATTACAGCGACTCGTGAACTGGAAATGAGGGGCTGCCCCTCCATTACAGGGGCCCAGGCGCCAGCGACAGGGGCGATAGCGAGAGGGGCAGCTGGCCGACAGCGACATCGCACCAAACCGAACCAATTGTTAATCCTCCAAGTCCCTCAACCCAGTTCACACTGCCAACCTTTTCTTCCAATCTCGCCGTAGTTTCCAACCCCCTAGACGTAGATATACCTGTGCTTGACTGATGACTGACCGACCGCCGCCGTGTTGATTGTCAGTTCTGCCCGCGCGATTGACCCGTTGATGGCATCTCCAACCCCAATCTCAGTCGTGGATCTGCCCCCGGATCTGAGCTTCATCGCCAGTCCGCACGCCCAGACTGACACGTCGGACCAGCACTATAACTGTAAGCCAGACCGCCCTGTCGAGCATATAAGCATATCACCCTCCCATACTCCCTACCAATGACATACTCATCCGTTCGCCAGTGTCCACCTCCTCCTCATCCGCCATCCCGCAGATCCCCCTGTCCGACACATGCATGTCGTGCAACGGCTCCGACAACAACCCTCAGCCATCACACTCGCCCTCCTCCCAAGGCCACCACTCCTCCTCGCAGTACCAGTTCCAGAATCACCAACACCACCACCACCACCGCAGCCAGTCCATCTCCACCTCCAACCCTCCCCCGCAGGTCGACGGCATCATCCCCATCGCCCACAACTTCATCAACAATGCCCTGATCCAGTCCAAGACCCGGGTCTGGACCAAGACCTTCGACCCGGCCACCCAGTCCTTCCTCACCCGCGTCCCCGAGTCCACCGTCCTCGAGGTCCAGCAGGCCGTCGCCGCCGCCGCCGTCGCCCAGCCTCACTGGGCCGCCATCCCCTTCCAGCACCGCCGCCTCAAGCTCCTCGACCTCGTACACGCCATCCAGCAGCACCACGCCCGCATCGTCCACTGCCTCGTCACCGAGATCGGCAAGACCGCCCAGGACGCCGAGAACGAGGTCGAGCGCGGCATCGACGCCATCATCGCCGCCACGGGCATCGGCAGCGAGATGAGCGGCCACTCCTGGCCCGGCCACCCCTCCTCCACCCACACCACCCACGAGGCCCTCGGCGTCTGCGTCTCCGTCACCCCCTTCAACTTCCCCTTCATGATCCCCCTCTGGACCGTGCCCCTCGCCCTCGTCACCGGCAACACCGCCATCCTCAAGCCCTCGGAGCGCGCCCCCAGCACCTCCATGCTCCTCTCCGACTGCTTCCTCCACGCGGGATTCCCCCCGGGCGTCTTCTCCATCGTCCACGGCGGCGGCGGCGTCGTCGGCGTCCTCCTCTCCCAGCCCGCCGTCGCTGCCGTCCACCACGTCGGCTCCGAGATCGGGGGGGAGAGGGTCTTCGAGCACGCCCGCGCCAACCGCAAGCGCGTCCAGGTCGAGTGCGGCGGCAAGAACCACGCCGTCGTCCTCCCCGACGCGGCCAAGCGGTCGACCCTGTACGCCATAGCGGGGAGCGCGTTCGGCGCCTCGGGGCAGCGGTGCATGGCGCTGAGCGTCGTCGTCTTCGTCGGGTCGTCGAGCGAGTGGCTCGCCGAGCTGACCGAGATTGCCGGCTCGCTCGTCGTGGGCAACGGCGCGGACCCGGCGGTCGGGATGGGACCCCTCATCTCGGCCGCCGCCAAGGAGAGGGTGGTTGGGGTGATCAACGAGGCGGAGCAGGATGGCGCGCACGTCGTGCTGGATGGGAGGGATTGCTATGTTGAGGGGTACCCGCATGGGAACTTTGTTGGGCCGACGATATTGACCAATGTCGAGCCGTATATGCAGTGCTATCAGGAGGAGCTGTTCGGGCCGGTGCTGGTCTGCCTGCAGGTGAACACGCTGAACGAGGCCATCGAGCTGATCAACGAGAACCGCTGTGAGAGCCTTCCGAAGATGCTGTTGTGCTGTTGAGCGATTGCTGACCATGTTAGATGGTAACGGTTGTACTTTATTTACGTCGAGTCCGGCCGCAGCCAAGTCATTCCAGGACGAGGTGAACGTGGGACAGATCGGTATCAACGTCCCCAACTTGGGTAAGGAGTCCGTCCTCGCATGTCGTCTCGGTCGAGCTAATAGGAAGTGCAGCTCCATCAGGCGCGATACCACGGACCTCAAACAAGGAGTCCTTCATGGGAGGTGAGTCTTCATCGCCTTGGTAACCAATCTAAAGAAGATCATGGCTGATTTCCTAAACAACGTTTAGACATCCGAGGCATGGGCGCTGCGCGATGGCAGTTTTTCACCAACACAAAGACAGTCACGACACTGTGGAGATCAGATTAGCCAGCGCCTGCTGAAAATTACATTTATTCCAAGCTAGTTCTCGGGGACTGCATCATAAGAAGATATGGGGAGGGTCGTCGCATTGTATTCGAGGCGTTTCTGGGTATCCAATATGGGCATATGAAGACTATTAACCAGGGCGTCGCCCTGGTTTGATGCTGCCCCCTCTCATCATTACCGCCAACATCGTTTTTTTTACGTTTTTCAGGTTGTTAGAATCAGGCTTGAGGCCGTAAGTAGACAGATGAAAAAGTTTGGAACCTATGAAGATTCAGTACGCCGCGTGACTCGCACCCAAAACTCGTCGATCAGCCAAATGCCCTGCACAGACTGTTAGCTGGTCCTCAGACAACGAATATGCCCGCTTGCCTACGACTTACCGCATTGACAATCTTCGCAGGTCGCTCAGGGTGCGCAATCTGGAAATCAAACCGCCGGAGCAACTACAAACGCCCAAGTTAGCCCATGCCCTCTCAACGTAGCACACGGTGCAGCGGCCTCACCTCCACAAAGATCTTGTTGAACTCCATCAGCGCCACCGTCTTCCCGAGACACTGCCACTTCCCCGAGTGGAACACCAGATCGACCGTGCCACTCATCTCCTCCAGCTTGTCGCCCTTGGCCTCCAGCCACCGTTCCGGGACGAACATCTCCGCGTCCTCGCCGAACATCTTCTTGCTATGCTGGATGCCTAGGGGCGAGACACCGAGCTGCGTGCCGCCGGGGATGAACTTGCCGTCGATCGTGTCGCCGCCGGGCGGCACCGTCTTGAAGAAGGCTCCGCCAGCGGGAGGCTTGATCCGCAGACCCTCCTTGATGACGGCCTGCAGGTAGGGCAGCTTGCGGGCCTCGGCGTTGGTGATAGGCGACGAGATTGTGCCCGCGGCGATGCCAGCGTCGATCTCGGCCTGCAGCTTGCGGTGGGCGCTGACGTTGGTGAGCAGGTGGAGGAGGACGATGCGGATGGTGGTTGCTGAGGTGTCGCTGCCGGCGACGACCTGGAGGAGAGCCTCGCCTGATGCTTCTTCCTGTGTGAGGCCGTTGCGGATGAAGGAGCCGAGCATGTCGGATTGGGGGACGGCGTATGGGCCAAAACGCTTGGCTACTACGCTCTTAGCGACGCTGTGGGTTTTGTCAGTTTTTTGAGTGTCGGGGAAGAGTACTCGGGAAGAGGAGCAGAGGGGGGGAGGGGTGGTTTACCCTATGAAAGCACCGAAGCCAAGCTTGTCGCTCTCTTTCGGCAACAACCCTCTCAGCATCGGGGACTGGAGCATGCGGGCGAGGGTGGGGATGTTGCTCAGGATCATCATGATGGGGATGAAGGAGGTGGTGATCTTGATGTAGTCATAGACATCGTCGTCGGTCTGCAAGTAGCCAAAGGCATGGCCGAAGGCGAGATGGCTGATTACGTCGAGGGTGAAGAACTGGCCCTTTTGGCCAAAGTCCATGGGTCGGTAATCGGACCCGGAGGAGATGTACTTGGTCTCGATGAGATCGACAAGCTTAGCGATCTCGTGCTCAATGGTAGCCTCCATCGATTCATTCTCCTTGCCAGCGTACTAAAGATGTGTGAGCAGGATGAGCCACGCTTGGGTGCATCAAGAGGAAAATGCAATTGTTTACAGGGCCTCTTTCAATCATCATGGGAGGATTGAAAGTACCAGGTGAACCAGCCGGGAAGGAAAAAGAAACACTCATATCAAATCATGAGAGAAAACAAACATAAGGAAGAAAGAGAGTAATTACCCCAGCAGTCAACTTGTTACGCAGCTTGGCGTGGGCCTCTTCGTCGCGCATGCAGAACAGATTGTCCCGGGTGGGATCAAAGCGCATGGCATCATACCCTGGTCAAGGGCACGTATGATCTGTCTCAGCGGTCATTGCTTCTAGAACCAACATGCGGCACACACAGAGCGAACCCGACAACACGGGACTGGGACGAGGAATGGGAAAGGGAAGGAAGGGAGGGGAGGGGGCCAGATGGATCATGGGGGCGGCTTACAGGGACCTCGTTCGTAGGCGCCACGGACCGAGTTCATTCGTCTCAACATTTCCGGATCGTCGGTAACCAGCTCGTTGGGACCGATGCGCACAAGCGAGCCTGTAATGTATGACCGTTGTCAGCCAGCCATGTCGCACCAACAACAGTCGCTGAGACAGACGACCCGGGAACGGTCGCCGACCGGTCAATTGATGCGCAGAGGGCATATTCCCCCTTCGAGGCACGTACCGTACTTGTCGTTGGCAGCTTTGATAGACTGCGGCTGGCGGCCCTTGAGCGACTCCCTCACCATCCAGGCTTTGGAGAATGCCGCCCAGAAGGGCCCGGGGACGTGGGAAAGACGGTACCATTGGACCAGCGTCTGGACCAGGATCGCCACGCAACCAATGGTGACGACAGTGGTAAGCAGAGCACCTGTGGCCGACATGATGCTGAAGGACGGCGATGTGGGGAGGGAATCCATTGCTGGTTTGCAAGATTCCTGGTGGAGAAAGGAGTATGGAGGGGAGATGCGGAACCACCTGGGCTACAGCGACTTTATTTGGCAGCTTCCGACAATAAGCAAAAGGAGAACTGGCATCTGGGATGGGCTTGGGAGACAAGGGGACGAAAGGGAAGGAGGAGAAGGAGGAGAGGCCACCCATGCGCGAGTGAGGACAGTTGATGGGACGGGGGATCTTGCTTCGTGGCAGGGGTAGGGAGGGAGGCAAGCAAAGAGCCAGCCCGGCTGTCTGGACTCTGGAGGCTCAACCCCAGCAAGGAGACGACGGCAAGGCGGGCGGAAAGCCGCAGGCCAGCTCATTGCAACATGTATCTAGTCGTTAGCGGACGGGCTAGGAGCGCGGAACTGGCAAGATGTTTGCCAGCAACTCACTAGCGTTGAGAGCTGGAGGGAAGATGGAGGGAAGGGAGTAGGATGCAATGGCAATAGCAATAGGAGTCAGAGCGCCATGATCGAGTTTCAGCGGCCGCGTCTGATCCATTTGCCGCCGCCAGGATGTCTCTTTGGGCGCGTCAGTTGGCCCCGAGGATCCGACGGACTGGTCGGTGGTAAGGTAACCGTACCATGGGGAGGGGAGGAGGCAATTGTCTGTCTGAGCGCGCTGGACGGACTGGGCCCTGCCACCCATTTTCACGACCTGGTCCTGGTCCTGGTCCCGGTAGCGGGATTCGATCGTCGTGCCAATCAATCAAGAATGTGGGCCACGACGCAAACCTCTGTTTTATTTGCTGGCTGGGTGCCATCACATGTACATACGCACATCAATTGCGCGGTTCGCTTCCGACAAAAGTAATACACGTACCCAGTCCCGGGTCCAAGGTTCATGCAAAACACAAAGCATGTGGTCAACCCCTGCCCAGTCTCCCTTGCTGTGTCTTGACCCTTGCCGAGTGCTGCCTGCCGACATCCGGGCCGTCTTGTTTGCTGGCGGCCTTCATGTCGCAGACGAAGGCTAAGGAAAGCGAGACGAGGGCAAGGCGAGCTGTAGCAAAGCTAGGGCGGCGGGCGTGAGCTTCAGGAGCTCTGGCACGCAAATGAGGGCGAGCTGGGAGAGCTGTGGGAGGTCTCGCAATGGAATTTGCTGTGGGTTTGTGGGTTTGTGGATTTTCGCTCCACCGTGTCTCCTCACAGTATCCGTACAGTCCTCTGCGACGGTTTTCGGGCCTGCTGTTATGTCATTCTGGTGCAGCGGGCGTGCTGACCTGCGCGTGAGTGCACACATAGGTACATACCTACATGTACGTATGTAGTCTGATGCAGATGCTCTGCACCGTTGGAATGCGCGCAATGAGGAGGCGGGGTGTGTGCATTGCCGTGGGCTGATCTCGCCCGTCGCTTAAGGTTCAACGGCCATTTAGGCGGCGTTGGGGACGAATGTGGATTCCCACAGGCTGACAGCCCAATGGAAACGGATGGATATGCAACCAGGGACGAGCACAGAGCAGCGCTGGTGCGTGATGGGCGTCATCCCGACCGGTGGTAGGGATTGATTGTGTGTGTGGCGGAGGAGAGCTAAGCTGAGCTTCAAATGGTCGGTGCTTGTCTCATGCGGGTCACTGTATGTGGCCACTGGGCTTCGGCGCTGTGCTGTGCTGGGCGAGAGATGCGAGCCAGTGTGTGCGCTCTATTGGGGCCGTGGTGCTGTCTGGCAGGGGTCCAGGGCCGTAGCGCACGTTCTAGGGACGGCAGCTAGCCACGTCGGGGGCGATGGGCGAGGGCAAACAGGCCCCCCGAGACGATGAGCCACTGTCACTGGCTGGTAGGTGAGGGTCTCACGGCAACAGCCCCAATAAGCGTGCAGCCAAAGGCCCAACAAGCCCCCCAGAGGCTGGAGGCGGCCGATGGAGCTTGCCGTAAGTCGCACTTCATCTCCAGCCGTCCAGCAGGTCTGGTGGTCCCTGCCCCACCGTCCACCTGCGATTCATCCACTGATATTCGCCAAGGCGCACTGACTCTGTCATTTTCCCCTCCCAAAGTCTATCTGTACTTTCTTTTCATCGCGCAACGGCCCGTACTCGGGTTCCCTCATCTAATTCCTTACCTTTTATCCTTTCCTTTCCCATTTGCGATCCTTTCTTCTTCTTCTCCAAACCACCCGGCGCAAACCCTTGTCGGCGCTCTCGCAAACCACCAAACACCATCATCGACCGATCGCCAAATCCGACGACGACCAGGCCCAACTCCTTTCCAGTCTAGCCAGGCGCAAACGGGCACCACCCCTTGTTCATGACTTATTAGCACCCAGCCGCGGTATGAGACAAAATGGGCGCCGGTGACAGCCCCAAGGAAGAGCATCCTGAGAAGGCCCAGCAGAAGAGCAGCCCCAAGCGAAGCCCAACGCGCAGCCCTCCAAATCATCCACCCGACGCCGATGCTCCCATCTTGATCCCGGGCGAGGACGAGATGGAGGCCCCTCCTGCCCTACTTGAACCCGATGTACGAGATTCCGCTCCTCTGTATTTAATTCCATTCGATCAGCTTCCTTCCAGCCGGCCATGAATGCGCGGGTGTGTGTTGGCAGCGTCGCTAACCGCCTCTGTTTGCGTTTTCTCTCGAACAGGACTCGGAATCAGACCCAGACCATGTTTTTGACGATGCAGATTCCGCGTTTGACAGTGTAAGTCGGCCGGGCCAGCAAGCTGCCGACCACCCGCAGCAGGAACCGAAGCGCAAGACCATGATGCTAACTGCAGCGGTCTTCACCCAGACACACTCCTCGACGACGTCAATCAGCGAGGCCATGATTGAGCAGGTCAAGGAACATGGCCGCCAGTACAAAGGCTACTTGGGAGCAAGTATGTGCCACCCTCCCCTTCCCCCCCCCCTCCTTTCTCTCCCCTCAACGAGCCTGCTTGGAACTAACCTGGTGCCCAATTAACTAGAATACGTGCTTCCGATGGACGAGGTATTCCGCCATTTCTCTTTTCTTTCCCATCTCTCCTTGGCTCTCATCACAGCACACCAAACGACCCACACACACGCCCTCCGTAGCGAAACGTGTTGGATGATTGATCATATTGAGCGCACAAAACGGGATGCCACAGCATAATAAACGCAATGCTAACCAAGCCTGGCTTACTCGACATAGCAAGAAATGGAGCGTTTGGGTACGTGGCCACCCTCTGATCATTATTCACATTTTTAGTCAACCTCTGCCCCACCATCCATCCAGCACATCGATTCACTCAACACAGCTGTGTATGTGTGCTAACAAGATTGGCTGGCTTCAGATCTCCAATGTCATCTCGTATGGCTAACATTAGACAAACGCCTTGCCATTGCCCCCATCAAGAACCCCCGTCGGGCAATGGACGTGGGTTGTGGCACGGGTATGTGGGCTATTGATTTTGGTACGTATCGCCCTTTCCTCATCCTCGCTTGCCTTCACAAGCGCAATCGCAATCCATTGATACTAATTTCTCACATGCATATAGCCGATGCGTATCCTGGAACAGATGTCGTAGGCGTTGACATTGCACCAACGCAACCAAACATGTATGTTCCTGTGGCTTCACTTCCCACGCGACTATGTCGATGTGCCTCGGATCGGGGACTGAAACGAGGCTGATGCGATGCTTTTTCCTCTTACAGGACACCTCCAAACCTTCGTTTCGAGCTCGACGATCTAGAACGCGAGTGGACCTTTACCAGCAAGTTCGACTACATCCACAGCCAGTTGATGATTGGCGCCTTTCAAGATTGGCCGAACTTCTTCAAGCAGAGCTTCGAGTACGTATCTCATATTACGGTTCCCCTTTACCAATACCCTTACCCTGTCTCGGCCTGTGTTGTCCCAACCAGATACTCACCAATTGATTCCAGCAACCTGGAAGACAGCGGATACCTCGAAGTGGCCGACATCGACTTCGTGATCAAATGCGACGACACCACCCTCGAGAAAGAGTCAGCCCTCAACGTCTGGCATGAGAAAATGCATGAGGGCGCCACCCTCGCGGGCTTCCCCCTCGACGCGATCAGCAAGGTCCCCGACATGATGCGCGACGCAGGCTTCGTCGACGTTGTCGCGATTCCATACCCATGGCCCATCAACACCTGGCCCAGGGACCCGAAGCACAAGGAAGTCGGCAGGTGGGCGATGGAAAACTTCACCATAGGCTGCGAGTCGATGAGCCAGGCGCTGTTCACGCGGGCTCTGGGGTGGTCAATTGACGAGCTTCGAGTCTTCATGACACAGGTACGCCAAGATTTGAAGAACCGGAGGATACACGCATATTGGAATTTCTGGGTGGTGTATGGTCGGAAGCCGGGCTACGGCTCTGGATAGAACGCGCGTATTGGTTTGGAAGACGGAGGATGTTCTACATGCTGCTTCATCGATTGATTACACTCATCTTGATCAGCGACGCGATACACGAGCCATGATGCGATAACGACTTGCAGGGTTTGGGTTTAAATTGATTGGATTAACCTCTTTGGAAAAGGGGCTGGGGCGCACACATCCAGGCGAGCGACTTCGTACTTGAACAAAACCGCAGCGTGTCTTCTTCAAATTTACTATGTTTCCTATGTATCCCCCGAGAACAAGAAACTGGTGAGGAATCATATTGTCAGCAAGCGAATTAATTTGGGGTTCGTTCGGCGATTTGCTGCGCGTTTGTTGGCGGGAAACGCGTCGGAATGGGTGACGTAATGGCCGTGTGCTGATGCTGACGGGAGTTTGTGTCCTCCACTACCTGGGCTGGAGAGCAATTGACGGCGATTACTCAAGATGTAGGACAGCAGCCTTGACCTCGCTCGATTTACATTAAACTAGCATCCGCTCGATATTTGTGTATGGTTCCATTGGTGGGTGCAGTATTGTGCGATCGCAAGTTGCTCCCACAAAGCTGGGACAGTCCCTGGCAAGCGACTGACATAAAACATAGCATACTAAAGCTCTTTTTATGTAAGTTAGGGACCTTATTTTATTATTAATAATACTAATTATAATAATAAGTTAATTATAAATTATTCTCTATAATATTTAGCTTAATATTATGTTTATTACTAGGTAAATTATTTTAGTATTATGTTGTAATTTAACGCTAGAGGTTCTGGGTGTGCTATGTTTTATGTCAGTCGCCTGCCTGGTAGCAGTTCGGGCCATCGCGACCGTATCCACACCCACGTTCTGCTGTAGTCGGGGTATGGACGCTTGTCAACATGGTAGACCTGGCTGTAACATTATGATACGCATCTGTATGCGTGCTGGGGCAATTAGTCCCCGTCATGCAGGGCTCTAAAACCTTTGGATAACTGATGCTATGGTCGAAGATACTGTATTATGTAATACAGCTAGAGTCATGGTAAACTTCCCACAATCAGCTTGGATGGGAGCTGACGACGAACATCTTGACACACCTAAATGTTGTCTATGCCATACTTCCTTTGCAGAACCAAATGTTTATCTTTAGGATAATGAAATCCCGATTGTTGCATGATTAATAAATCACCATAGACTTGAATCATTGTCCTCATTGGATGACTACAGGGTAGGTCAATGGCTGTTGGAAGTAAAAGCTCCATTATTTTTATTACTCCTTCCCCCACCAGCGGCATCGGACCCTGAAAGTCTGACTCAGGGGCCACTTAAAGTTGCTGGCCAATCAACAGCTCATCTTCTGCGGCGGTGAAGGGCAGAAAGAATTGGTCCACCAAGCTTGATCTCTCAGCAACGCCTGAGCTGAGCCTTTGTTTCTTTGTCATCGCAAGACTTCTTTCTGATCGCGAATTTCCCAAGGCACGCATCCCCTGACCCCAACAGATAACCCCCGCTGGTACCACCCGCCATCCTCCTGGCTGCGAGCCTCAGCTGACAAGTACTCCGCGGTGCAGCCATCCCGGTCGCAATTTTCTACCCCTCATTCCGACGCGTTTCTGTGAGTTTAGCATCATCCACGACCACCCCTCAGCCGTATGGGCAATTGCATCGCCAGCTTCTAATCTTGCCACATGTGGCTCCCTTTCAGATCTAGTCGAAACATCTCCCTCATCATGTCCTACTTTCCCATCCTCCTCCGCGCGGAGCAGAAGCCCCTCGAGCATCGATCCTTCTCGCCATCCGTCATCGGCTCCCTCGTCAAGGCCGGCCACCCCGTCTCAGTCGAGCGTTCATCCACCGACCCCAACTTCCGCCGTATCTTCAACGACGAGGAGTACGAGGCTGTCGGTGCCACCCTCGTCCCTACCGGAACATGGCCCAATGCCGCCCCAGGCACCCTCATTGTCGGCCTCAAGGAAATTCCCGAGGAGGATTTCGCCCTGAAGAACGACCATCTCGTATGCCATACCCCCAATTGAGCAGAAAATTAACCGTGTTGACACGACACGGCCAGAGCTTTGCGCACTGCTATAAGCGTCAAGGTGGATGGGAGCAGGTCCTGAGCAGATTTCCCCGCGGCGGCTCGACCCTTTACGATCTTGAGTTTTGTATGAGGACCCCCGTCACTCCATGTCGCTTCCCTCTGTCGACACCATTGGCCGGGAAGAACTTGTAACTGACTTTTCAAGGAGATGGGGACCAACGACGCATCTCGGCCTTCGGGTATCATGCTGGATTTGTAATCCTCCCGCCAACAGCCCGTACCCAAGAATATATCTAACTTTTGATTACAGACTGGCGCGGCACTCGCATAAGACTTTGAGTTGGAACCTTACCCATCCAAATGGCGAGCCACTCCCCTCCGTCGCGAGTTACACCGATGGCCGAGGATACTATCTTAACCAGGAAGAACTTGTGGAGCAGATCCGAGGCGACGTTGCTGTGATTGATAAGGAGCTGGGCCGCAAGCCCACTACTATGGTTATGGGTGCCCTTGGACGCTGTGGAAGAGGTGCCTGCGATCTGTTCGCTGCTGTTGGGCTGGAGTGAGTTTCTGCTTTCCCTCCGTTCTGAGTACCGAGAAGACCCTCATGAGGAGTGGCACGACGGAGTTCCATGATGAGATACTAAACTGGAGTAGGACCACCAAGTACGATATTCAGGAGACGCAGACGCCCGGTCCTTACAAGACTATTGTCGAACATGATATCTTCCTTAATGCGGTGAGCCGAGGGCCCCTTTCAAGGAGTTCCATATTTCCCTAGCTGATCCCTCCCCTTCGCAGATTTACCTTTCGGAGCCTATCCCTCCATTCATCAACCAGGAGCTCCTTGCCCAGCCTGGCCGTAAGCTCGGAGTCGTCTGCGACGTTTCATGCGACACCACCAACCCCCACAACCCGCTCCCCGTTTACAGCATCAACACCACCTTCGACGAGCCCACTGTCCCCGTCGTCGGAGAACGATCAGAACAGCACACCCCTGTCAGTCATCAGCATTGACCACCTCCCCTCTATGCTGCCGCGTGAGAGCTCGGTATCATTCAGCGACGGCCTGAGGGAGGCGCTCCTCCAGCTGCACCAGAAGGATACCCACAGGGTGTGGACTGATGCTGCCAAGCTGTTCAACGAGAAGGTTGCAGAGCTCCCCGAGGCTCTCCGGGTCAAGGATTTATAGAGGATTGGAGTGGAAACCGGACAGAAAACGACTTTTTGATAGATGTCTGATGAAAAGATAGAGAGGAGTCCGTACAGTAGACAGTGAAGCCCCACCCAAATGATGATGATGTTGTTGCAGTAGTGGCGATGTGCTACAGCAGATAAAAGGACAAAGAATGAAGATATACTTGAAACCGCCGTTCCAGTATTGTGTTGTGAAAGCTGTTTCAGCCCGTCTTTTATTTGACAAGCTATTCGTGGCATCGCGAGTGAGCCGGCAGGCGACTGACATAAAACATGGCACACCCAGAACCTTCAGTATTAAATTTCAACACAATATTGAATAATCAACTTAGCAATAAAAATAATATCAAGCTGAATATCAGAGAATAATTCATTATTTTCTTATTATTGTGTTTAGTATTCTCAATAAGAAGATTAAGTCCCTACCTTACGTGAAAAGGGTTCAAGTGTGCCATATTTTATTTCAGTCGCCTGGCCGTCACTGCCTTAAACGATGACCATTGCCGGTGTAATGGGTACAAGTGATGTCTCGGTGACGATCTATCATCAAGTCCCACAAAGGCGTCGAGTAAGGCAGACTGAGTGTTTCAGGGGGCTCGTGGCTGGGAGATGCGTAATAAGCATGGCTAGCGACGTTGAACTTCGTTAACTACAGTATCGGAATAATTCATCCACTAGTAAACAAGTTAAGACTATTAGTTATACACTAGATGGATCTTCACTCGCCATTATGGTTGCTATTGTTCACTAATGGATAATATGAGTCTATGTCTATAACTTTTTGAGTGAGGCTGCGAGAGCCTTTCCAGTACGCCATGTTTCATCTCAGCCACCTACCTAGTGAGTGATCTGCACCGCTTTGCTGCGGTCAACGCCGCTGCAGTGCTACTTGACTGTCTATATTAGGGAGGGCGGCTGATGGCTGGTTAAGTTACACACTCAAAAGTACTTATGCCCAAGCCTCACTCCTGATCCATCCCCTTGATGTCTCAAGACTGAAGTGGTGCGGCCGAGAAGGAATTGCACAACCTAGGTAAGATGCACATATATCATTAAGCATATTCCAGTGCTGCCCCAGATGCTGGCCTAAACCCTTCCCCGCCTCCATAATCGACCTATATTCTGTCGATTGTTATCACATTAGGCAAAATGGCAACTCAGCCCGAAGAAATATCGCGACAATCTTCACCACTAGTCCCTTCTGAAGATTTGCGACAGTCTGGTTATGTCTCCTCTACTGAAGGCTCCTCTGCTGGAGACTCCTCTGCTGGAGGGTCCGGCGAAGGCCCGAAAGGACGACGAAGGTCGCTACGGGTGATAATTTTATTAACGGATGTGGTAGTCCTGGTTTTGAGTCTTGGCCATCTTACGCTTACTGTTGTGCTCATGTGTTACAACGGTCGCCCTGTTGACGCGAGCTACGATATTCTTCAATCTGTTCTGACTACTGTACGAATAAATGATATTGCGGCGTTTTACAACCGACTGTTTCAGCTGACTGCTCATTCCAGATCGGACCAATATTTCCCATGGTGTTTGCTTTCATCGGCAGCCGGTTTTTGTATCACGCTGCTCGCTACCGACTGGAGAATGGCGCTTCACTTGGGGCACTTGAACAGTTGATGGGAAGCGTTGGACTTCCTTCCGATAGGCAACATATCAGTTGGGAACAGCACGTTTTATCTTGAGTCATCTCACTTGCAACTGAATTGTGATTCCGCCACGAGCCACAAACTGCACAACAGCACGCAATCGTTTTTGGAAGCCGAAACCCCCCTTATCAAGATAGAACTAAATCATGCTAACAAAATAGCTCTTGTCAGTGAGGGGAATCGAACCTTCCCAGTAACGAAAGATGGAAGGACATTCGTGAATGGCTCCTGGTACGGTTTTCAACACGCCCAGTCCCAATATACGGAGTGGAATATCGCGGTCGATCGGTTTGTTGACAAGTTCTGGTTCACTGCATTCGGAACGAGACACTATACGAACAAAACCAAGTACGATCTCTACCTCTACCCTAACATGGGTGTTTTCGAGAACGAAACAGCAATTGAGGCCGGTCCGACCTATCTGCTGTTCCAAACAAGACGGAACATCACATTTCAAAACTTTGATCTTGGGAAGGACGAGTTCCGCTATTTTGAGGTGCAGAAGGCAAAATGTCTGGTTCTTCAGAAATACGTGGAATCCCGCGCCACTTGCTCCCGAGCGACTCATGAATCAACAGCCGACTGCAGAGTAGAGTCACAACGCCCATCGCAGAAGCAGCACCCGTCGGAGAACCTTTCTATTCTCTCACATCCATATGTGTTTGCGCATCTTGCAAAAAATCTCCCCACCACAGTTCAGGCCGGTGGCGCGAGTGACCCGACGCTTTGGAGTATCTCCGATCAACCAGAGCCTCTCATCTTTGATAGGCCCATGCTCCCGAACTTCACCAATATCTCGGCATCACAGTTGAGTCGCGGGCTGACCAAGGTAATCAACTCCTACATGCTGATAAGACATGCAGACAAGAACCTGCTACCACGGCAATTAAGCGGTGACTTTGAAGGCAGAGGGAGCGGAAAGTATTGGAGCCTCACGTCAGCTGAGACGACTCATCTCACTCGGGTATTCTCTGTGTCCTTGCCGTGGATGGCTGCTTGTTTTGCTTCGTGTGGTGTTCTGGCTGCGTGTGGAATCATGGGAATCATTTTGGTACATCGTGGGAATAGCCCAGAAATACTAGGATTTGTATCTGCCATCGTAAGGGACTCCCGATATATCACGATTCCTACCGATGTTGATCATATGAATGGGGAAGATCTCTCAAGGATGCTGAAGAGTGAGCGGCTGAGGTATGGATACACAAGTTTTGAAAGCAGGGAGGCACCGCAGATGGGCATTGGACGGGAAACAGAAATCACAAAGATCGAGGGATCGTGATATTGGAATCGGTCTTTCAATTGCAAACCGGCGACCTGTTGCTATACGATTATGAATGTGGCTAAACAGGCTCTGGTACACCGTTTGGGGCAAAACTGAACCCGGCGAGTAAGGATAATTGGTACATGCTTGCTGAGAGTCATTCAGAACCGGGAGAGTCTAGGTCTTAGCAGATCCTTCAGATATGAGCCTGGCAACATATCTTGCTAGCTTTGATATCAGCTTTCACAGAGTCTAGGGATTCAAACAACGTTCACCGACGTCAGGTATGCAACGTGTTTCTCGTAGATTTCCATGGCCTATTACATTTTAGGAAGATCGTCCTTAGGTAGGACGCTATCGAACCCATTCCATTAGATGTTGTTGACATCCCATTTGTTCGACACTCTTGATGAAAGCTTTTTGGCCCGATTAGCTATGTGCCAAGCGACTGACATAAAACATGGCGCATCCGGAACCTCTAGTGTTAAGATTTTAACATAATACTAAAAATAATTAACCTAGTAATAAACACAATATCGAGCTAAATATCGTAGAATAATTTATTATTCTCTTATTATTATGTTTAATAATCAATGAGGTCCCTACCTTACGTGAAAAGAGCCTTGGTGTGCCATGTTTTATTTCAGCCACTTATGTGCCTACGCGGGTGAGGTTTTAAAACAGTGGCAGTGGTCTAGCAGGGTTACCTAAGCCTGCTAAGCATAAAACACAGCGCCTTCCAAGGGAAGACGAGCATATGCCGCTGTTTAGTGACCTAGTGCTCCTTCCTCTACAGAAAACGTTCCTTCCTCTACAGAATATTGCCTTAACAGTCTAAAGACATCCTGGAAGCAGAGTTACAGTAGAGCTTTAGTAAAAACAACCTCGCCAGCAAGTAGCATTTTCACATTTAACGAGCATATTATGCCTATGTTGAAAAACACCTGTCTGGAAACCCCCCTGACGCAGGCAGGTAGTTTGGGCTCATTGAAAGGACCAACACGAGAAGGCTAGATAGACGATTGCTCCGATGGAATAACCCACCGTAAGGGGTACTATTGAAACAAACTAGAGACCGCGATTCAACCGTGCTCACACTGAGTTACCTGCCACATCTTGCTTCACTCATTTGTCGCGGGCCTCATCCTCAGCCCTCCGGCCTAACATTTGCGCACCTTTGGCTCATCATCTCTCAAACTCCAGCAAATGATGTGGATTCACGCTTCGTGGACCAGGAACATGCCATTTATGAGCTGTTCTGTCAAGCACGAGCCCGCTGATAGGTGTGATAGGTACCTGGGGGGCGCAGAGTCCCAACGCTGCATGCAACTTGCAAGGGAAAATCAGCAGGTGCAGTGGTAAGGATAACCCAGCCCAAGGGCGACCATGCCAAAAATAGCAAACCCCAAGAAGGCCAAGGAGATCAGCGCAATGAGCACCCATGCCAAGGCACCAATGCAGCCACAGTAGAGAAACATCCGCTCTTCTCTATCCATATTAGGAAACCTCGTGAAAAGCTCGAGGGTAAATTTCTCGCAAAAAGCGTGGTGCGTGGGTTAATGATCAATATGGCGAAATCCGTGGTGAGGCAGACGAAGAGATGGAGCTTTTGGCCGGTAGCGGGATGAGAAATAGTCGGGATGGAGTTCTCAATACTGGTAGATGAGAGGTGTACGAGAAGAAGAAGACGGTGGAGGAGTTGGATTGAGATTTATAGTTGGGATGTAAGAAACACCATATACATCTCTTTGTACCATTGGGCAAACCCTGCCTATCTGAAAGTACGGTATCTACTAAAAACAAAGAACCTGAACAAGAACTTTTGTAATGAATTGTGGGTGAAGATTTGGTGAAGCTCGCCCATAGTTCATCTCTTTAAACAATTGGGTTTGGAGGCGACGTGGCATTCTGGTTTGATGTTTGGTAATTACAGGATGGCGGACTTTTTCCGCGATGTACAAAGAACATCGCCACAACACGCCTTGCCAATATGGTGTTTCTCAACAAACTCACTTTATCTAGCTAAAACAATACAAAACTTGGCCCACGTCGTTCAAGTGACATGCAATTTTAGTGCCAGAGCACCGCAAGTAAAAAGGATTAGAGAAAGCCTGGTATCACCGTTGGGGACGCCCCGCTGTCCTCCCATGATGATTGGCTACCCCTACAATTGAAGTGGGTGACAAGAGAAATGAGACACCTAATCGAAGAGTTGGCTACAAACAGACGACTTTCTACAATAAAGAAAGAATTTTAGCAGAATAAAATAATAAAAAGTGATAATAAATACTATATTATCTCTGAAGTACGTATTATTAGTACTCAATAATCTGATAATACAGGCCATAGACTTGAAAATAAGCAGCTTAATGTTTCAGTGTCTTAATTTCAGTGTCACCCACTTGCCCCAGTTGTGCGAAGATAATAGCAGGGCGAAGTTCGCTCCCAGATTCCGCTCCTTCAATATGGTCATTCAAAGTCGACATAGGCGCCATATCGTCCTAGTCCTCGAATCCAGCAATTTCTTTGTCTTCTTTTCTCAGTAGGTGACTCATAAATTGTTTCTTGGTTCTAGTTGAGGAAAAAATTGTCTTCGGGTGTGAGGTGATGTCTCTCGCATGGCCCGTCTCCCCGTAGGTCTTATATCCCCCTTTGATTTTCACCACCCACTGGCGAAGCTTTTGTAGGGGTGATTTACCCCCCATTGCGCCATCTCTTGTTTCAAAGAGCAAATCAGCCGCATCACTAGCAGCTCCATGTGTGACATCCTCGCCCTTGGCTCGGCTGCCTGGCGGTTTCGAGTGAATGTGGAGAATCAAAATAGGAAACTTAACCATTAATATAGCTTCGGATCTTGCATCATGCGCGGAGAAATACTTATTGGCATGCATCAGTCCTTGACATTTCCTTTTGTAGCTGGATTACCTCGGTACAAGCGCTCGTTGATCGCTCCAGTCTTCACATTTTACTATGTTTGAATTCCATGATTAGTTCGAGGTTCCGCTCTAATATCAGCCCTTGCTCAATGAGAGTTGGCAAGGAATTGCACTCCCAATTGAAGGTAATTATTCCTTTAGAGGAAGATGTCCTAACCAGAGAACTTCACTAGGAGGTAAGAAATGGCGGTCTCACGGTTCTGTTGTCTCAGAGGCCATCGAGCACCGTAACATAGGCGTCAAGATTTCACACATTTTGATCAAACTTCTCAGATCATAACAAACTGTCGATTGCGAAAATCGTACAGCAGGTCATCTAGAAGCAGTAAGAGTCAAGGCCCAAGTCCGAGAACATAGTTCCACCAACACACTGTCCATTCGCAACTGCATTACTGCACCCCTGTTAGTGATTCGGTGACGGGTTGAATGAATTCTTTTCAACAAAAAAGACACCGCCCGTCACCAACTGGGCGGTTTCGCACCCAAAAAGCTTGCCCCGACACCGGCTGGCTTGCGAACATAAGCTCAACTTTACAAAGTAAAGACGTTCGCGTTTCCTAGTTGTTCGAATTGACCATCTGCCGTGCGGTCGCCAGATATTATCTCTACTCTTTGACATGGTCATTTTCTCAAGGTTCTCAACTTACAAAGCGGGGTGGAAAGATGATAGAGGCATGTGACCAGAGCCAGATGGGCAATGCAGACCAGCAACTTCTGTGTTCGAGGCCAGAAAGGACCCATTGGGTACACACTCGTGTGCTCTTAATTAAATGAGAGGTTGGTGAGGCTAGGAACCTCTTCGTCATGATGAGCACCCTGATGGTGAACATGGCCAAAGCTCCCAAAAGGCTACGTAGGGATTCCTTCAATCCTTGACGAAACACCAGATGGCTTCGCCACCTCCCGGCTTCGTACAGCTGCCGGATTCGAGCAGCCGGGGCGATAGCCGAGCGATCTACATGACGATGAATTCACCGAGTGCCTAGGCCTCCCGTTTCATCTGGATCCCCCTGATCACAACTGGTTGCCTATCTGTACGATCGGCGTACTGCGTAAAACCTAGACCGCTTCGAGACTTACAATAGCTCCGAAACAGCCGATGTGCAATTCATTTTTCGGGATCCATAATAACCCCCCTGAATACCGCAACATTCTGCCTTCTTTGGGGTCCTGTTTGACCCAAGTTTGATTAGCGGACTTGCATCCTTCTTGCCACCCGTCTACGCGGGCGTAAACAACTACGCGCGCATTCTAGAAATAGATGGGAAAACTGGGGTATGAGAACCTTGCCTTACTGACCAAGGAAAGCATTGAGGAGGGCTAGCAAGTCCTCAGGGGCGTACATCCCGGGCGACCCATAAAAGGGCCACAGAGTGGTAAGGCCTGTGAGGTCTAGACGTCATTATGAGCCTCCCTTTGACTTGCCCGCGTCAAGGAAAGATCAGGGAGCCGGGCCCGATATACCAAAAGTTGGATTTCCTCTTTCGAGAGGCCGTAGAATCCAAAGAGCTAGTTAACCAATCTAAACATGTGATTTCAACATCGGGCGGAGTGTGAGGGAAGGTTGTAGGGCGGAACTATACCTAGGGTACCCAACTACAGTGCGTTTGAACAGAGTTTCTCACGGCTTCTTCATTCAGACTTCAGTTTGATGAGCGCTGATCTAACTTCTCGCTTTTGAAATTAGAATAGAGCAAGATGAAGAAGGACCGTATTGTGAAAACTATACTTGCAATCTAAAATGCTGTTCATCAACACCTAAAAGTTGAATCGAGGATGTGAAGGTACAGAAATTCTCTGTGATAAGTCATTGATTTATAGTTACTAGACAGCTTGAAATTGAAGTCGAGACCGATTCAAGGAAAGAATTATCGGGAGTATCATATATACTAGTAGTAAGTGAGCAAGCTATGCAGGTTATATGGTAGGTGCTGAAAAAAGAGGGATAATACCAGAATACCTTAAGAAATCGACAAATTGATGCTATACTCAGCATCAGAACACAGTCAACACATCATATTAGGTCTTTTTGCTCGGTCGTATACAAGGGTTAACGCTAACAATGGCTTGTGTCCAGCATGATGACACTTTTAGAAGAGAAATTGATGGTTCTATCCCGAACCGTCATCCCAAACCCTCCGCGATCGTAATCCAGGCAGCCACGCCATTAGGGAGATATCTCTACAGAATGAAACCTCCCTCAAGGGCCCTCTCTAGTGTTTAGAGTGCGAGTTACACGATTGCAAGTCACCTATGCAAGTGGGAGACCAACGTAGCGTTCGGTCTGAGCCTTGTGAGGGTGATCTGACGGGTTTAGAAAATAGGTAATCGAGAAATTAAACCTCTTCCTTATTAGACTATCAGTCAGTAGAATGTGTAAGACATAATTCCCATATCCACATGATTCAAAGATATATATAAGCGAAGAAACAAGTTTGACATAGGTATATATTGAACTATGTCTAGCTAGACAAGCACACACTTGGGCCCCTTGAGCTTGCTCTGAGCCGATGGCAGTTGCGGCATAATATTTTGATGCAGTATCTATTTCCAACCCCCCCTACGATTATTTTTACAGCGTCTTCATTAAACGCCAGCCCGGGTCATAGGATGTAGAATTGCCCACAAGACTGGATGGTAACTTAGTGGCCGCAAGGGCAAGGCGCCCCGATCGCCATGTCTGGCCTGCAAATACCGCAACCGCTCTTGCCTCGAACGCATACCTTTCCCTTGGTCTTGGGGAAGTACTGGCAAGTGCCCATAGGACCAGCCTGGAGTCGTCGTTAGAAAAGAGACAATTGGATGGGAAGAACTATTTCTTACACGGAGGAAGAGATCGCGCTTCTCAATGTACTCGTCACGAGCGGCGAGGTACTCCTCCTGGGCGATCTCAGCAAGCTGGCGGCGGGAAAGGCCAGCGTACTCATCGTCAGCATACTGCGCGGCAGCGAAGCTGGAGAGGGCGAAAAGAGAGACGACAGTCTTGATGAAATGCATTTTGAAAAGGCTGGCAACGAAATAGAAGGTGCTGTGAGAAAGCTTAAGAAAGCGTGAAGCAAAACAGAAGAATGGTAAGATTTTAATAAATTAATGCTAAGCAAAACCTTGAAGATTGGACAGAAGAGAGAGTATTATATACTTCTGCTTTTGCCTGGCCCTTGACCACCCTTGTCGGATGAAGTCCAATGGGATAAGTTCCTCCCCTCTGGCACCCAACACGGTAAGTGGTCAGGCGTTTGGCGGGTTGCTAATCCAGTATGTCTACTTATTTTATTTTTGCTTCTATTTTATTTCCGCTAATAACTTGGCAATCCTTCATTATGGGACCTTTTCCAAGAAGAGGAGGACCCGAGCCGCTGGTAAATGCGTTTGAGGGACGGCAGGGCCATGGCCTGATCTGCCAACTGGACTATTCCCATTCTGATGAGAAGCACGGATGAAATTTTATGAGAGAATAATCCTCGTAGTTTCCGCATCAACCTCCCCAGTAATCGGCGTACTCTTCATGTGGTGAGGAGACTGGCCCTGAGGTCCGCGGAAGATTCGGCCAGGTGCCCCCTGGCTCTATTTTCGGCATTTCCATTTGGGTCGCGACATTGATAAGAACCCCGGACGTCAAATTAGGCATCCATCTAAGTACTGAGCCCTCAAACACAGATGTCGATCTACCAGAGGCGAGAGGAAGACATGCTGGTGATGAAATTACCCAAACCCCTCGTTCGAAGTGAAGCCAAATAAAACAGAAACCTCGACCAAATCAAATATATGAAATGATTTGCTGGCATGTACGATAATTCGTACAGAATTGGTATTCCGTATTCATCATTGATCAGGATTTTCATGAAATTTCCTCGCTTAGGGAAGTCCCAAGATAGATATCCTCAAGGGTAGTTGGGATTGATCTAGGTAAAAGCTGCAATAACGTTGTCAAAATGGGGACATGCACCCTATTCTCTCCTACACATCCCACGGAAATGTTTGCACCTTGGGCTCTCTGCTGTATTTTGGCTCTACGGTATTCATTTCACCTATTTCGAAAATTAAATTAGCCTCAGACCTGTGAAGAAGGTATTCTTGGCTGGAATTACTGACGCTCTCGTTTCCAAATGACACCTTCTTACGAATTAAGAGGATGGGCGGCGGCATGCAACCGATTGTTGCCTGATCAACATAAAAGAACAGCTGAAGCGAAGTCCAGTCAGTGATAAGATGGAAACATGGTATAATTCGTAATCTGATTGTTCGCATACATTGAGGTATCTAACGAAACCTTGTTGGTGCCACTGTAGCAAGGCCCAATAGACGGGAATAGTGTTTGTTGGGTCCCCTAAACTACATGTATGAAGCAACTAAGTCTTAGCTGGTAAGATTCCGGAGAATGCAAAAGATGGCACTATTAAGAACGAAAAGCCAAGCTATTGTGAGTTGAAATGTGGGAATTGGGGCTAATCAGTCCAATTCTTCATGAATTCTCGTATTTCAAAGAGCCCTGCGGCACATACCGCACACCTGAGCTGTATATGCCTGCCTTAGGTGCCAATTAGGCCCGACTATGAATTTTTGTCACAAGTGTCACACCATATGCCAGGTGTACGCCACTCGGGTTTCCCCATGGCCTTTGCTCAGGAGGTGGAGAAGTACGTGCGGCGCTTCCTCCGCATCAGAGTCATGAAAAAGCGACGTAGGACATTAATGGACAGTAGGGAGTGGCGGGAATGTCCTCCATCTAACTGGGGATATATCGTTTCCCTAGACTAAGCTAATTATCATAAGTAACTAGTCGTTCTCTCACTTATTGCATGGCCTCTTCATAGGAGACAACAGTTGCGGTCGCTTCAATTTGTGTGATGAGAAAGACACTTTCAAGACACCATGGTCTGAGGGGATAGGGTAGCCAGTCTCTTGTCCTCGCACAAAGACCCGAGACTGACCGCTGGTTGGAGGAAATGCTCGAGATCACTAGGCAAGGAGTGGCTAGCCCAGAATCCTTGGATATTTTCTCTTTTACCAGGATGGGTTAGTCTTGCTTCTCGAATTAACATGCCCATCCCATCTTTCTTGGTATAGTACATAGTACGCTGCTACTTCTCAAATTTGACCTTGAGTTTATTGACCCCAGTACGAGGGGAAGTCACCGCACACATGGCGTTGACGGAGTGGCATTCACGACCAGGTACCCATGTGGGACGCGGAGCAAGGTGCGAGCTGTACTCCCGTTTTGTACGTCGGCTAGGCTCTCTTCTGGACAATGGATCACCGCCAAGGCAATCCCAAGCCACTGATAAGAAGACCGTTTGGTTCTCACTAAAAAGCGTACTGTATGTAGAAGAACCAGGTGGAGCTCAACACCCTAGCAGACATCCACCGTCAGCCTGCGGCGTTGGTGGAAGTGGATCTGGTAATTCTGGCCAGAGATGAGTACTGGATCTAGCCATCTATGAGAAAGCAAATAAAGTTGATGAGTAGAGGTTTTCTTGGTATAACAAAGAGGAGCCTCCCACATACGCGGCCGGCCATTGTTAAAGTCTAGAACCAGGTGATCAGGCACGATGGAACTGGCGTCTTGATCCATTACGCCCCAAGGATTGATGATGGGGTGGCTCACCAAATGTGCAAGACTGGATCAGTCTGGAAATCGCCGTACCAGCTCGTACGGCAGCCAATCATCTGCCCTTGAACCACGAGATCCATGTCGTATGACAGCCAGGAAGCCGTCTCCTATACGCTCGCACAGACCCTGGCCGTGCATACGCACGCTACGTGCCGGACAAGGATGCTCATTTACCTGCCGGTCAGGGGTTGGTTCCATGTCGACAACCGTTACCGGATCAAGGGGCCATGATGCGAGCCGGTCAAAGATACTGAGCCAGGGTGAATCGGACAAGGATGGCCAACATGCAGCTAGTTGGTCTTCCCAGGAGTATGGAATTGCCCCTTGCAGACCCAAAGCTGAGAAATGAGGCGCCAGTTTCCCCCCAGCGCGATCAAGCGCGGCCTTTCACCTTGTTTTCTGGATTAGGTCTCGTATCAAAAACATACCGATATTTTCAACTTTCTCGTGAATATCTAGCTAGAGCTTTTATATAGCATTTTTATTGTATAATAATTTGCTTTTTTTAGTGGAATATTTCTTGCTATTGTCTTCCAAGAGCCAAGGCCTTTCGCTAGTTATCTCCCCAACCACATGTTAACGAGACAAGGAACATGGCTGGAAAAGCAGGCCTTGGCGATCCATAGACCGTTCTGATATTAGGTAGACCTAGCTCGTGGCAATTACGCCTCAAAAAATTCCTTCATTTATGGCGTCCAAGCTCACTATAGCCATCTACGCATTAGCTATCCTGGCCGTTGAAATTCACGTACTAGGTACCTAGATGTTCAGCATAGAAAATTAAGCCTGAGGGAAAACAGGCAAGCGGACGCGTCCACGGTCGAAAAGAGAGCCCTCGAGTCTCAGCCATCGATGTGACGAACCCTATGTACACCCTGAACATACATCTGCTCGTTTAACATGGTAAAGTGGGCAAAATCGGTCTTTGATGCGCCCCAGAGTTACTCTATCTGGCCGAGAGCATAACGGAGGCAGCCAAATTGCTATTTTTGTACACCCCAGAGTTTTACCCTAGAAGGGTTTAGAGCCCCTCCTCGACCGTTGAGAATCCATCGCTTCACAGAGATGGCGCACAGAGTCATGTTTAGTTCCTGATTGAGGAGGCCAACTTAACCAAACACCAAACCATCCACGATGTATGGACGGAACCCGACATTGTGGGAGAACCCGTGGAGTCGCCGCCCAAACCAACATGCCTCCCTTGGCGATTGTATTGCGGCCGGAGACCAGAGCTCGAGGCACCCATGTGTCAAAGGAGATATTCTTGAGAAAAAATGAACTCGATGCTCTGGTAGGATTTTCACATTCTATCTTGGGCATCGTGATAAATGAAGAATGAAGAGGTTGAAAAGTATATAAATCGCTCTTTTCTCTGTCTTTTGGAGTTGGAATCATCCATCAACAGCTTTCTTGCATCATCATACAATCAATAATCTTAAAACCCTCTCTTTAAATCAAGACTTCAATTCTTTCCAACTTTCAAAATGCACTTCATCAAGTCCCTCGTCTCCCTCGTCGCTCTCGCCGGCTTTGCTGCTGCGCAGTATGCTGAAGAGGAAGACTACGCCGGTCTCTCCCGCCGTGAGGTCTCTGAGATCGCTCACGGTGAGTACCTCGCCGCCCGCGATGAGTACATCGAGAAGCGTGAGCTCTTCCGCCGCGTAAGTACTCCCCGCGCATCTCTGGCTCTGGTTCCTCTTCCCTCCTTGCTAACCGGGTCTCCAGCTGGGTGGTAACGGCTCCTGCATGGGCTCTGGAATGCCCGGAAACTCCAAGTTCTGCTATAAGAACGGAAAGCCCTGCGGTCCCTGCCGCAGCTCTGCCAAGATCGGCGAGTACTGCCTCTGCAACAAATAAGCGGTCTTGGCCACCAGGAGCCAAGCCTTTGCCACTCGAAATCATCCGTCGGTTTGTTGCGAGTGGGAGATTGTATTGGTAAAAGGGTGGGAACTGGGACGATAACCGATCAAACTGTGTGGGGAGGCCGTTGAGCGAGCCACTCACTAATGTACCCTAAAAACTGTTTAAATATACTGGCATATATTAGCTTAATCTACCGTACCTATGAACCCAGGTTATCAAATCGCCTTTGGAATTTCCTTGGCTGATATCTCGACATTTCTGGAACATCGAGATTTCTTCTCAAGATCCCACTTGAAGAGCTGGCCGCGCATCGTGATGACACGGCGTGGCCTGCAGCTTGCCATGTGGCGAGGGAGTAGATGAACATGGCTGCTGCTGTGCCTCTCAGTCCAGTCCCGGTGGTTTGGTGCTGGTACTGGGGGTTGTTCCTTCGCATTCGGTCAGAAATTCCAGACCTTCCTTTGCTGACACAAGGCGGATCTCTGAGGGGTTGAGCTTGACGAAGTGGCTCTCCCACCCTCCATGGATTCAACCCCCTGAACAAAGGAAATTTTCGGCGCGCAATTGCCTCGAGCTGGCTCTACCTGATCTCAAAACGGTTTATGGATCGCTGAGGCCTCCGCTTGTTTGTTTTCCCCTCAAGCTTAATTTTTCATGCTAAACAGTACATCTGTACCAGTAAGTGAAATTCAACGGCCAGGGTGAGCCGATGGCCTGAAATGAGCGCTTTGTGCCCCACGAGTCATATTGGAACTACCGGCATCGGTATTTGCAGCATCAGAAATGTATTCACTTGTTATTAGAGCATCCCAGCGTTATTGAAGGATCGTGGCCATGAACACCTTGCAAGTAGGCTAGCTAGAAGAAGAATACATGCACACGGCATAGACCGCATTCCCGGCAAACCAAGGAAGTCGGCACAGTGGATGAGCAGTCAAAGCGCACGAGGGACTAAGAGCCATCTACTATCTCCTTGAATCACCACAAGCTCTAGCCAGGTATTTTTCCACTTATTTATTTAATATAGGCTTTTACTTTATACTCGAACTCTCGTCAGGATTTTATACAGGCGTTACTCAGCGACCTGGAGTGATACTTGAATGTCGAATTCCAAGTAGATTTCTGCTCAGTAGCAAGGTCTATCTAAGTATGATGTAGATCAATAATACACTCAGCTCTATACTAAGTTGGTAGAACACAAGGTATCTATCAGCACAAGTCTCTCCTACTCATCAATACCTTGTAAGCTGTAGCCTACGCTACGCTAAGGATCCACCTACTACTTTTCATATCTCACATCACAAGGTTCCATGGCACCCCCAGGATATCGTCTCTCAATATGCGGTACATCAAGCTCGCCACTCGGCTCAGAAAGCCAGGGATCATGATTTAACATGGGTATCTTGGAATGATTATTTGTTAAACCCTTCATTATTAGAGAATACATGTCCGACTTACTAAGAATGTAGGAGAGATCGGCTCAAGCGTGATGCTTCACAGAGGTAGCTCTGGTCTAGACCGCCGCATGCTTGTCGACTATCCCTGGTATCCTTACAGAAAGAGGCGAATGTCAAAGAAGACACCATTGAACGGAGCGTACCGAACGGGGGGCTACGCTACTCCCTACCCATGTTAGAAGAAGTGTGAAGGCTTCTACGGTTCGAAGAACTTTCTAATCCTTCGACGATCTACTGCGTTAGGCTGATCGAAAATAGAATGTCGATGCCTAGATATCTTCTCTCGCCTGGGCTGGATGAAGGTATAAATAAGTTCGTTCTACCCCTATGTTCAGTTCTCAATCACAAACCAACAGCAACAACTTTCACATTCCTACCTCTTATTCCTTCTACTCAATAATCTTTATACTCTTTTTACTCGAGACTCATCTCATCAGCCAAAATGCAGTTCTTCAAGTTCCTCTCCCTTTTTGCCCTTTCCTCCGTCGCTACCGCCCAGCTGGCTGGCGTCAGCGAGGGCGACCTCTCTCCTCGTGACTTCGCCGAGGCTGCCGAGGCCGAGTACCTCGTTGCTCGTGACGAGTACATTGAGAAGCGTGACATCTTCCGCCGCGTAAGTTACCCAAGTTATTATCTTTCTACTATTTCTTTCTGACCCATCTCAGGCCGGAGGTAACGGCAAGTGCGCCTCGGCTGGTAAGAGTGGCTATAAGCAGTGCAGGAGGTACGATGCCGCCAAGAAGACGACCATCAACTGCGGTCCCTGCGACAAGAACGCCGCCATCGGCCAGTACTGCCTCTGCAACTGGTAATTTACCCAAAGGGAGCAGATGCTTGGGAGGGAAAGGCATGAAAAGAGGGGAGCAGATCCGGCTTGGGGACTTTCTCTTTCAATCATGTCGATAGATCTCCCAGCATTCTTTCTGGCTATCTGTCCTACCCCTCTATACGGATTTCTTTATCTCTAAGAACTGGCAAACATGCGATGGAAGGGAAGGCTTTTAAAGCATTAAACACCGACTAGTACATTAATTCACACCACTAGTCTACAAATATTCGGTATCCGTTCGACGTTGTGCGTGATCGTGATGATGTGTTCTCTGAAGTTGAAATCACTCAAATGCAATGGGTAAATGCCTAGAGGAAGGTTTCAACTAAACTTTAGTCACTCGATTCTTAGAGTTACTTTTATTTTGGATAATTATCTGCAAGATGAAGATAAGAAGTTGGATATTGAGGCAGGGGTTGGGGGCCCAGCTTTTTTTTTGGTTGACGGATGAATTGACTGCTTGCGCCGCCTCTGTTCATTGAAGCCGTTTGTGACCTCAAGAGGTTATGCGACGAGCAATTCTAACCCATCTTACGTGAGAATTCCTCTCATTCCCTCTATTCGATTGAGACGAGGAAGTATTCGTAGAGTGAATCACAATGCGGGTGATGAAGCTATCAACTAACGTGATAACCGCTGTAGACCGTATGCCCTTGGTGTTATGGTTGTGGTTGTGTGTGTGTGTACAACCTCCTCTCTACCCGCTTTATCGCTTTATTACTATTTAAGATTTTCCTTTCGCTGTCATAAAAATGTAAGTTCATAAAGATCATGTTTTAAAAGTTAGCTACTAAAGTTTATATTTCTATTTCTTTTTTTCTTGTTGCTATATGCAAGGGGGATATCCTAAGACCAGGCCACACACGTGACTGTAAGCCACAACTATTTTACACACTTGAAAAAAAAAAAAAGGGTCAATACCCGAACCTTCTTAACACTATCAAAACTTAGAAGATCACACACACATAGCCTACCTAGGCACAGGCATCTAAAAAAAAAATTGACAACTGCGCGATTCGAACGCGCGCTCATCTCTGAACTAGAATGCACCACGTACTGCTACGTAGAAGATTGAAATCTTGCTGTGTGATTGTTAGTCTAGGTACTTGGAGGTACTTGTGGGTACTTATACATACAGTCTAGCGCCTTAGACCACTCGGCCAAGTTGCCCTTGTTGTTGTAACGGCACTAAAATCTAGAATATGAGTACCGGAATGCAGGTTGCGTCATGTGCCAGCATGGAGTTGGCCAAACTACCTTAGAGGACAGGGACAAGGACATGCCTGCAGGTCTCCTTGTCTCGCCGTTCTTTGCTCCAGTGGATCTGTTTTGGGATCAATGTGGAGAGACCGGCAACCTCCGCAACGGCTCTCGTCCACACCGTTGCGAGGCACAATTATCGGGAGGACGCACCCTTTAGGAAAACGCCGGGGAAGGATTTCTCTCTAGAAATGGCCAGATGTATACGAGAGAAGCTGGTGTCTTGTTTTGGCACGAGACCTAATCTAGGGGAAGAGGTGAAAGACCCCGCTTGATCTAACAGTGCGCCTAGAGAGCCTGCTACTAGATAGAACAAATCGAGTAAATCAATTTTAATATGGCTAGCCAATGCGTAGATGTCACCACGAGCTTGGACGCCCAAAAGGAGAGCGTTGCACCCACAAGGCGTGCCTGAACTACCGGCATAGGGAGCAGCGCGCAGTCGGCAACCAAAGTCGGTATTTGCGGCATCACATGTATCCACTTGTTATCATCGTACCCCGGTCTGATTGAAGGATCATGGTGTCAGGAACACCTTGCTGTTAGACTAGCTGGAAGCAGCATAGATGCACATGATCCACCTGCTACAGCCTTGGTATATCTTGCGGCAAGTTACCGCCCGGGTCGGCAGCCCCCCTTTTGTAAACCTCACCAAAATGGGGGAATTTGATTGGGATTCTTTTAGTACATAAGTTCCGTAGAGACTTCCTGGCTCGTTGACCCCATATGCCGTAACTTTCATAGCGCCCCAGGATGTCAGCCTCCCTTATGCAGTACCGAAAGATTGGAGAATTGGGAAACTAAGATCAGGGATCGTGATTTGATGCAGGCATCTTGGTTCGTTTTGGCTAAGTTTTCGGCCGGTAGAGAATATCCCCCACTCATTGAGAATATGGGAGAAATCGGCCCCAGGGCAATGCTTCGTAGAGAGACCATGCTTCGTAGAGATAGCTGCTGCCTGTCACTCTCATCTGAGGTAAAAGCAGAGAAATATCAGTACAATCATTGCTAGCTTCCAAACAGAGCGCCAAGCTATGGTCAAGAAGCGCTTCTTGGGTGACCCATTCGATTAATGCACTACCCGGACGATCCGGTGGCCGGCCCTCCTAAGCATCGTGTTGTAGGGGCCGCTTCGATGTTGTCTTCCCAATATCTAATCGCTCGTTCCATTTAGCGTCCCCATCCCGTACTCCTCAATCCCCGATGCCATAAATACTTGTCGCCCCAAAAGGATGGAGTTCCCAACGGAAACCACATGGGGAGGGGGGAGCTCATTGCCCGCCAGGTTGGTATAATGTGCTTCCCCGATGGGACGGGCTGCCCCATCACGTGCTGAAAAGGGGATGGGTTCATGAAGCGGCATCTAAGGAGACATTTATGAGGCACAACAGAAATGGGTTTAATAAAGGTATATTCCAGTATAACTATATTTATACAGAGAGTGAAACTGCTGGCTCATGCAAGGTGGTTACCCATGAGAGCGAACCGTCACTCCCAAATCCAGCTTCATTTCCACCAAATTTTCATCTTGGGGTTCCTCCGAGCCGAAGCATGGAGTGGCGAAGATTGCGTAGGGCAGGAACGCTTAAGCGTTGCAGAGGCAGTACTCTCCAGTGGCGGCAGTAGGGCGGCACTTGCCACAGTAAGTGGTACCCTTTCCGTGTCCGATGAGCTTCTTGCAAGACATCGACTTGCGGTCCTTGTAACACTTGCCGTTACCACCAAGCTATAAAGAGTCCATGTCAGCTATGAGCAAGTAGAAATGGGAGAGGGGGGTAGGTAAGAGGAGAACTCACGCGGCGGAAGAGCTCACGCTTCTCGATGTATTCGTCGCGAGCGGCAAGGTACTCCTCGTGGACAGCTTCGGCAACCTCACGGCGAGCAAGACCAGAGTCAGAGTCGCTGTACTGCGCAGCAGCAAAGCCGGCGATGGCGAAAAGAGAGACGAGAGTCTTGGTGAAATGCATCTTGAATTTGAGATGGAAAGAAAAGTTGGAATAAAAGTTGGAAGAGGAAGATGAGAAGGAGAGTTGGTTGTTTGGATTATTGTTGTTTGATGATCTCAACTTTGGATCGAGGGAGGCAATGGGGGTTTATATGCACTTCTTCTTGCTGCTTGTCCACCTTTGCTAGAGCCCTACAAACTACTTTGCCAGGCTAATAGCTACTTGGCGATATTTTTAGAGATGATAGCCTGATCTTACAGTGACATGGAACATAGTTGGAAGGATCAGAGAGAAGGCATTAGCCTGTGGCGATCCCAGGATATTGTCTTTCTATGTCGGGGGTTCAGCCACTGGGGCAGAGATATGTTGTTGATGCTCACCCCTCCCATCATCGAAGTAACTAGGGTATGCTTTACGGCTTACAGAGTAGAGTATTGTCAATGCTAAGAGGATTTGTACCTTGTCACTATCCCCAAATTTCATTCAACCTGGACTCGGCGGTAATATATTGGTGTGGCGAGTGAACTGAAGGTACGTGCGGATTTTGGTTCCTCAGTTTAGACATAGCGCGCGCAATTTCAATCAAGAGTGCTTTCGTAGTATGGTATACGGAATTTATTCTAAGGGATAGCCAGCCCTCTAGTTTTGCAAGGTGCTCATAGTACAGCTTGGTGCTGAAACTGAGTACACTCCAACCCCTGAAAGATCACCGCGGTGACTTTTAACCCTGCTAGTTCAGACACTTCACCACCGTTCCCAAAATATACTATTTCTTCTCTATACCTTAATAAATAATCTATGAAATTAAAATAATATTATTTAAGATATAATATTTAAAGAATATTAGTATATAGAAGTCAAGCTATTCTAGATTTTGTTTTATATATTAAAACAGAAGAGTTATGGGAGTAGTAGTAGATCTCTTTTTGCCTTATCCATTAATTTTAATTGGCTCATCTTGGCGTGCTGAAGTCACCGCGAGGTGATCTTTCAGGGGTTGGAGTGTAGAGGCGTACCGACATCATGACCCATGCTACGTTTGACTGCCATCTGGAACTTCCTCGCCCGCATGAAGCGTACCGCCATTATGGCCCGTACTAACTCTCATTGGGAATCTGGAACTTTCTCGCCCGCATGAGATGAGGTGTGCCGCCATTATGACCCATCCTCAGTCTGACAGCCGAATCGGGAACTTTCTCGCTCTTGAGGCGTGTGTGGATCGCTTTTCAGGGCGGGCGGCGACCTGAGCCTTAGCAGGCATCATATATGGGGTTGGGGGAGGGTCCGTACGCGCCTTACGGCTGCATAAGGCAGTAAGCACTTTCACGGTCAACGGAATGAGATGACGTGGCAGAACCTTGAGGGTTCTTATCAAGAACCTCACTTTATATGCTACTCATACTAGTTCCCAATCATCGATCTGGTACAGGGCCTGACCCCCCAGATAGACACACCCTCCAACTACATGCAGAGTTCACTTGTCTATCATTGCCATGTTGCTGCCCCTTGATAGAATGTAACATTATTTTGTATCTGAAATTCTTTCACACCCCCTGAATTTTTCAGATGCAAGTCGCATGATGGCGGAGAGTAAACGAATTCGGCCATTTCCTAATCAAATGCCAAGTGTCTTGGTCCGCGTTGGCTCGCTTTGTACTAATTTCTCATGTCTCCCAGCTCCCTTCGACAGAAAGCATCGGGCTAGCCTGATACATGTGTATCTGTAAATAATCTTGTATTAACTTGGCCATCGATCAGTACGTACTACGCAGTCGCATGTCCACGCTGCAAACACTAAGCGCGCTGTACTCACGCATGAGGACGTTATTAATAGCACTTAACTTAGGCCGCGCTTACCACCGGCTACAAATTTACTCATTCAGGGGTGTTCAAGAAGCTGCCGGCTCTCTCTCTAAACCTTCTTAATTTTTCAATTTTTTTTTCATTTCTCCTTTTAGCCCTCATCTTCCCACCGCCAGGGCAAGAGAAGGGACCTGGTCTCACCAATTTTCGCAGATCCAACCATGGAGGCTTTGCGTAGCAATGACAGTAGTGGCGATTCAGCCCAGCAGCAGTTCGCTGTGCTGGACATGCTCATCCCGGGCTTCTCCCTCTTCCTAACCACTGTTCAATCTTCGTTCGCCATCGATCTGAGGATTTACATTCCGCTACTGCTCATCGTCGGAAGCAGTGCTTGGGTTTGGTCTCATGTATGGGAATTTATTAAAGATGGCTTTGATAAGTATCTCATGTCGTCAATGTATATCCGCACCGATGATGAAGTTTTTAACATCGTCATGGGCTGGGTTGCCCAGCAAAATTTCTCCCGAGATTCCAATCGCTTCATTCCTAATACAAACGTCAACTCAAGATCATGGGCGTTATGGAACGATGGAGGAGATGATAGCGAGGATGATGATGAGAGCGATAGCGAGGAGGGCTACGCTCATAAGGATAGAAAGAAGAACTCCAGTGAGCTCAAGTATACGCCTTCATACGGCACTAGCTTCTTTACCTACCATGGCCACCTTCTTCTCTTCATCCGTACTGAGGATACCAATCGGGGGAGTAACCTTTCTGCCAGCGAGCGTGAAACAATCCAGATTTCTTGCTTTGGTCGAAACCCGGCTGTGCTGAAGGAATTACTTCTCGAGGCACGCCAGTTATATTTATCCAAGGACCAATCGAAGACCATCATCTATCGGGGAACTGGTTCCAAGTCCAACGAATCGCCAGGCTGGAAACGGTGCGTCGCTCGCTTCTCGCGTCCATTTTCCACTATCCTGCTCAGCGACGAAATAAAGCAGCGGGTCATTGACGATGTCGCGGACTACATTGACTCGAACACTCGGCGATGGTATGCGAACCGAGGTATTCCTTATCGCCGTGGTTACCTATTCTATGGCCCGCCTGGCACCGGCAAGAGCTCGCTGAGCTTCGCTCTGGCAGGCTTCTTCCAGCTACCCATTTACATCATTAGTCTGAGCTCGCCGGTGGCCACTGAGGAAAACGTATCGACGCTCTTCGGCCAGCTTCCCCGACGCTGTATTGTGCTCCTTGAGGATATTGATAGCGCAGGCGTAACTCATACTCGAGTTGCCCAAGATGGCCAGTCTTCCGACACACCTTCTACAGGATCTGAGAGGCTCTCTCTATCCGGGCTCTTGAATGTGCTAGACGGTGTGGCCTCCCAGGAAGGCCGAGTTCTGATCATGACTACCAACCACCTGGAGAAGTTAGATCCAGCCCTGACCCGACCAGGCCGGGTGGACCTAATGGTCGAATTTAGTCTCGCGGATGAAGAGGTGGCCGCATCTATTTTCCGTGCTATTTACACCCCGTACGAGGGAGAGATACTCCTTGGCATTAACGGTAAGGGGGCGTCGCCACAGGCCATGGAGGAGGACGAGAAAGCCGTGGCCCGGCGCACCCAAGTAATTGCTGATATCAAGGATATGGCAATCGACTTCGCGGCCAAGATACCACAGGAGGAGTTCAGCCCCGCTGAAGTTCAAGGGCTGCTTTTACAGCATAAGCGCGATCCGTTAGCCGCCATCCAGGCGGTTGACCGATGGATCAAGACAACTCGCGAAGAACGAGCAAAGAGGAGAGCCCGCGAGACAGAAAAGCTCAAGGAACAGGCTGAGAAAATGGAGGAGGATCAAGGCGGGGAACAGAATTGTAATTAGGATCAACGAAGCCGAGGAAGATGCATGTGAAAATTCTACCCTAAATAGACGCCAGGTGTAACTAACGGCATTTTCTATGGTTATGATACAGGAATTAACTACTTCTACTCTGAACCCTTTAAATATAGCCTTCCCCATAGAGTAGAGATAATAGGTCCTGTATGCGCTCGATGCTACCCTGAACGACACTTTATTTAGGCAGCCTGGTGAAGTCTGGCATTATTCACCTGAGTTCTCCAGACTGCTGATGAAATTTGGCTCCATCATATAACTAGTATTATTTGCGCGAGACTCTGAAGTAGACTTTCCTAAGGTTCATACTTCCCGAACCATTGGCATGATGTTGTACGGCTACCTCACATGTCAGGGGACTAATCACAATGCTACAAAGAGACCAGAAATTTTATTGTGAGGGAGGGGCTTGACAATGGTGGGGACACTACTGCCGGCGGCGGTAAATTAACGAATACCGATTCGTAATACGTACGCCAGCGGCACAAGGAGAAGGGCAGGACGGAGTTGGCATGTTGGGCCGAGCTGGAAGACAGGGACATGCCTGCTCGTCTCCTTATTTCCCTGCTCAAGTGGATCTGTTTCTGGGATCAATGTGGAGAGAGAGACCGGAGAAACCAGGAACCTCCGATAGCCCTACCCCAACGATTTGCTTCCGCGGACATCCGCGGCTTGCTGGTGCCGGTCCATGCGTGGCGAGTCATACTGGCGGCGCCAAGTGGAACGCGGCAGGGAACCTGCTATATTCGGCAAATATTTTGGCATGCCGGAGTTCTGGGATCGTGCGTAATCACTTTGGCCCTCGATGCTACGTTACCAATTTGCCGACGAAACCTGGTCGCCGAGGTCGGTACGCAGTCAGCGGCGACCGCAACCAAGCCAGCTATAGTAACTCGATCTCACGCCTGAGCAATTAAGAGGCAGAATTGGCCGAGGGAAGGATCAATAATGAAACATTAGAAGAAGGAGCACGCAGCTCCCCAGGTAAGGCGGACCGGGAAAGAAATGAGTAGGGCATCCGATGGGGGGGGGGCAATCAATGTTCCGTGGGCCCCGAAGAGCTAACACGAGGAGAAGGCTCAAAAACTCTAATCGAACCCTTGCCCGGTTGGATGCTCTTCGATGCTAGGCACTCGATCAATGAAACGGGGTAAGTTTCTGTTCTCACTCCCAGCCATGCCAAAACTATGTACACACTCCCCTTTCATGGGTTCTCGGCTTTCTGAAAATGGCAAAGGCAGGCCACTGGTGAATTGAGCTAGCTCCCTTGAACATGGGGTTGAATCCCTGGGCAGGGGAGGGGCAGAGAAAGGCTGAAGGCCCCTGCTGATCTATTCCTTTTGGTAAAGGCGCGCGCGGTAGACGCAAGGTGCACATGGCAAGATAGACGAGCCACCCAATGAGGGCTGCCTGGGGTCGCAGTTCGGCAATTGCCCTATGCAGCCGTTTCCCGCCCGATGACGCGGCTCGCCCATGCTGAGATTATATCGAAAGAAGCGGTCATACGAGTACAGAATTTGAGCCAATAACCTTTGGCAGTGATATATATAGAGCTTCTTATGCGTTGGTTTGGGCGTGTGCAAGGTGACCAACACCAATGCCATACATGGTAGGCATTCCTCAGCAAGGGTTCCGATCTGCTGAGCTCATAGCCACATTCAATCCTACTGGAGTGCTCATAACCTGCTAGGAGGGGCAGCGGTACGTGCCCAGCAATCTCGCATGGTGTTGCCTTTCTTGGGCTTTGCCTGTGGCATCTTCTCTCCTTCCCAGAGCCGAGACAACAGCCTCTTGGCTTGGTCGGTCAATCCAAGGCAGGAGTCACGATTTGATCGAGGCGAGTACATGGCTAGGAAAGAGGGATCATCTCGCGTCACCCATGCGACCGGTGCATCCGTTTACGTGTGTCCGTGCAGCTTGCGGATGTGCAATGGCCGAAGATCAGATGCCCTCAGTGCCCTGTACAAAGCATATGAACCATTCATCCACCTTTTATCTGCTATTTAAAATAAAGTGGGCGGCGTTGAAATTGCAGTAGATGCTCTCATCTATCTCTTTGACTGTGAGATCGCCTGTGAGAAAGCCTGGGCCTGACAACTCCCAGGTGCTGGCCGGGCCTCATACCAAATCGTGAATGTAGATGGACCATTGGAGGATAGACGGCCTGGAGACACTGTTCTCTGTCTGATATTTTGGTGATGGACCACCAACCGACTGGACATAAACCAGAGTCTTAGCCCTTCTTCAACTTTAGCTCACTCCTGTGGCACGGCCCTGGAAGCTACAAATGAAGTTCTTATATTAATAGGTATGAAGGACGAAAAGAAGTTTCTTCTCAACAATAATAAACATAATAATAAGAGAACAATATATTATTCTACAATATTTCGCTCAATGATGTGTTTATTAGGTACTTTAACTAGCATAGATACCAAAAGGAGAGGCCTATTCCAGATAACAAATGGTCAATAGTTGTGTGGGTTCTTGAAGATACCGGATGTGTCTACCTTCGACTACCATATCGCTTAGGTTCGTAGGAGTAATAAATGAGTTTATAATATACGGCCGTGGAGAAGGATCGAGGGGCGGCTCTCGGCTACTTCCTCGAATAAGTAGCCAGGGAGAAAAAGACCGTGGAGGATTATCTTATAAGGGAACCGTGAGTTAGGAACTAAATAGCCTATTAAATGATGAGGGTGCTAAAGGAAGGTATTTGTATTTGATTTCGACTTCCCTGCTATATATTAGTAACCCTAATTAGGTGAGGCGAGGTATGTTAGTGTATAAGCGCGCTATATCTAGGAACTATACGGGGAAAACTAGAAATAATAGTGATAAGAGTAATATGAGAGAAGAGATCTAATCAAGATAATACATTTTATGTAAAGGCAGCGTAGAGAGCATGAGTCTGGGGATGGTTGGTGATATGAGCAGGGTTATCAGAAAACACAACGATCATTCATTTGATGAGAGATAGCTAGGCTAATTACACAGCGATCGCACGTCTCACTAAGGGACAGCCGGCGTAGCTCCATAGCAATCTCTCATCATAACGGAAGACAGCTAGGTCAGCTACGCAGCGATTATTTGTCTCGACGTCAGGTCCGTAGCGATCGCTCGTCGCGGCGGCAGACAACTAGGTCAGGTTTACTCCATTATTGAAAAAGGTATCACGAAAAGCTTCAGTGTTAGCAGAGTTATTATATTATAAGTCAGCTAGGTTTAGGTGTGTGTGTCTAGCCTCAACCTCCATGTGATACACGTTGAGGATCAGCGATATCGGCTTCCGAGGCTTCCTTAGCCACAGTCGTAGCAGGGGTGGGGTGGTTGAGCTAGGTAGTCAAAGGAGGTGGCCGGATAGCAAAGTCCTCTTTATCCACATGTACCAATTTTCAATCCTCGTCATTGGTAGAAAGCATCTCCTCCAGACTGCAGCAGCTTCGTCATAAACTTCCGTTCCAACGTGCGCCACTTCTTTGATGAGCCGTGTCACTTCGGGGGTGCATAGCCGGCATTTTCCCCATCCACGACGTAGCTCTCTATGAGTGCTTCTCTTATCTCCTCTGGCTCGGCTGTATTAGTTGCGTGGCATCGAGCTGCTATCGAAGAATTTCTCTGGTTGTCCTCGTCTCTTTTCAACTTGGATTTAGTCTTTGCTACCCACAGGTTGCACGTACAGCCGATGTATATGCGGCGCCTCTTTCTTGTTACAGTTCATCTTAGATATGGGCACATAATGTTAGCAAGCGATACTTGATCTTCTCGTAATGATATATTTAAGAATTGTACAGCTATCAATGCACTTTCCTAATGGCAAGTAAGTCATCGATATAAAGGTTTACAGAGTTTTCATTCTGCTCTCTTGAATTAACGGAGCTTCTTTTTGCGTTTTGTGTGGGTTGTGTTAAGCTGTCGGGTGTGGCATCTTCAATTGCTGTTTTTTATTTTGCACTTAAGCTCTCTCACCTGCGAATGCCAGGAGTTCGCGGTACCTTGTGCACGTGATAGATGCACACAAACCGCGTCGAGGAAACACCCTGCCAAACACTGACGAAACATCTTGCCAAATACTGACGAAACATCCTGCCAACTGGCGAATTCAGTTACCAGCTCGGTCTTTTGTTGCTCAATATCGGCTTTGCAACCCTTTATTTTCTGGGAGCCTCCTCCCACCTGCAGCCAGGGCTGCCCTTTGCAGAAATAATGGCTCAGCCTCAATACCTCCCCGATTCCAGGATCAAATGGACTGTTGGAAACAACTCATACCCTATCTGGCCGTCCGACCCGGACACTTCTATCATTGGCGAAATCGCGGCATCGGCCCTAGGCATACCGGCTGACAGTCTCAGCGTGCGCTTCCTTGATGACGGCGCCTATCACAAGATATACGACATCACCCAGACAAATTCCTCGCCCACTTCCGTTGCGTACATATTCCGCGTCGCGGTACCAGTCGATCCTGTTTACAAGATGGAAAGCGAGATGGCGACTTTAGAGTATGTTCGCCAGAAGACTACCATTCCTGTGCCCAGGCCTATTGCCTGGAACTCATCCGCCGCAAACCCATTGGGCTATGAATGGGCACTTCTAGAAAAAGTTCCAGGAGTGGAACTTCGCGATGTATGGCTGGAGGTCCCATGGGAGAAAAAGGTTGATATTGTTGAGAGCATCGCCATCTATCTTGCTCAGATTTGGAGTCTGGATCTTGGATTCTCAAAGATCGGCTCGCTCTACCGCGCCTCGTTTGTCGACGACAAGCACCCCATCAACACGTCCTCATCAGTTACAATTACCACTGCTAGGCCTTCTTCAATTTCCATGTCAAGAGCTGATTCTGCTTTCAAGGAAGGCTTCAAGATAGGCCCTGTGGTAGACAGCGCTTTCTTCTCCCACCGTCGTCGCTATCTCGCAAGTGATCGAGGGCCTTACGACTCCTGTGCTGGCTGGCTTCATGCCTTAATCGGGATAGAAAAGGAGTATATCAGAACAAGCAAACTCCTCATCGAAGAACAGAAGACCATGGAGAAACCAAAGGATGAGGATGATCTTGGCGATGATATAGGCCTTGATGACGATGATGATCTCGATGCTATGTTGGACAACTGCGATGGCTATCTGCGGGCCATGCCACTGATGTTTCCGCCGTCAGAACCGGGGAAGCCGGCCGAGGCTCGCTTTGTTCTGCACCATTGTGATCTGAGAGCAGCGAATATCATTGTCCACCCGGAAACGTTCAACATTACAGGAATTATCGACTGGGAGAATACTTGCTCTGTTCCCGAATGGTACGGCTTGCGTTATCCCATGCTGATAAACAATATGGAGCCATTTTCGCAGAGGCCCTCGAAGTCGGCCGTAGCCGCGCTCAAGGAAGGGAATGTCCCCTCCGACCAATACGACATCCTTTTTGACCGATGGAATTTGTGGGAGACAAAAGACCTGCGCGGCGTGTTTGACCGCAAGCTGGAACAGCTGGGCCTCAGCAAAGACTGGCGTCCCAACTCGCGCGAAGATGATCGGAAATCTGATTTTATCAGGGGTGTAAGCAAGCTGAGTGACTTCTGGGAGAGTTCCGCGAGAAGCCTGCGGGAAATCGAGTCGACAACCCAACTTGACCCGAATATACCATCCCCTCCCAAGTCATGAGAGATGGCGCTTCAGACTGGGTGACATGTTCATGATGGTCGACTCCAAGTTAATCGTGACAAACTTGATTGGAAGGCAGCAGACCAGCATTGGCAACCTTCGCGACATTCTTATCACCTTAAATGACCATTGTGACCCAAGATTCGCATTTTTTAGTAATAGCAGACGGTCCCCATCTCGGATGTTTAGTGTTGACATCCAAAGTGGACCAAAGAGTCGCCGAAGATCAACATCCGTGAGGACATGAGAAACTCTTGCAGCGACCATCTCGCCTTGGCCAGAGAGGGCGGTCGATATCCAAACCTGGCTAACCAAACATCACCAATTCTCGGCAAGCTTTGGTGCCATTTAGACTGGTACCTTAAAACGGGTACCATTTCGGATAAGTCTGTATCATCTCGACGACTCTAGGCTACTTAGGTCACTCAACATGTGGCCATCGAACAGAGCAGCAAACAAGACGGAATCACTTTGATCTGGCGTAAGTCTGCAGAAGAATGGATTCTCCTCTTTCGGATGGGCTTTTGCAGGGATATTAGACTAGCTATTCAATATAGTTTATTCAATGCAAATTTGTGGCTAGGTCTGTTCGTGCTATTGATGTAGCTACCCCTACCACTCATTCCCTTTCTCCACGGGCGATGCATCACCAATAGCACAAGCTCAACTCGTAGATGGATGAACAGGTGATGAGAGACACGGCAATTATTTCCTGTGAGATTAGAGCTCCGTTGCTCGAAAAAATGGCTGATAATTGATACAATGTGATGCTCACAACTGCAGATTACTTTACAACATCGCCTTCGGGAAATCTCTCATGGCCTGTCGCACCCCCAAGTCGGCCAGGACTTCCTCAGCGCCACCCAGGATGGCATCAAACTTGTAAGTTCGGTTGAACATCTCGATGTATTTGCCCATGCCGGTCTGGGTGATACCGCGACCACCCCAGATCTGGACCGACTCGTCGGCAACCTCGTGCGCCGCCCGCGTAGCGCTCTGCTTGAGGAGGGCAATGGGGCCGGCAAGATGGCGGGCTTGCTGTTTGTATGGCATGTGGCACATCTGGTAGGTGATGGTCTCGAGCCAGGCTTGGTTGGCCTCGACCAGGGAGATCATCTTGGCAAGTCTAAGATTATCTATTAGCATGTTGAAGGCATTGAACAAAGCTCGGAGACCTACTTTAGACGGATGACGGGTTGGTCAATCAAACGCTTTCCAAAGACCAAGCGTTGGTTTGACCATTTCAGACACTCTTCTACGATCTTCCTGCTGGCACTGATCGAAGCACCTGGTCCATTGTTAGCTGGCGGGGATTTGGGACAGTCCAAGCGGCAAGGCAGACGTACAGATCATGACCCAGCGCTCGTGGTTGAAGTTACTGAGAATAACTTCAATGCCCTTGTTTTCTCTGCCGAGGAGGTTCTCCACGGGTACTTTGACGTTATCGAAAGTAATGTAGGCTGTGCCAGCAGTGGGTGAGTACGAAGTCTTGATGGGCTTGGTCTCGACTCCTTCGCCACGCTCGATGAGCAAGACACTCAGACCCTTGTCGGTCTTGACGCCGGTGACAAAGTAATCGCAGAATGTGCCGTTGGTGATCCACTTCTTCGTTCCGTTGACGATCTATCAAATCCAAGTTAGCAGAAGTCCCCTGACATTGACTTCCGTTTGTCAACGTACATAGTGCTTTCCATCAGGGGTCTTGGTGGCCGTGGTCCTCAGGCCAGCGACATCCGACCCTGCAAAGGCTTCCGTGATGGCCAGACAGAGCTTCTTCTTGCCGCTGAACACCTCGTCGGCAATCTTCTGCTTCCACACGGGGTCGTTGCCAAAGTTGAGCACCGCCGTCAGCCCAATCGTCATGCCGCCCATGTTGCCATCCTGCGCGCCCCGCGCCATGATCCGCGCCATCTCCTGCGCGCTGACGAGGTCGTGGAAGTAGTCGTACTCCTCTCCCTTGACGGCGCCGCCTAGGAGCTCCACGCCGTGGAGGTGCTTGCCGGGTCCCATGCGCATGTGCATCAGGCCGGCCTTGCTCATGCGCTCGATGGTCTCCTGGCTGATGTACTCCCCGCTGGCCTCGTTCTTCCAGGCCTCCTCATATAGGTATTTCTGCGCGAACTCGCGGAGGGCGCGCTGCAGGCGGCGATGCGAGTCCTTGAAGTAGGGGCTTTTGAAGTGCGGCGACAGCCATAGCGGTTCGGCGTAGGGCACGGGGCTCAGGTCGCCGGGCTTGGGGGTGAGCACTTGGGGCTTCTCGCTCTCGACCGTGCCGATGGCGAGGTCGCTGTATTTGGAGAGGACTTCGTGGCGATGGAGGTTGTAGAAGGCGGTGGTCGCGTCCTGGCCAGCGACTTGGCGCAGGACGGACTCGCCGCCGGGGTGGGCATCGACGAATTCGGTGAGATCGTATACGGTGCTGTCGATGATGCAGTAGAGGGACTCGTCGGAGGTGTGCGAGCGGACCTCCTCGCGGGTGAAGGTCTTGGCGGATGCCATGTTGACTGATGGCGGGAGTGAGGGGGGTGGTTTGTCGGATGATGGTCGAAAGAAAGGGAGTGAGACTCAAGGGAGGAGAGGGAGGGTTTTGTTGATCCAGAGCCAGCTCACACATCCACCGCTGGAGGAATGGGGGAGCAGAGTAGAAACCCCATACTCAGACGGGGCCGAACCGTGAGATGTGTCCATGTGCGTCTGGGGAACTGTAGAGTCTGGGGAGACCGCGGCTTCAGGCTCCAACGGCGTTTCCGTGCCTCGGGTAGTGGAGCTGGATGATGGTCTGTCGTAATCCAGACAATGCCATTGGCTGGTTTGCTGAGCTGACTGGGATGCTTAATGTGCCAAGCTTCCCCCTTGCAGAGCCATAACCGACATTGATAACGGGCGGGCTGGGAAATTATACAGCTTGGATTCTGATATCTGGCCTCTCTATGCCAATTCATGGGCTAGCAAAGCCTGCCTCGACAAATGAGATGATATGGATGCTCAGAATGTCTCGGCAGGCAGTTCAAGCCCTGGAGAGGAGAGAGAATGGCTGGAAATTGGATTGTGAAACACCACCTTGCCGGTTCAATTATTGACCCGCAGCGCCTGTAACCTTTCCCAACCTCCCATGTGACATGGTGATTTCATTGTTCCACGACAAACCGTCTTATCTGCTGCCAGCCAAGCCAGGTCGTTTCTTCGCGCATATGTAGATCGCGGAAAGTTACTTGGAGGGAACAATAGAAAAGTACTATCTTTACTTTGAGTAGCTCACGAATCCAACTCCTCACCGCATGCCTTTGAAGCAGCATAGCCTGAGTAAGCTCTACACGCCATCGGGGTAATTGGATCCCAAGCAGCTTTGACATCGCTGTCATTGTAGGTCTCCGTAGTAGCGTCAGACACCTCGCCTCCCTCCGTGAAGCCCTCCTCAAAACACAAATTAGCCGTTTGTTGGCGTATACAAACATACCTTCATCAACCGTGACATTTGATTCTCGAGGAGAAAGAGTGATAACCGAGGGGCAAGAAGATGTGAGAACAACTCTTTCGATGCTAGAACAAGAGTTTGCGTCTTCAAGTATAATGCTCTCGGTCATCTAACGAAACAATCCCGCGGACCCTGAAGCTCAAACTGAGAAGGGTGTTGATGATCTGCGACCCCAGGTCGCCATTGGCTCCGGCCACGAGCACCAATGGATTAGGTGCCAAGGCAGTCAAGTTTGACATTATGCTAGCATGTACGTCTTTTGATATTTGAATTAGAACTCGGCCTTGTGAATTAGATATCATTCAGTCCAAAAAAAACAAGAGTATTTCTTTCTGGGAGAGGGCTTGCCTGATGGGCTTAGAGGGGTCTGAAACTCTAAACCTTCAGCGTCGAATCTCTATTTCGCTGTTCGACGCCGAGGAACGTCACGAGGCTTTGCCACGTTCTCTATGGAGTGGAATGATATAAAACTCACTGAATGGCTTTCCCCGGAGCGGTTTCTCGCAGCGGAGTCTCTGGCCTCGGTAGTTGTTTATTCTTTCATCAAGCTTTCAAATAGCGACCGAAACCTTGACCCGGCGGGATTGTGAATGATCATCTTATCGAAAGACCAGTAGTATTAAGAGAAAAGAGTGGTAGAGGATTCCTCGCTTGACAATCCAGGTCTCCGGCATTGGATTTTTGATAATTTATCAGGCGACGCTTGGAATCTCCGATCGAGTTTCAGCCAAGAGTCTACACGTCATTTTATTGTGAAAGGCCGGGAGATTCTACCGCCGGCCATCCTCGGCGATGTCTTGAAGTTCCAAAATCGCGTGTGCATGGGATCAATGACCCAGAATCGATGCACATTGGACACCAAGCTGACCAAGGCTTCGATCGACCAGTACTGCTGAAATAGCCTCATTCTTTCGATAGGGGCCTAGACGTGTTGGTATCAAGTTATGCCCCCCTGACGACTACGACGACTTAACTGTCATCAAGCAGCTCATGAAACACGAACTTTAGTTCATCAATCTGTCACGCCGAGGTTGCGCCATTGGCCGGGACCAGGACGATTACTTCAAATTCAAGCCTCTCCCTGAAGGACTGGTTTTATCAGATGGCTACGAGCCCCTATACGAGCTTGGGTCGCTAATCAAATACGACGGGAGCTGAACACTAGCTATGGTTAACCACGAATATACGGTCACCGAAGCGAACTAACTCTTGTAATCGGGGAAAATTGAATTGATCTGCTTCGGGCGCCGTGTTACTTATCACCTGCTAAGATAGGATCAGACCTAAAATTCCACGAAACTACATTCTAATATGCAGTGTGCCAGGATTTGATCAGCATTATGTCAACTAGACCCCATCAAAATATCAATGAGAGCTATAACGATTTGCCTGCAGCAAGCCGCTAGGATAGAGTCGCGTTTGTTGAATGCCATCACGCAATTCACCTTATTCTGTGATTTCGAATGGATATGTCGAAGAGAGCCAAGAACGTAAAACTGCACTATCGGAGTTTCACTGGCTCGCGTAGAATAATGTAGTAGTCCAGTAATAAAACATGAAAAAGGGCTATGCGTAGGTGAGTCCCTCGATCAACCGAGATTTTCTGTAACAACAAAGCTCGCGTTAGTCTCTGCCTTCAACTCACTGAGGGCGACACCATCTGTAATATTAATGAGAGCGAGCTCATCTTTTCCACCTGTACCAGGGGCTGCCTAGATTTCCGAAGGCTCAGTATTCCGCTTGAGAATTATCATACAAGTGGCTGTAGATTAACCATGCCTATCATGACCCCCGAAGAGCAAGCTCTCTCTGACATTCATCTTAGAGAATTCATCGGCCATCAATACACACAGAGAATATTTTAGAACCGACAATACCATGCAAACGGTTTTCACTGCCATCGAGGGGTGGTCCTTTGAGGATATCAGCACGATTAGGCTCTATATCAATGCAATGGCCCAACATAGAAACGTCAGATGGGGTTGATGCGAGGAGCTACTTATGGAAAAGGTACAGACAGCTTCAATAACTTCAATCACTTGGAGAAGCGCGTTCAACGACACCCACATTAACTCTCTTCTGCGCAAACCCATGAGGAAATTTGAAAAGGGGCAGGCAAGATACAAGATCTATATGGACAAGTTGACTGAGTAGGATGTCAATATGATGACGCCTTTAGTTGCCTTGATGTGAGAGACAAGAACTTGAGCCACTCAAGGTTTTGGTTTAAATCAAACCGGTTGTGGTCGCCCCCGTATTCTCTAGCTGAATTTATTGCTTGTTCTACAGCCAAACACTGTCCTTGCACTTTCGGTACTCAAGCCTTGCACTTGGTGGAGAATGCCTGCGGTTCCGAGTAGAATGGATGATAGTCCTGTGTTGGAGATGATGACTACTGAAGGGTTGCTGGACATTTTGATGGCATAACTGATGATGCGTAACGAAAAGAAGCTAATCCACTATAGCCGATCTAACAATCTATAGATTTGTACTTCTAAAGAGCTTAGAATAGAGAGATGGTGACAGTGGCGTATGTGGCCCCTTAAGCGATCGAGAGCTGACTATGGGTTTATACGTGAGTTTCGGCTGCTTGAGGGTTCGGAATGATGAGAAGACTGGTTTAGCCCCCAGCGAGATATGCTGATACTTTGTACATTCATTATGAGGTGGTTATATGATCGCGGCTGCTAACTGGACTTAGCAATTTAAAGATGGTGGCTGATTCAAGGTTAATCTGTATGGTCTGCAAAACAGGACGGACACAAAGCTGGGCCATACCGTATGCATAAAAATTGGTTTGCCTAACCTCGCATTGAGCCTAGGCCGTGTTCTTGAGGAAACCCCGGTCAAGCTGTGGATGAGACTAATGCCAATATTTGCCTCGATTAGTCGCCCATCTGCCAACCAGAGGGTCAGACCAAGATATCAGGAGATGAGATAATCCACAACTTCTCTGAATCTTCATCATGCATGTAATAATATAAGGACCTGCATCACACATCCAAAACCAATGCCTGTTTTGCTGCTTTCTCCTTTCATTTTTTGTCTGGCCCGCGGATAGCTACGTCCACTTACCATGGTTTCTCTATCACGGGCAGCGGCCCTGATTTCAGCAGCCTTACTTGGCTCGGCTTTAGCCTTGGACCCTATCTGTGTGAATGTCCGAGGCCCAAACTTCGTGACTAATCCAGGTTTCGACTCAGGCTCGAGCCGATGGAACCAAATTCCAACGGGTTCAGGGGGCCTCGTCGAAACTGGTGAACAGGCAGATGGTACAAATGGCCCATACTGGTACGCCACGAGGCACATATCTCCACCAAGTCGCTTGCTGGCTAACTTCGGGGTTACAGGAGATTTCTTGCGAGCACAACTAGCCGATCTATCTTACAGTCCATGTCTGGAGCGACTGCCGGAACAGAGTACGCCCTATCAATCAACTACCAAGGGTACATACCCCCGACCTCGACAGTCTCATCCACGTCTTGTACCATACGCCTCGTCATCGTAGAATCCGGCGCCTCCAGGACAGTCCTGACTGAGTCGCCAACTCTTTCGAAAGATGCTCAGCCATGGAGGACTGCGCAGGTTTCCTTTGTACCCGCAACATCTGCGTTCAACCTTCAAATTATCGAAACCTGCTCTGTATCGGGTTCAGCCGCAGGGATCCAGATGCGTTTTGACAATATCTTCATCGGGACATCGACTCTTGTTTGCACACAGCCCTCCAGCACCCAGATCTCCAGCACTCAGATCTCCAGCACTCAGATCTCTAGCACTCAGATCTCTAGCACTCAGATCTCTAGCACTCAGGTTTCTAGTACTGTCGCCAGCGCTGCTTCTAGCAGCGAGGTCTCAAGTAACTCCTCTAGCACTAGTATTTCTAGCACTGCCTCGACTTCGGATGTTTCTAGCACTCCCTCCAGCACTGAGATCTCTAGCACTCCTGCTAGTACTGCCTCTAGCACCGAGATTTCCAGTACCCCATCCGGCACCGGGATCTCAAGTACTGATATTTCCAGTTCTGAGCTTTCTAGCACTCCCTCCAGCACTCCCTCTAGTACTGAGATTTCCAGTGCTGAGATGTCTAGCACTCCCTCTAGTACTGAGGTCTCAAGCACTGAGGTTTCTAGCACTCCCTCCAGCACCGAGGTTTCCAGCACCGAAGCTTCCAGTCTAGCCTCAACCCCTACAACACCCAGCGCCACACCATCCAGCTCCGCTTCCTCGACGGCTACTACGGCTACTCCAACCGACTCCTCGACCTTCGACTCTACGGCCATCTCTGCCACGACTCCCATAAGCTCTAGTACCTCGACGGCTATTTCCTCGCCAACTTCTGTTGATGATTCAGTTGGTACTCCGTCATCTACGCCCACGATGACCGCGACGAAAAAGCCATGCAAAAAGAGACCTTCCCCGACGCAGACAAACCCTGGGGCCCTTTAGCTGTTTGTAACTGGCGAGGAGCACTGCAGAAAGAAAGACCGTTTCAAAAGGATAGCAGCCACTCTTCGATAATACTGCAAGACGATTCCACCTTAAGTTAAGCCGGCTGTATAAAGTCGGTTATGGGAGACCACCATTGTTGGTATTTGCTTGGATAAGCGAATAGTGTTGCTTTTGCGACCTACGTTTTATGTGTAAACGTTTGATTGTTCTTATTGACGTGATCATGAAACGATATCATAAACATTTTGGTTAGCACGTATATACTACTAATAAAGAAGCGTTGACTCGCTAATTCCTAAATTCGGCGTATTACCCTCCAAATGAACAACGAAGACGAGTTCCCTGAGGAACGATATGCAGACGCTCCACATTGTCTTATGGTGGGCGTTGAGGTCCTACTGACTCTTGGTACCCAAGTTCCATCTTCATGGGGATGATATCATAGAGTAGGAATGGATGTGACTTGATTGATTCCTCTTTCCTTTGCATCAACTGCGGTACTTCTTTCACTGCCATTGCCATCCAGACCGTACGCTGTTCTTCACAAGTTGAAAGATATACACCGTTCATTTGTTTCATTACGTGCCTCCCTGTGAAGAAGCATCGCTCAGCTTCGGCCCCGTGACTACACGGTTGGGTGGATATGCGCCATCAAACTTGAGTTCATTGCAGCGCAGGTCTTTCTAGACGAGCCTCACGAGGATCCGGCGTAATACCTCAACATGACAACAACACTTATGCGTAGCGCAGGATGGGAAAGCATAATGTCGTCATCGCTGCTTTGCCGATGGGAGAGTGCGGAACCACCTCAGCAGCCACTGTTGCAAGGGACATGATGCATACATTTACGAATATTCGAGTTGGCCTGATGGTTGGCATCGGCGGCGGCGCTCCAACTGACAGGCATGATATCGTCTTGGACCATAATAGTTTATAATAATAACAATAACAATAACAATAAATTATTGAGCAATTATTAAGCAGTATTATCTGCTTCCTATTACACAATAAGGAGCATTATTACATGATTAACTTCTACAATAATTCTGCTGAGGCGACTTTGCAGTCCCTGCTTTTCTGACAGCCACTTGTCTGGCCCATTATTGGTCTCAGTATCGGGCAGCCGCAGTCTCCCATTGCCTCTTCATCTCCAACGCAATAGCCTTTTTGCTTTGTGACGGAGACCTTTCTTCTTCTCTTCTTGCTCCCCGCTTGGATTCCATTGTAGAGACGCCAGCTGCATGGACTGCCTATCTGATTCGCTTTCAGCTGGGAGGCTATATTGCCCTTCCCCCCAATGGCTTCGCCCCTCTTCTCTGCCTTGAAATGGTGTGGTTGGCATATATGGCTCTCTTACAGGCGAAGGCACGAATTTCTGTGTTGCTCTGGTTCCCAGAGATATCTGGCAGCCTCGAGCGGCACAGATCTCTAGCAATAATCCCACGTCGTAGCCCTTAGCATGAAACTTATCAAGCCACAATCTCATCGTCTGGCGATCATCAGGCTTGATGACAGCCCCGGCCTTGAGCAGGATCCCGATTACTTGGTACCTCCATTCGTCTGCGCTCCCTATGCTCGTCGTGGTCGTCAGGATATACTCCGGCCTCATAACCCAGCTCAGGGGCGAGTCACCGGCCGTTTTGTAGCAGTTGGGATCCGCCCCGTGCCGGATCAGTTGAGATGCCAGCACGGGAGGGGCCGTTGCGAGCGCCGTCGTCTCCCCCCTGGCGCCGAATCTCTTAAAGATATTGGGATCTTGTCCGTGGCTTAGAACCAGCTCGACCAGTTGGCAGAGTGCCGACAACGGGATCCGGTCTCCGACCTCGTCCGCTTCTACGCTCAGATCCCATATTCGGGTGACAAGCGCGTGAAAAAAGTCTCGGTCTCGGTTAGGATCGAATCCGTTATCTAGCAGTAGTCTGGCCATCTCCATGTATCGATCTTGGAACCTCTCCTGACCCCCTGCGAAGAAAAGGTTATAGAGCAGAGGGCAGTAGGACACCTCGGCAGGAATATTGCCAAGGGTGCCGGGGTTCTTCTCTAGCCACCTCTTGAGACAGAGGGCCAGCCCGTTGAATGAGGCATAGACAGCAATCGAAGGGACTTCTGGGTGGGATGGAAAGTAATTCGTCTTCGTCACCAGGATGTATAACTCATCTGGCGGCACGCTTTCAAGGAAGGGAAGCTGGCTCTGCCCAGTCGTGAGCTCCGACTGCTGAGAATGGTACTGCGTAGAGTTCTCCGGGGGCATGTACTGAGAGTAACGAATGTTCCTGATCTCCGTCGCGATCAGGAACTTCACATGGTACGAATGCCCGTTCTCCGCCACCACGGTGGCCAGGTTGCCCAGCACTGCGCGCTTAAACGACACGCTGAGGACAAACTCAAGAACTGTCTGGTGCATTAGCTGCACCTGATTGCCCTGGATTTCGACCAGGCCGCCGCCCCATGCTAATATGTCCGATTGCATGTCGCCTGTGTGTTTGCCCTTGAAGTATACCAGGGGGTCGATGGTGTCGATGTGCGTAATGGCAGTTTCCAGCGTGGCGCATCTCGATATCTGTACGGCTAGCCATATGGCACGGACGGTCTGGGGACTGTCCTGGCGGATGATGAGTTCCAGGAGCGCAAAGGTGTTTCGGCGATGGGTCACCGCGATCCGCTCCACGATGAGCTCATAGAAGGAGTGAAGGTCGTCGGGCAGCTCGAGGAGTAGCTTCTCCATGTCTTTGATGGAATGGCTGCTGTTCTCGCTGGTGGAAAGATTGACGATTTCGGTTACCGCAAGTCTGACCCAGACGAAGACGCCGCTTGCCTTGGCGACAATCACTGGCACGAGCGATAGAATGTCGCCCGTTGGATCCGTAGAGCCACCTAGTCTTCCGGCGGCATACATCTCGATGTCCTCCTGGGTGTGGTCTTGCAACGACAGCCCGGGAGAGTCGGAGAATTGCTTTATCAGGGCCTTCCAAGGCCGGCTGGAGAAACATATCTTTACACGAACATTTGACGTCGACGCTTGCACCAAGTTGTGCAGAAACTGACTTATCATGTCCGTGTGGCCGTCGTACTCATCTAGAGCATCGAAAAATAAAACAACATCCATCTTGATGACATCTTGATATAACAAGAGGCGGAGAATCCTCTCTAGGCGGGGAATTAAACCTTCTGTAGAGTTGTGATACTCTGCGACCACGCGAATGAGATGCTTGGTAGTGGGTAAATCACGAAACGGTCTAAAGTCCGCAAGAATCCGCGCCAGAGTCATCCGGCAGTGATCGAGGTTCTGCTCTTCCTGCCTTAGCTTTGCTTCCAATTGTCTTCGCGACATCGGAGTTGGCCCCGAACCTGGCAGGTCCATCATCCTTTTCAACTTCTCTATCTCCTTAATTGTCTTCGTCTCCAGTTCATCAAGGGACTCAAACTCTCCCCATCGCTTCCTAAAACTGTCCATTTGGTTAAAGATCTGCAGAATAAGGCTCCTCAACAGCCCCTCAAACGATTTCTGCAGCGGCGTCCCTCGATAATGGAAGAAGAACCCAGCTTGAAGTTCCTTCACTTCTGTGGTGCTCCGTGTCCAGCTGTGCAAGAGTTGCCACGTCGTCTCGCTCTGGTAGATGTACTTCATCAGGGTCGATTTGCCCGACCCCGGCTTGCCGTTGATCCAAAAGAGCCCTGAGCCGTCTTGGAGCCAGCTACAGAACGAGGGCAGCTCGAAGATCCAACTGAAGGTATTTTCATAGGGATCCTCGATCTGGTCGACGCGAGTGCTGAGTTCTCGCGAATGCAGTTCGGTGTACATTTCTAACTATCCATAAGCACACCCAAGAAACTCCATCATCTTGTTTGGATCCACTTACTATTTTCCAGTGAAAGATACTTGCGTAGCATTCGAAAAGCTTCTTGTTCACTTGCCGACATGGGCTTGTGCATTTTCAGCTCTGTATCTTCGACCTCTACCTCAACTTGTACTCCCGAGATCATCCCGCTTCTATGGTCCTGTTGGTCACAAAGCTCAGCGAGAATAAGTAGAATGGTCTCCAGATCTCTGTCTCCGCTAGAGAACTTGACCATTCCAGAATGATCCTTATCAATCGGAATCGTCATGATCTTGTTCTTGGTATTGCGGTATGAGGTTGCGGAGTCGGGGTTGACCAAAACCTCGGGAGACCCGTTTTTAGCCCATGTTCCATCTGGTTGCAGCTGTGCGGAATCGTTAATCGAGATAAAATTCGAATTTCGGGAAGACGGGCGCGTTTCTTGATACTCACAGCAGGAGTTATCGACTCCTTGGTCTCATAGGCCCAGTAGATGGTAGCTCGTTTCAGAAAGGCCAGACCGTCGAATCGCGTATTGAGGTCACGCAAGTATACGCTTCCGTTGTCGCGCGACAAATCTTGAACCAGAATCTCGTTGGGCCGCCCTTCAGTCATCATCATCAGATGTGACTGATGCATTCCCAAGCTCGGGACGCCAAACATGATTGCCCCCTTCACCCTGTCCAGGATAGACGCATAGAGCTGGAGGCCTGCAATCTGTAAGATGGCATCCTTGAGCACGATACCGCCTAGACTGTGAGCTAGGAAGACGATCGGCTTCGATGACGGAAGCCCCCAGCCGCCGTACTTGAGCTGGTGTATCAGGCCAAGTGAGATATCGCCGATCTTTTGGAAGGACTCGCTCTTTATCAACTGGGAGTTGTAACCGTATAGGAGCATTCGGGTTCCAGATATCAGCCTTGAAGCTTCATCCCTGATCCACATAAAAGTCTTGTCGTCTCCGTGAGGCTGCCAGGACCCAAAGGGATGACTTGCCAAGCCAGAGATGGCAATGCAGCTGAAAGGATAACCGTGCTTAGCATATGCAGAAGCAATGTGGGAAAGTTTAGGGCATACTCGGTATGGTGCGAATTGGCGTCAACATGATTGAGAACCGTCATCCCCAAGAAGTGGGTATCAAGCAGCAGATAATCCAGGGTACCAGGGAGGGGGATCTTCCACTCATCCTTGCCGTCGTCGAGTTGTAGCGAGCTAGGCGAGCTCTTGAGTTGGAGCGTTGCGACTTTTGAGGGAGGAGACTCGAGACGGTTGAATGTATGGGCCACCGAGTAGACAACTACGTCGTCCGGCGGGATGCCGAGGGCATCACCAAGCAACCGGGCCGCCTCCGCCGCGTCGGTGATGTGGTGAGGCAGCCTCCGCAGCCGATACACCCTGGCGGCCCAGTTCGGCGGACTCATTCTTGACTAAGCCAGCGGGACTCGCTGCTGTTGCGTCCTTGTCTCCTGCTCGGACGTCTGATGCATGGATTGAATGCGCGCAACCAAACTGTGAACATCTCAGCTGACCCCTTTCTTGCATCTTGATGACTAAGGAGAGAGTAACACCCCTGCAACGGATCCCGGCAAAGGGATAAAATCTGCAACTGAGTTGTTTGCCAGACATTCTCCGCTCTAGATTTCTCATGCTCACTTGATTCTGTGGGTGTTGAACCTTTTTAGTCTTGATGTGCTCCATGTATGAGGCGTGGGGAGTATATCGAGTTGACGAGATACACGTTCAGCAGCTGAGGCCGTTTTATTCGTTACAATGGTCAGTCAGCTTTTTTTTACTATAAATAGCCGCCGTCGTGCAGCTGGCCCCGTAGATTCTCGCTACTCCATAGTAGACAGATAATAGCTAGATGAAAGATTAAGTAGGTAACAAGTAGACTTCTGAGCCTGTAACAATGCCTCATATTTGCCTCTACAAGTCGCCATCTTGAAGTACAAAAATTGCTCAATCAAATTGTCTCGATCCAAAGTTGAACCTCCTAGTAAGGTAGTAGTCGATGTATCCCTAGCGAGAACACCAAGAAAATCGCCGCTCTTTGGTTATCTTAATGGGGTGTAGCCACCGCTTTATCTATAGCTTCAAGATTAGCAACGCCAAATTCGAAGAAGATTGCAACCACGCCCATATGGTCAATTTTGTCAGACCATACCAGTAATACTTGGTTGAGGCCATCTCTGGATTCAGCGTCTACATCCTTCTCAATGGGCTGAGCGACCAAGGCGGGAACTTTCTGCCACAACAGACTAGCGCATGTGATCGTCCCAATTCTTAGCTTAGCAACTGGAGAAGGGATAGATGCCCAATAATGCGTCCATTTCTTCCTCTGTGTCTGGCGTAGAAAAGCTGAGGTCAACAAAATTCGGATAGGGGACATTGATCTCTACGATGACGGTGTGCGCCGCTTGGAGCGTGGTTGAATGATGCCAGCGTGGCTCGAGGGCGATGGTCGTGGATGATGTGAAATCCCCAAGTAGGAATTCGCGAGCTGTCTGGTGTAGGAAGTAAACCCAGCCCTGGTAGACTGACAAAAATAACCCACCAAAATACCGGAGGCGTGACTGAAAATGGGTATCATTTTCCAAGTCGAAATCATCAAAGGACTGATGACAACCCTCAACAATCATCTCCATATTGATTTCCGCCAGTGACAGCGGTTTATTTGCTGCTAAGATGATGATTAATGCTTTCCAAATTATTGAGCGTTCTGCGTAGCTATTTCTATCAAAGAGTCGCTCATATGCCTCATTGACACTTGTAGGAAGTATCGAAAGGGTGGAATAGATTCCCTTGGCGGTTGTATTAAATATTTCCTTCCCTCAGTAGTCGAATACGAGATACACCCAGAGATAGGTTCGATGATGAGTCTCTTGCAACTTCTTCTTTAGATAGATTTGTTGTTTAGGTGACAGGCTATTCTCCTTTGCTAGCTGTTTGATCCGGCACGCTATAACAGGATCCACTTCCCGACTGATTGTATTGGTCTCTTCTTTTCCAGGTATATATATGTTTGGAAGCGAGTTTAGTAAGTTATGAAACTTGGAAAGTATGCCAGAATATGGAAGGCTTGTCAGATAGTTGCTGTCGACGAGGTTTGGAGACGCTGGAGCTCATTTGATGTATTAATTCATAATCATTACGTACTCCGTATTAATCCAGACGGGAAGAGAAACACGAGTCCTTTTTATACATATGCGACGCCTAAGGTCTCCCCTTCTTGGGACATGCCAGAGGCCCTAATGATGCAAGATCCAACGGGTCTATGTGCCTAGGAGGCGGAGCTGATAGATTGGAAAACTGAGTCCCCACTGAGAATAGATCAATCGAAGTCTCGCCCTTGTTGATGTGTAGAGGAGATGTACTCGTTAAAGATGTGCTTGTATTGTGAGGTGGAGTTGAGGTTGGTGTGGAAGTAGGTAGCTTGACTTGGATGTGTTCAAGTAGTTGCATCACACTTTTGTTCGCATCTTGACTCTGGTGAAGCGTGAAGGGATCATCAACGGCTGACTGGGACAGCCAATGGCAGATCTGAGGAGGATCTTTGTGGTCATGGCCCGGGTGCTGGGTATTTGGTTTGCCGGACATGGCTGCGACTGGGAGACTGCTCTCAGGTGTAATAAGTATTGGATGGAGAATCGACAAGCAAGATTCGTTTAGGATAGGAGAAGATGTCAAAGAAGAAGAGAGCTGAGTGGAGCAGCAGTGGAAGTGAGCATATTCTTTTAGGGGCTCCAGGACGAAGAACATATTTATACAACATGGCGAGAACAGCTGCAGCTCGGGTCTGCGAGAAATGGAGGAGAAGGCAGATATTGACCAGTGTGGACTGTACGTGCATGCACTGTGCGAATCGGGCTGTTGGTCAGGCCAAGTCCCTTGACACAGCCAGTCTTGGCATGATCGGGAGGGAAATACCTGACTGTGATTGGATGGGCTGGAAGGTGGACCCGTCCTCGGGAAGGAGATGGCTCAAGGTTGAGGGACAGGCCCAAGTGATCCCTGTGACTACTCATGCTAATGATGTGCTGATTGGCCGGAACGACGAAGCTGACGTGGATCTAGCTGTTGTCATTGGGGTGATGGAAGCAGGGGTCTTTATCATGTTGCTTATCCATTGGGTGGAAACTGGGACCCCTGGCGGGCATTTGTGGAAAATGGATCGCCAAGCGTCTAAGATTTTTGAGACAATACGTTTGATACGGGAAGGAGTAGATGCGGCAGGGCGGGTACATTTGGTCAGCCCGTAACTGTCTACAGTTCTTTGTACCCACCTGTCAGGATCTTGGGTAATTCAATTGCACGCAAGATATGTGCCGTTGATTTTCCGGAACGCCCCTTGTTACTTTTGCCTATTGCGGACATTGCCCAGCCAAGAGCGATTCCCTCAAAGGCGTACCCACCCCCCTCCATCCCAAGCCCGTGACGGTCTCCCACCCTGTACACCAACCCCGACAGATGTTCCCAGGGCTGGGCGGCGAGGTTGCTCCAGGCTTCCTTGCCTGTCTGATATCCCCATGGCATGACGCCATTCGTGATCCTCGCCCTACTAACTTACCCACCTTTTTATCTTATCACTTGCAGACTGGCTGGGCTCAATCTTTGGTGTTGTCGGAACGGCGTCGTCTTGGAGCTTACTCGTGATGCGCGCCAACGCATCAACTTTCCTACGCGCAATCTGGATGCTAGGTGCTCTGCCTCTAACGCGGTACTTAGCAAATTATTGTAGAACGATGCTAAATCCAGGTAGATATTAGTACATACTTATGCCACCGATTCCAGTTGGGATTCTATGCAATGGGTCTTATCAAATAAGCTACCCTATATCCGGCCGCGCAATTATAAACAGGACTCGACAATCCCGCAACGGTTACTCGCTTTGATAAATTACCTTTTAAAAAGTCATGAAATAAACGGTCTCATCTACTCTAGGGACTCATCGAGATCTGGAATCTGTCACTCCACCTGACGAACGCAACCGACTTATTGCATCAAGGGAAGAAATTCGTAGCTGCAAAGCGCCTCGCCTTTAACCCTTTAGAACAGTGAAGGCGAAAAAAAAAAGAACATATTCTGATCACCGAAAAAAAAGGCGAAACACCATGTTTCAACGCTGGACCTTAAGGTGGCCAGCCCGCACAACTTGTAACGATGAACGAGCCAGGACATGGCAAGAGAGATAGGCTTCGATGCATATCCATCCTATCGTTAGGATTTTACTAATTGTATCGCTTAGTCGTGGATGAAATCCCTTTCGCCTAAGTGACTACTAGAAGGAACACTGGGTGGCCTGATTCGCCGCTCACATGATACTGAAATTCTTGTCCCGACCCGAGAAGCCCCAGTGATTCTGCTTCCGTTTGGTTCACAGAGTGGGCAAGTTCAAATTCCGTATGCAACTCAATGCAAACACCACTCGGACGCTATGCTCAGAATAGTGTGACATGAGGTCATTTCTAACTCTGCCTTGGTGGCCGATCTGATTGCCCCTGAGGTGGCTGAAGTTCAAAGCGCCATGAAGAAGTTCATATGTTTTAGTACCTCATAAGGGAGAAGACTTTTGTTGGATTCAAACGAATACGGCTAATAGTGAGTGCTTCTTCGGGTCGATAATGTGTGTGTATTCAATCTTGTTGTGTTGTTGTTACGCAACAACCCCTCCTCTCGGCTGACCCCTTATGTACCTAGCCGATCGTTCCTGCCTCGCTTACTCAAATCTCGGGAGGTATCTTTATGAGGGTTCATAGCGATAAAGTACATAGCAAATTCTCACACGCTGTGGAGCGTTAATCCCGTTGTGACATCTTGCGTCAGGGCGGATTCAACAACTTTCAAACCAGCATCGTTGTTGGTGTTGATGATCGGGCTATGTATTCAATTCGGCACAGTAATCAGTGCGAGTGCACTCCGTTTTATTTGTGTGGTAAAATTGACTCTAGCAATCACATATACACTTCATTCTTGTTTTTGGGAGGATTTCTTCAATGGTTTGTAGAGATGCGGTGTATTTGATCCGGCATCAAGGCCTTTGACGTTAAGGTGCAATTATTTCACATGTGGAAAGGAAAAGATCTTAACTTAAAATCAAAATATAGGTTTCCCCAAGCTTAAATTGAAGGAATATCTACCGAGCTGGAGGAGATTGGAGAAAACTACCAGACCACTTGCCATTATAGGCCCGCCTGGATTTGGCCAAGGCATCCTCATCTAGTACCTCATCTAGTGACAAGAGCATACTCTATCCGTCGGTTAAAACATTGTCATTTATAATTAATAGCCATTAGGAGGAGAGCTTACCCGGTCGCAAGATTGCAATATTTCACCATGTTTTGAGGGCACTATTGAAGCAGGAAAAAGTCAGGGCCGCCCTTTCATAAAATCTGACATGTGTCACATATGTGACGGAACTCTTTCTCACCCTTGGGCAATCGGTTGTTCCATGACAAGGCGATGCAATAGCTGCCGCTCCCTGGACGAGAACGAGCATAGAGAGAAGTAAAGCCGAGGCGTCAAATCGCATTTTGAAGAGCTGGAAGGATTGTAGATGGGATTGTGTTTTTGATTTCGGGCTGGGAATGTAATTCTGAAGGGACTCTCTGAAGGGACTAGGGGATCTTACATACTTATACGTCTACCCATTGCATTAGTTCGTTCTGAATGACAGACAAAGTCTACCAATTCCGCGCCATCAGACCAATCATTCATTAGAGAGCTCACAACTAGAATGGACGGCTCGAGCGCACCCCGGAATTATTCCCATGGTTCTAGACTTGCAGGTTGCTAACCGTGTATGCAAGCCACATGCAATAGTTGTCATGTATTTGGATATAATTGAACCACATAGGTCAGGAACTCGCCTGTAATTGTGGACCGTTTTGACGCCACAGCTACTCTTGTTTTGGCGCTGCTCGTATTTCGCCTTGCTTATGGAGACCAACTGTGATGACCGCCGCCATTGGTCCCAGTGGACTACGCAAGGACCCCAGGCTACTGCACCATCTGCTCCAGCAGGTCAGAGTACTCGAGAGCTGAACTTGTGTGCCGCTTTGCCGATGAGAAGGCTGCGGGTGTATGGACTCCCCACTCAGAGTCTTAGACTGAGGGCATCTCTTTTTGACCTCCTGCACCCCATCTTAACTTCGTCCAGCAAAGAGTGGTAGATGGCCAGGGGATCCCTCTACGAATGCCATAGCTTTTTGAATGTTCCTGTTTGCGACCAGAATTGGGTAGTGCCTGATGATTTATTTGCCTCTTGAGTTTTGGCTGTAACTGTAGGTAACAATGTTCATCCTAGGGCTGGTGTAAAACCAGCTTCTTCCACTACAGTTTGGCTGCATAGGTTGAGTCGGCCCCTCTCTTGATACCTTCAGAGAAGCCTTTTAGACAATTGGATGCTCCTGTGCTGACCGCGTGGTCCACCTAACATAACAGAACCTAGAAATCAGACAAGTTATGAAATGATAGCACCTCAAGGTCATGGTTGCCTTTTTCTTTTTCTTTTTTTTAAAAATAAAATAAAAATAAAAATAAGACAGCCTATAGCTTTTGTTGGAACAAGACTATGATTTAGAGCAATTTTTCTCATAAGAAACCTAGCTCTAGATACGTTCCTATTAACCCATTTGAAGAATAAATCAGCACTGGTCATAGAGAGGCAGTGAAGAACATTCTATACATCTGTTTTGATGGTAAATATACAACTTGGAATATCATTTGTTGCGATGGAGATATTCTCTGAGGACGCCTAGGCGTCTCTGGGGAAGAATAATCTATTGAAGACCGAGAGACAAGTTTGCGGCTTTGGCCGATCGAAGTATGTCGATTAACCTCGTCCATCATCCCTACCTTGCGACAATCACTAGATGTGAGCTTGTTTGCGGAGATAAGATGCTTAGTGTTAAGCATATCCTTAACTATTCCCCACAGCCAAGTTCAATCAATCCACTTCTCCAGAGGGCAAAATCGATCACTACCTGGCGGTATTGATAAGGCTTCCAACGAGCCACCAATGCAATTATCAGAATCCTGTTGCCCAATTTTGCTACATAATGCAGAGATATTGGTGTGTTCTATATGTGCTGCAGGCCTATGGCCCTTTAATGATGTCTGCTAGTCTTGTCCGACTATATGCAGTGGCTTTGACCAGACATATTTCGCCCTTAGTCGCTGGAGGAAATAAAATGGCGGATGAAATGAAAAGAACAAAATGGTCGAAATTAGAAATTAAGCGGGACTGCGTAGTATGAGACGATACTCGCTATATAAATGCGGGAATCGTTTTGGTAATTGCAGGAAGAATGGGTAGCTACTGTCGCCATGTTTAGAATGTTAACGGAATGGGAAGCTTGTATTATCGTGATTCAATAATATTGACTGGTTCTCTATACCAATCCTACCTGACAGTTCTGGGCAACAATAATTTGTAAAATGCTCTCGGTGCTTATCTGATCGGTACCTAACACCTCCTCCAAGGATGAAAGAGTAGGCTTTCCTCGCTGCACAGTTGGTCGACTTTCCTCTTCTAGCTCGATGCGAGGCACCTTTGTCCAAGCTAATACGCCATGCTCTTTGGGCAGCTCGGCTGTCGAGCACTGGCTGATCGGCACAGCCCCTGGCAGCTGAGTTGGTAGGGACGGGAAGGTCCAATCATGCCGGCAATTGATATCAGTGACCTACAGCGGGGTTATTTCACCTTGGATGTAGGCAGAATCTAGAACGCCATCAGTCGCCTGCTCAGGCGCTGTGTATAGCGCCCCGATGAGGCAGGTGAGCACCCCGACCCTTTGAGAGTGCTACGTAATCCCGGGGACTCTCTTACAGCGTTGCATGTCAAGCTTGATTGGAACAAGACTGGATGTCACCTAACGAGTAAAGTTGAGCAAGCGACGCACTTTTGCTCAGCCGATACCTGAAGGCTCACTTGTGTTCTGAGTGAATACAACGCTATGAGATATTTGTTGGGCGAGAGTTACAAGCTGGGAGGTTTGCATAAGCGAGGAGGCATTGGGGTTTCGAAAATGATGCCTTGCGTCGTCAATTGTCACTCGCCTTTCGCTGCGGGGAAAATACATACTTAAAGGGGAATCTCGCCATGGATTACCAGCTTGCTTTCCCCTCTCTTCATCCCCCATCTCTCTTCTCTCTATTATCACCTTTGGTTGGCAATCCCCAATCATGAAGTTTCTGTCAATCATCACGGCATTGTTGCCCCTCGCAACAGCTAAAGTCACCTATGAGGGATGGAAAATCTTTCGCGTTGAGACTGAGGGCGCTTATGAGGCGATTGAGCCTGCCCTCACGGACATTGGTACTCTCCTCAACATTGACAAGGGATACAGTGCTGTCACTGTAGCTGTAGCGCCGGAGAAGTTTGATGCCTTTGAGGCTCTCGGTCTGACTACCACCGTTCTGACTGAGAACTTGGCTGTTGACCTCGAGGTTGAGACTCATGAGCCCTATGAAGGTCAGCATTCGGGCCTCTTCTCATTTTTCATGTTTTCTACATTTTACCACCCCGCCTGTTTAAACGTGATCGACTAATCTTCTTTTATTTTATAGCTACTGTCAAGGTTGATGACTTGGAGGCTGCCGCCCTCCCATCCATTACTTACTTTAACGCCTACCACACGCTTGCCGAACACAATCAGTTCCTTGTTGACCTCCAGGCTGCCTTCCCAAGTAACTCGGCGATTTATTCCGTCGGCAACTCCTTTGAAGGCCGTGCCATCCAAGGAATTCATATTTGGGGCTCGGGCGGCTCCGGATCAAAGCCGGCGATTGTTTGGCACGGCAATGTCCATGCTCGTGAATGGATCACTGGTGTGGTATGTTTTCTATCTTTCACCCACTGGCTATCCTGGGTTTTTGTTTGTTTCTTTACTAATGAAACGTAGACCGTCGAGTATTTGGCATACAAGATCGTTGAGCAATATCTTGCTGGCGATTCCACCGTCGTTACTGCCCTTAACAACTACGACTTTTACATCACCCCTATTGTCAACCCTGACGGTATGTTAACTCGCCCATCGGGGTACATTTGAATATCGAGTAGCTAAATCTTCACAGGCTTCGTCTACACAAGCACCGAACGTCTCTGGAGAAAGAACCGCCAAACACGTAGCGGCGCATCGTGCGTAGGTACCGATATCAACCGAAACTGGCCTTACCAGTGGACCGGCTCCGGCTCCTCCACCTCCACCTGCTCCGAGGTCTATCGCGGCGCTGCTCAGGGTGATACCCCCGAGAACAAAGCCCTTCTCGCCCAGCTCGTGGCCCTCAACAACGCCCAGGGTGTCAAGTTCTACCTGGACTGGCACTCATACAGCCAGCTCGTTCTTTTGCCCTACGGTTACAGCTGCAGCGCCACTGCTCCTAACCACTCGACGCAAATGGCCGCTGCATCAGGCGTGGCTTCCGCTATCAGGGCCGTGAACGGGTTGACGTTTACGTACGGACCAACTTGCTCAACCATTTACCAGGTTAACGGCGGCAGTTTGGATTACGTGTCGGCAGTGCTGGGTGCGGAGTTTTCTTGGTCCATTGAGATGAGGCCTTCGTCTTCCAGCAGCAATGGTTTCGTTATCCCGGCCACGAACATTGTTCCCTCTGGAAATGAACAATGGGCTGGTATGAAGTACATGTTCACCCAGCTGTAGAGTAGCTGAAATACCTCATGAGTATTGTTCTTATGAATACACAAATTCAATGACAAGTAAATTTGGTTGAAGTGTAGCAGGATCACTGTGGGTATCGTACTGTTTACATATGACCTGATCCTTACTTGACCCGCCAACAATGTTACAGGACCTCAGATCATCCTTCTGCATAAACCCCTCACTTGGATGCCCTCAATGCTACCACATCATTACAGCCCGCTGGCCAGGCTTACCAAAGTGGCTGTGCAGAGGGGCTGTGCATTAAACGTATATGACTTGAGCAACTCTCTGTTTCTGAAGGAGTAGATTGTGGCGTCGCAAGCATGGCCGAGGCCCTGGGTATCGCCTCTGGCATCGCCGGACTGATTTCTCTGGCTATCGAAGTCACCAAATTGAGCTACCGATACATCCACGACGTTCGGTCAGCCAAGAGCACGCAGAAGCAGTATCTCAGAGAGGTCGCCGCCTTGACTGAAGTTCTCCTGCGCATCGAGGAGACAGCTCAAGCCATTCAAGACCAGGGCAGACCTGCCATGTGGTTGCTACCTAACGACGCAATTCGGGGATGCGAAAGTGAGCTACAACAGCTGCGCGCCCAGCTGGAGAAGCCGCTGCCAGGCTTACTGTGGCCTTTTAAAGAAAAGGCAATTACAAGTCATATTGAAGAGCTCCACCGCTTCCGCAGCATATTTTCCAGCTCTCTCTCCACGTTGACGCTGGTCACGGTATCAGCAACGCAGCGGGAGGTTGCGCGTCTTGGCCACCACCAAGACCTGCATGAGCTACTTGACTGGATCGGGAAACCGGATGACTCGTCGGCAGTTGATCGAACTCCCCTGGTAGGAACGGGAAAGTGGTTTCTTGCTTCTAATGAATACCTGTATTGGGCTGCCACTGGCTCTTCGAAGCTTTGGTGCCATGGCCCGCCTGGCGTGGGAAAATCCCTAATTGCCATGGTGGCATTACAGGACCTGCGAGCACGGCTGAAGGATGACCAGTCAGTTTGCGTTGTCAGCTACTTTTGCGAATTTTTGAACCGAAAGCGGCAGAAAAAGGATTCGATTTGGCGAGATATTCTGCTCCAGATTGTAGCCCAAGACCGGCCTGCCGTTACCAAATTTCTCATCAGTTGCTGGTCAAAGTCAGGCAGAACAAGGTATGCCAAGAATGACGAAATAGCGGACGCACTGTACGCAGTGTGCAGATCAGTGAACATTGTTCTTGTCATGGATGGGCCCGATGAGTTGGAGAACCCGAAAGACCTTGGAGTCATATTAGATCCCTTTCTGAAGTCTGACAGTAAAGTCATGATTACAAGTAGGGACTTACCAGAGATAAAAGATGCCCTTAGGCCATTATGGACGTTGGGGATTGAACAAACAGACGAGAATGATTTGAGGGTGTACGTGTCATGTAAGTTTGAAGAGAATGACATGCAGGACATGTTGGAGGATCACCCAGACTTGGCAACAGAAATTATCGAGAAGTCAAATGGAGTGTAAGTCAACTGCTCTTTCAGAGGGGATTTCCTTAACAATTCTGCAGTTTCCTGCTGGGTGAGATATTGGTCAACGAGCTCGTGCAACTGAGCACAGTCAAGGAGATGAGAAGAGCTCTAAAGTCATCACCAGCACACCTTGATCAAGCCTTCGAAGCGACTTTGAAACGCATTGACTCTCAATCCAAGTCTCGCAGTTCTCTGGCCCATAGGCTGCTTGGCTGGATTGCCTGCGCCGATAGAAGTTTCTCAGTATCGGAACTGCTTCATGGCCTTGTGACAGAGGAAGGCGAGGAGGAAATTGACATGGAAAATCTTCTTACGATCAAGATGATCCTAAAAGTGTGTGGTGGACTTGTCATATCGAGTGCTAAAATTGGCAAGGTTGCCATGGTGCATAGCACTGTCCACGAATGGTTTCGAAACCGGGAAGGGGCCAAATGGCACGAAGATATCGCTAGGTCATCTCTCCGATACCTCACTTTGAAAGTCTTGTCTTCCGGTCCTACAACTAGTGCTGAAGAGTTGGAGGTCCGCATGAAAGAACTGCCATTTCTTCGATACGCGGCGCAGAACTGGCGCAACCACATCTTGAACGATGAATTACTGAACGGTCTCACCAGTACCATCGATGTCCTGCTAGGAAATGTTAATCTATGTTCTGCTGCATTTCAAGTCAGCAACTTCCAAGGCCAGCTTAAGGACTTGGCGGTCCGTTCAGCGACTTTTGACACAATTCCTACCGGTCATATTGCGTTGCACTTCGCTGCGTATTGGAATCTAGGAGACAAGGCGTGTCAACTAATAGATACAGGACAGTCGTTGAATGCAAGAGACTCTCAGAACTGGACTCCGCTTCATTGGGCGTGTTTTTCGGGCAGTCAACAGGCTATCCAGGTTCTGTTTCTTCGAGGGGCTGATACTGGTGCCAAGGACTCAGTGGGCTGGACGCCTTTATTTTGGGCTGCATTACAAGGCGATACGAGCTCAGTTGAACTTCTGCTGCAACAGGAATCAGACCACATAGCTCGAGATGTTCATGGCTGGACGGTGCTACGATGGGCAGCTGCCAGAAGACAGACGAAGGTGATTGAGATGTTGGTCAATCATTACCGGCAAATACAGTCCCAAGACCGCCGGCCAGATGGCTCTGCGCCCAATGATGTAGAGCCCCAGAAAGCTATCAATGATGAAAGTCATAATGATATGGATATTATTCGAAGAGACCTGATCAAAGGTCTAAGTGACGGCACGACACACCGACAGGATCAACCCGGGGTGTATTTTGTTGACCTCTACCACATGTTTTTCGATAGAAAGCCGGACATGGAGAAGTTCTGGGGCAGCAACTACTTTGATCCTCCGGTAGGAAATGCCTGGCGCACAATGTGCAAGGCGACGAGGATGAGACTGCCTTCCGATGACATCAACAACGCTGCCTATGGTTTTAAGAAGCGTGATTATTCGGGTGGTGAAGGAAGAGGATGGTCATCGGGTTTGATCCACGCCGCAATCCGGGGTAAGAACTTGGTGGCTGTCAAGCTTCTTCTTGAACTGGGCGTCGATATCAATGGGGGCGAGCTTCGAAAGCCGTTGCACACTGCCATGTTCCACACAGACTCGGCCATTGCAACGCTTCTGCTCGAGAATGGGGCTGATATAGAAGCACATGACCACGAGCACCTCACACCGCTTCAGCAAGCCGTTATAAACGGGTTCGTGGAGCCGGCGAAGTTTCTATTATCTATGGGTGCTAATGTGAATGCCGCCTATACCTTTGGACCATATGATCACCTTCATTGGATGGATGGCCGTGATGGCCCTGCTGTCAGGACGCCCTTAATGCTGGCTTGCGGACTAGTGAAGAGTAGGGATGTTTGCCTAGAGATGGTTAAAATGCTCCTTGACCACGGAGCGAGTGTTCATGTAAATGCTAAAGACAAAGGCCTCGCCGGTATGTCAGTTTTGCATTACGCCGCGAGCTCGCATTTTCCGGAGCTGCTAGAGGTCGTTGTCAATGCCGGTGCCGATATCATGGTTACAGACAACTACGGCCGAACCTCTTTTCACCATTTGGTGCTTGGTTATAGGCAAAATAAGGAGATATACGATCGGAGGTGCGAAGACGCGTCTTATGCACCGGCGTTACCTCCAAGCCCCGCGGCCAGCTGTTTGAGTATTCTACTTTCAAAAGGTGGCCGTGAGCATATGAACAAAAGTGCAAAGTGGGAGCATGAGTTTCGAATCAACTTGAAGCGCGAAGAATGCAGTGGACTTGGATTAAAAGAGTGGCCTTTGTTTAGCCAGGAGAGAACCTACTCGCCCTTGGCTCTTGCTCTGATTAAAAGGACAGGGAATTGTTCGATCAACTACGCCGAAGCGGCGCGGAGTTCGAAACAGATGCGCCTTTGGATTTATACCTTTCAAAAGCGATTGAGATGATGAGCCCGGACGCTATTGAATTTCTACTTTCGAACGGAGCCACGTTTCCATTGCAATTTATCAACAAATTTGAGAACCTTGACGAGATTCTGCGGAATCATTGCGCTCGGTCTAGCAACCTGGAAGATCTGGAAAAGGTCCTCGAAATTCTGATGCGGCATGGCCTCGAGATGAATCAACAACTTCGTACGTGTGACTGGTCGGAAAACGGGCGAACCGTACTTTGGTGGGCAATGTCCAGCAACTCAGTTGGGGTTGTCGAGGTGTTGACTAAACTGGGTGCGGATCCATTCAACGAGGATGCTGAGCACCTGGACTGCTTTTTGATCGCTTTCGTCAGACAGAAATTTGACAATTTGCGCTTCCTATTACGGCTCTCAGAGACACATCCTCATGCAGATCACTGGACGCAGCAATTCGATCACTCCAAGCTGGCGGGGGACTCGGAGATGCTAGTAGAAGTGTGCCAAGCTTTGAAGAAAAAAGGGACTTTGATAGACATCGGAAAATCTCTGCTCTCGAAAGCTTCGAAATCTGGGCACGCACTTGCCGTAGGGGCACTCTTGCGGATGGGGGTTCATAGTGAGGCTGGCGACGGGGCCATGCTTATCGATGCTGTCCAGCATGGCCATGAAGATCTGGTCAAGGCGCTTCTGGACTTTGGAGTTGACGCCAATACTGTCGGGAAAGACGGACGCACCGCTTTGCATATGTCATCCCAGTTCGCGTCCAAGTGGCCCATGGTGGAACAATTGCTTGCACACTCCGCGGACCCTAACGTGATAGATACATGGGGATGGCAGCCTTTGCATCTTGCTGCGGTACAGGGTTGCGTGAAAGCTGCTCGTATGCTACTGGACGCGGGAGCATCGCCGCGGGCTACCACAAGAGAGTTCAATGACCATCTTTTGATCCCTGGGATGCGCGTAGGGGATTCTTGGATCCTTACACCGCTTCACCTAGCTGTTTTTCATGGCAACATAGAGATAGTCGAAATCCTTCTCTCAGCGTCATCTAATAATCAGTCTACTGCGAATGAAGAACATTTATGGAATATGAGGACTTGCGCTGTTTCATCTGTTGGGGATCGCATCTATGAGCCTCCAAAGGGCCTTATCGGTATCACTGCCTTGGAAATTGCTTTGGATAAAGACTACCGCTTCGGATATTGGGAGCAAAGGCACATGCAACTCCGAATAGCACAAATACTGGTGGAAGCAGGAGCTATCCTAGACGGCGTAGCTCATCGATTGGGGTTTGAGGATAAACACATCTTCCTGGATGAAGGCTTTGAAACGTTATGGGAAGTGCTGCATAGTCCTCAGAAACAGGCATCAGTGATGCCAAAATAGAAACCACTGCTGATTGAGGTGACACGGATGTTAATATTGTTAAATATGGTTTGTCAGAGACGATATCACGGCGAGTTTTCGGTGATGGGGGGCGGAATGAACTGCGAGGCATGTTGAAATAGAAAGATAGTTGTCATGAAGGAAACCATATTGGTGAAGTCTCGCAATTGACTGTTCTACTACATTGCTAAATCAGGAAGAGGCTTATTCTATTAGTAGCTATCGTACATTCAATTTAGACATCAAGGCTAGGTTTATTAATTTTGTATTTGCATCTAGTATTGTTTTCTTCGTAACCTGCAGTACCCAGACTGTCACGGTGTCATATCCTTGATTTAGTGTGCAGCCAGGTAGTATTCTGGTTCATTCGTGTATCCCATGGTTGGTGATTTACGATTGGGTTTCGTTAGTAACATTAAAAAATATTCAGTCCCAAAACATGATTCCCTGCTATTCGCATCTCCCTTTCAATGATTTCATATGTTATTAAGGGAGCTCGCCATTAGCCTGAGCCTCTTTGACAGCTGTTTGGTATTGAGCAAGTTTCGTCTTGTAGATGGCCTCAAGCTCGTCGGAGCGTTTACCAGGGCTCGCATCATCGCCCCCAAATGCACGAACGGCAGCATAGTAGACCTCGGCAAGAGCATCACAAGCAAGCTTTGGTTTTTCACTCTCACACAGGTATTTCAAGCTGTAGCACGTTAGAACAAAAGTTGTTATACTCCTGGATGCTCAAGAGGAAAAAAAGGGGCGACATACTCAGACAGGAAGTTGTCGTCGATTTTCTTCTTTCCACTTTCTGTGAAACGGCTCTGGTCACGGTAGTTGTTGTAGCCAAAGTCATGGCGATGGCAAGCAGGCTGACATAGAGTTCAGTTAGATAATTACCCCCGGAACGACCAAGCACGGTTACATTGCTGTCAAAAATAGAAGCCCTCTAAGTGGGCTGAAGGCCAAAAATACTTACCAGAAAGTTGAATCCGAGCGGGTTATCTGGGGACTTTGTGCAGCCGTCGCTGGTCCAGTCCAGAGAGGCCGGGTCTTTAGCTGAGTGTTTCGTTGAGAAAGCGGGTAGTGACAGGCTGAAGAGGTATTCGTCAGTGGTGGCAATATCGCTGCTGTTTGATCGCTTGGCGGGCATGCCGAAAACGCCAGCGGCAAAGGTGAGAACAGTGGAGAACTTCATTCTGGGCAGATTAACACAGCAGGGAACGAGACGGGCTGGGATGTAATAGAATAGGACACGGCGTGTGGTCGAACCGAGGCAGGGCAAGGGCGAGTTGTAGAACTTAAGTACGTGGCGTGTTCGCTCTTATTTATTCCATGATATTACTTGCTCCTGGCATATTCTCCATCTACTGTCTCAGCCTGATAACTGCAACCTGAGGATGAGCTTGGATCACCCGCTGCAGCTGGTCAACCCCCTGTAGGGCTAAACTCGGACAGGAAGCTCTGCGGGTGGTGGAGATCTCTAAGCGCTGATGTTCCAATTCATTCACCTAAAGCAGAAGGGATCTGTGATGGGCAATTGACCATTTGGGAGGCAGCAAGGCACTTTGGGATTCTTTCTTCTTCAAAGGAAGCGCGGATCACTAAGATGGGGCTCACGCCAGCATAAGTGAAACTAGGAGGGTCCTGGGACAGACACAAAACGTCTGTTCAGTGTGCTCCGCTGTTCAGTGAGCTGTGTCAGATGTTTCAGACCCTAGAAACAGGCAAGCTGATACAAACTGCACCGACCACCCCGAAACAAGATAACCTACAAATAGCATCCCATCATCCTTCTCTTCATCATCTGGAACTACGTTGCTGGAGCGGGGGCGGCACGGCCAGTTGCGCGGCAAATAAGTTGCGCCTCGCCTCCTTCACTTGAGGAATGGCGCCGACCTAGCAGTCATTTATTATTTATTTCGTGAACTCACAACAAAAGCCAGCCACCAGCCCCAGAGCGGCCACAGCGCCACAGAGCCTGTTTCAGAGCCACTGCTAAGGCTTTCCATACCAGTTCAGACCTTTCTCCCCATGGTTAAAATTGGATGAGTTGTCGCAATCAATGACAGTTGAGTTTGTGACTTCTATTCACACCAAGCTTAAAGAGTTAACACTAGGAACAAAGGGATCGGACCCTTGGCATAACTTTTCAGTATCGTAGCTATGGTGTCGCCAAGTTTATTTACCTTTTTTAAACAGTCTGGAATCTTTGAGAGATACTTCGATGTTCTACTATGCCACCTTAGTCGGATGCCAAACGGAACATAATTCAAGCGGATAGTCCGCTAGGCTAGGTCCCTTCAAGCGTATGAAGCAATTACCGTCATGGGGGCAACATCATGCCGTCTGATTATTCCTCGCCATTATTCCTCTTCACTTTCATTTTATATCCGGATATACAGGTCTCTCGCCGTTGCCAGGTGGAGATTTGAGAAGCTCAAGATTGAATTTTGTCAATGTCATGTCGAGTGCTTCTAATTTCGGACAGTTATCGAATAAGCATGCCAAAGATTTGGCACATGACAGCTCGCACCCATCTCCAAATACAAAACTGCGAATATGAGGCAGTCCCAGAACAAGTTGAGAGAATGTCTCGTCGTCAGAAGGGAAATCTTCTGCTACGGGCACCTACCTCAGGAGTTCAGATAGACATTTGCGGTATTACAAGTTGAGGAGATGAGCCTATTCTATTTCTACATTTGACAAATTGAGGAAGGTATCTTGGTGTTGTTACAGGTCGTCATGCAAGCTTCATAAAATCCGGTCGTGATCCACCACATTGTTGCTGTCACTCTCATCGTTTTCCCCATCTGACCCCCGCAGAGCTCGTCTGAAATAGAGCTTGCTCCCTTCATAGCAGCCAATATACATGGCGCCTCCAATGGTTGCCGTCACGAATGTCAGCACGGCTCCTCTGAATAGACCTCGCAGGCCATCCACTCGCAATGTTTCCCTGGCGACACTCAGGAAGTTGATGCGTGACGGAGTCTGCCACACCCTTGGTGCCTCCAGATTGTTTGTGCTCGGTGCTGCGGAAGCACTATCTCCACTGACTGACAGCCGCATCCTGGTCTTGATCACGTCTATAGGCACCAGAAGAGCAGATGTGCATCCAGCCGCCACGCCTGCGCTCATCGTGGCGACCTTGACCTGCCCTGTGATGCTGCCCGCCGCCTCTGGGTCCTTCTCACGCAGTCTCTCTAGCCATCTCGATTTCAGATACTCGTAGGTACCCATGGTTATGCAAGTACCTGGCAGGTGCGCCGCCACCATCATTGAATACCCCGTCCACAGCTTCGTCGGGTGTGCAGCGAAGCGCTTCATCACAGCCATGGTATGGCCCCCAAGCGCAGATGACTTGTCTCTTGACAGCCCAGCCGTGGAAACCTGTGCATTTTGCTTGAGCACCTCGGCAGGACTCATTATGGCACACGACACAATCTCCCCGACTGCACTGCTGGCGACGTGGACCAAAGGCTGCGGCACATCGCGAAGATGGCCAGCTCTATGCGCCCACTCGAACCCAGCCTTGAGCTCCTCGTAGACGACCCAGAAGGCAGCCGATGCAGGGATCCCGCTGATGAGCGTCGGCCCAAAGCCCTGATAGAGCCCACGAAAGAGGACATTGCTCGTCTTGTATTGCAATGTATATGTCGGGGACTGCATGCGGGTGATGAGGGTGTCAATGGGATGCGTGAGGACATCAACACTCAGCGCCGCGAGAGCCGATGCCTATCAGGATGATTAGTTTGCTGGTCCTTCTAGGAACACGACTTTTGGGAACATACGGGCCAGACTTCTATCCCAGGGCTGGACGTCGACGACATGGCTGCTACTGCCAGAGCAGACTGGCCACACTGGACCTGCCGTCACCAAGAAACGAAGCGTGTCTGTTGCCTCTCTCAGTATGATCGCGGTATTTTGAACAAGATATTGCTGATGATGGTTTCGTCAGCGAATGAGAATTTCCGCATTTGAGTGCGTCGGGGTTTCGGGCGCCGCGGACTCGATACGCGCGTATCCATTCTTGTTAGTCTGGTCCCTGAGTCACAGCCTAAAATGTAGATCGATCCACCGAGTACTGTCAAATCGACCCTGATTTTAATGGAGCCACTTTGCTAATGTTCCTTTGATTATTTGGATCTATGAATTAGAGGCTGCAATCTGGGGACAGGGAAGTATGGCCTTACCCCGCCCAGCATATGCCTCGCTTTTCTTAACATCACGTCAGCACTTGTACGCAACCGTCCATCATGTCAGCATTACAAGGTTATGCTTTGCGAACCGCTTCTCATGCAAGACCACGAAGTTATTAAGTTTACTTATCTACACTTAGTCTCTCGACGGTAGACATTGTGTTGAGATGTCAGGTCTAGCCTCTTCCATTGGTGTGTTTTTACTCTATACTCGAACTCTCATCAGTCTCTCGAGGGGTGGCATCTATCTACCTGGTTATCTTACAGGAGGGTCACCAGCTTCCGATGAACAGGGAGATAGAGTGTATATGCCGTCATACAACTGCTGACCGGCGCTATCGTAAATTTCAGATTTGTCAGACCGTCATTTGCGTATTGCTCCTTTTGTCAAAATTTAATTATAAAATCCCATCACATAACCGCAAATAACATACCACAGGGATCGACATTTCCACGGAACAAACATCATTATGGTCCTATGAGCCTCTTGATCTACCCACTGCCCATTTTTGATCTGACAATCCACCATTCGCCATTTCCACTGCACTTTGCTTGCTATTCTTCATCCCTCGTATCTGGATCGAACAGTAAAAACGGCCAAGATGTCACGCACCATCGTTGAATTTATCCCTTGGGACGCCGAATCGGCGGAGCACATAGACAGGTTGGTCCAGCAACGAGTAGACTGCGGATGGCATTCTCGGCTTGTCGATGGACCGTGGAAGGAAGCTCAGCAAGCAGGTACTAAGTGTATTTACTGGATCGTAAGTTCTTTTTGCGAGTTGTGGATGGCTATGCTTTGGCCGACTAACGCTTGTAAAGGTGCTTTCCAAGGATGACGCAAACTACAGTTCTCTCATCCAAAAACACGTATCTGCATTTCCACAGGTGACTTTCTCTTCATAAAATTTGGGCTTAAATGGCGATTGACCATGACATTTTATAGCAAGAAACCCCTTTACAGGACTCATGCGGCCGCATTGGTAACATGAATCGTCTCCCGACGGGCAAGAGCTTCATTCCTGTCGGCCATGCCTCGCTAGATACCGAGTCACCTGGGGTGGAGGAACTTAACCTCGACATCCCCGGTTCGGGTGTCGTTTGGCTCAAGACAGGTTATGTATCCAGGGCTCTCCAGTCCAGCGGGATTGGACGGGCGAGTATGGACGCTCTTGAGGTTATGGTCAAGTCAGAGCCACTTTACGCCCAGATTCTGATGCTGGATACACTAAGCAAAGATGATCATAAGAGGGAGGACATTGCAAATGCTTTCTTCTCCGGCAAGATTCCCAAGGTGAGTCTGACACTTCGCGTCCTCGGGGTGACGAAGGTGGGAAAAGCATGCTGAGAAGAAATCCATAATAGGTTTCAAATGAAGAGTGGTTCCAGTCACGAGGATATAAAACGATCAAAACCGTCCCAAACTTTTACAACGAAAAGGACAGCACGGGTCGACCTTTGGAAGCAAGGACTGTCTTCATGAGACGAGATCTCAAAGGAAGCACACCGCATCTTTAGCATTTCCGCTTTTTTGTGATTTTATGATTCTATTCGGCCCGCTCTCCGTTTTACCGGATCAAAGACCACTATGAAATATGAGAAACTACTTCAAGCCGAGTATAAGCTCATGCATAATTATAATTGATCGTCACCGATACTTCTACTTCGTAAGACACTAACATCAACTGACGTCAGTGGCGGTCTTTAGAATGTACGTTTGGTCGTCTGGGAAATCAAGGTCTCAGTCCGCCATACATTGTCTCGGGTAAGTAGCCAATAAAACAAATATGCTGACAATGCCTCTGACCAAGTCTCAGATGTGTAATCTGCCTGTTGGCTATTTAAATATCGGTTGTTTCCGAAACGTGTCAGCTACCTACGACGATGGGCATAGCGTTTCTATCCCACTCTCTTCATCTCAACGAGGAGTAACCATACCACCGACCAAGATTTGAAATTACACCAAACAATTTGATCGCTATCTCTCCATTCCAATTTGATCCCTAGCTCACCTCCCAAAGATGAAGCAATATAAACTCTTGAAACAAGGCAGCTCGAGTGGCTACAGTTTCGAGCCGGAAAAAGGCAATGCAGATTCATACACCGTGGACGTCAACCAACGCCCAATCGGCGAAAACCCTTTTATATTCCTATCCCAGGACTCAAGAACCCAACCAGACCACAAAGACATAGTGCTCGCCGCGGGCCGACTTGCAACGTCCTCTGCTTTTAAAATATACCTCGGAGACCCTAAGTGCTACTACGAGGACTATGATAAGTCACTCCCGTGGGAGAAGATGAATATTGAGCGTCCAGAGTCAACATGGTCTCTTGATTTCTCTGACTCAGATATTAGGAGGGATTTCATATGGAAGAAGACGAGACGGATTGCTGTGGACGGGGTAGAGAAGCCTTCTCGCCTTTTGGCTCAGAATTGGAAGCTCACTTGTGCGAATGACCCCGACGACGTGCTGGCTATTTTCACAGGCGACCTTGGTTTGTCGCAAGGAGGCACCCTACAGATCAATATAGACTGGGGCGTCCAGTTTGAACATATGGTGCTTATCACCCTGGTGTGCCAGTTTTCGAAACACAAGCAGCCAGCCAGCCAGGGTAGCGGTTCGTCTATTGCTGCTCCTCCAGGGGGGTTGTAACAGTTTAGCATCCAATGCGAATGTCAAGGGAATATTAGCCGGATTATGCACCCTTTATTCTATGAGAGTCATCTTAGAACTGGTAACCTTGTGATGGCCACGTTGAAAGTGATGATATCGGCACAGGACGTGGCCACCGTCTCTCCATTCGAATGTTCCCTTTAGTAGAGGAAGGATTTCAGGTATGGAATCTCAAAACAGTGGCTATTTGTGGCAGATGAGATTGCTGATAGGTTGCAGATGTTGTGTGGCCCTATGAGAAGTTGGAGCTGCGCTACGGAGATGCATCTGCCATAGTCTGTGAGTGGAATGATGACAGGTGTGAGTTACGGTGAGAAGTAGTGGTTAAGCCATCACCGGATAGTCGTAAAGTTATAATAGTGCGGCGCCCAGGCATGACCAGATTCCGTGGCCAGTTATGGGCGACTGAGCTATGAGCCTAAATATGTGTTGAGAACGAGGTATGAAATTGTCTATAATTGCTCCAAGTAGCGACAGACTGATCATAGAGTATTTCGCACCAGCTCTACCCTGTTCAGATGCGTCAACCAACAGCTTATAACCTCTTTGTAGGATGGATGAACTTGGACTTACGCTGCAAATGTGCCTGCAGATACAGGGAGCGCTCTCAATAAAGCCGTTCCTAGCCCTTCCCAGAGAGCAGGCATACCCCCAGAGCGAAATGTGATCCTGAAGGCTTCCCCCATGGTTCTGTACCTTTGATCCTTGCCGAATCCATCGCTTTGCATTTTGCTCTTGATAACGTCGAGAGGGTGGCTCAGCAGCCATAGCAACTCCCCAGCAAGCCCGCCGCACACTGCAAACTTCCAGCTCGGAATCTCTGTTCGTGGCTTCTTCTCGTAATTGATTAGCTGGTGTACGAGGCCTTCATAGGCAGCAAACCAAACACCATAGCCGTGGAACTCTCGGAGCAGAGTGACTGCCTGCCCGCGCCATACCCCAGCGAGTCCTGCTTGACCAGTAATCTTTCTCAGGCAGTCTACAGGCCCGCTGTAGAGTCTCTTGTCACCATGGGGCTGGGTCTGAAGGCGGATTCTGATATGCTCGATGGGGCCGGATATAACGCTGTTGGCGAGACCGGCTGCGCCGCCAAGGCAGTAGTAGTCGAATAGCGATAGCGATGTTGTCCCTCGGGAGCATTCTAGTAGACTTCTGAAGTAATGGAACCCACCGAACTGGATGCTCACCTGCAAAGTCTTGTGAGGAGACAAGTTCAAACGAATGTATAGAAATTACTTACACAAGCACCGACACCAACTAGCGGAGTTAACGTTCCCTTGTGCCCTGTCAGCGCCAGCCGTTGCTTGTTTGAGATCATCGATGTTCTCATCACCTTATAGAACGCCAGTGGCCCTTCTTTCCGTAAGACATTGCGTGCTACCGTGGAAGCCTGGCCTCCATACGCTTGAAGTCGGACTTTGACGATGTCTGTAGGGGACGGAGTGAAAGATGAGCATGCAGGTATATGCATCAGAGCATTGGAACTGTACCAAAGGGTTGGCCTAGGTATGGTGAGTGTTTGGTAAACTCAAGAAATCCGAAAGTTCGAACGAACCGATCATGACCTGCGCTACACCTCCCGCCGCACCTGCGATCAGGTCTTTCATGGTGTCGCTACCCATGTCAAGCCTTGTTCTTGTTTACCTTTGGTCCGTTCAGCTTTGACAGATAACTGGCCCCCGACAAGCCATTCATCCGACGGCTCATACTTTATCGCGAAATTCCAAGCTGCAGAAATCCTCATGCTGACCGCTAATTCTGGCATCGGTAATAAATACCGAGGTTCTCCAACTTTTCTGTCAGTTTGAGTCGACGTGAAGGGCGTGGCCCAGGCACGGCTGAAGTTACCATGAGGCTGCATATCATTCGGCCCAGCTCCGAGACCATCCACACCACACAGACCCAATAGTGCATGACTAGCACGAATGCAAATGCAGGGAACAAGTCCTGCGCAGTCTTAAGGCTAAAGGACATTGATAGTTCTCCACGGGGTCCCGTCGGGGCCCCGGCACCTCGTCAGCATGAACACATCCCAGACCGGCCTCTTCGCTGCCACATCACTTATCTTTTTAGCGCCTCGAGGAGTTGATAGTTGAGTCCGAAGAACATTTCTCATCCGTTCGACCGAAGCCTGTGGTCTTTTTAAAGACGAGTTTGCTTCCTACGTGGAGGATATCCTTCAACAGAAACGGGAGCCGCCTTTGCTTGATACTGGTAGCTGACACTCTACCTCAACCTTGTTCTCTTATCTTTGCAATAATGGTGGCCGAAAACGAAAAGCACGACCATCAGTCGCATGATGCGGCTCGATCCCTAACTTCATCACAGATCGATGGCGACGTTCGCGATGTCCGCCTCCCCCAAGGCCGCGACATTGACGTCGTGACCACATTCATCAACAACCTCGACCCTGAAATTCGAGACCTACCCATATCTACGCAAGAGTCTAGACGCGTCTTGTGGAAGATTGACCTGATCGTTCTCCCATTGATGGCCGGGACGACAATCTTGGCTGCTGTTGATAAGAATATTATTGGAAACACGGCTATCCTGGGCATCTTGGAGGACACCAATATCAGCAAAAATCAGTTCTCGGTTATCGGCAGCCTCTTCTTCATCGGATATTTGGTCTCTGAGTGGCCCATGGCCTACCTCATCCAGCGGCTTCCAGCGGCGAAGCTGCTGGCTGCGACTGTCTTTGGCTGGGGAGTGCTCGCAATGTGCACCGCTGCCACACACAGCTTTGCTGGTCTTGCTGTCGTTAGATTTCTCAGTAAGTGGATCTAGAAAAGCGTCTTCAAAACTGGCATGTCGTTGACGCTTGGTAGTGGGAGGACTCGAGGCCATCGTCTACCCAACGAACAGTATCCTAACGGTCATGTGGTGGACGCGGTCCGAGCAGCCCGTGCGAACGGCCATTTGGTTCAACACCATCTCGACAGCATTCACTGGTATTGTTAGCTATGGAATTGGCCTGACGCATACAAATCTATCGCGATGGCAGCTTCTGTTTCTGGTCGTTGGCGGCTTCACTCTCTTGTGGTCTGTGTTGCTCTGGTTCTTCCTCCCCGACTCACCTGTCAATTGCTGGCAGCTGAGTGACCGTGAGAAGTGGGTTGCAATCCAGAGAGTCAAGGACAACAACACTGGAGTTGAGGATACCACGTTCAAGTGGTATCAGGTTAAGGAGCTTTTGCAGGACCCCAAGACATGGCTGTTGGTAATCTTTGCGGCAGCCCAGAACGTCCCCAACGGTAAGCGCGGTCTACTTCTTTCACGGTAAAGTATCCGAGGGATCCGTATTCATTGTGTTGAGTTGTCGAGGTCTGGCAGCTACCATTGCTGTTGAACTTTATTCTCTTTCTCTTACGTATCCGAGTGATCATGTGGCTAATGGTGTGTCAGGTGGAATCTCAAGCTTCTCGGGTCTGATCGTATCTGGCTTTGGCTTCAACACCCTGCAATCGATCCTGGTCAACCTCCCGACTGGCATCATCGGCACGACATTCCAAGTCCTTCTTTCGATACCCTCGGCCAAATTGAAGGGCTGGCGGCGCAGCATCATTGCAGCTGCTAACTTAGTCCCTCTCGTCTGCGCTGTGCTGCTCTGGCAACTTCCCCGAGATAATAAACACGGACTCTTAGCGTCTTACCTGTGCTTCTGGACATACTTTACACCCTATGTTTTGTCGACCTCTCTGCCAATGGCTAATACTTCTGGACACACGAAGAAGGTTACTATGAACGCTCTTTGGTTCATTGCATACTCCCTTGGAAACATTCTAGGTAAGCCATGGCCCTCTTCCTCAAGAGATGCAGCGTGCCGCTGACACAGTTTTAGGCCCACAGGCTTTCCGAGCTGAGGATTCGCCAAACTATACCAGCGGATTCATTGGCCTAGTTTGTTGCGTTGCAGTTGCAATCATTGCTATTTTGTCCTACGGATTCCTCTGTCGACTCGAGAATAGGAAGAGGGACCGCGCTGCGGGCGAGGCTGGGGAAGGGGAGGATGTTTCCGCTGCTGAGGCATTCAACGATCTTACGGACCGCGAGAAGCCCTCATTCAGGTATGCTTATTAGAGCGTTGAGAGGGGGATGCTATAACAGTGCCAAATCCTAGCTAGTTTATTTACTTAGATTGTGCACTGCGGTGGTAGTATTTCGTTTAGATTGGGGGAGCAAATATAATATAGCACTGGCGTGTTCATTGTCTGCTCAGTACGTGATATTGCGCCTGCTTTGGATATTATATTTTATGAAGTATGGTCAATCATCCAAGAACAAAAATGTACGTCTTCAACTTCGGATAACTTGCTAAAGACTCTCCACTATCCTAAACGGTCTCCATCTTCCCTTCAAATGGAATAGAAAGCACCTCTGCCTTCGAAGCTTGGAGAACTCCAGCAACAAGCTGTCCCAGAAGCACAGCCATCTCAACAGGTGCATTATCGTAGGCATTTCCTGCTCCCAGGATATTCAACGTGCCAACAGTCTTGCCATTGGCATTGTCCCGTATCGGCGTGTTCAGCACACACCCACATCCGATCGAGACAAGGAACTGCCACTCCGAGAACATCTTCAGATGCTCTATCGTCGGCCCGTATAGTTGGTTTCCTTTCTCAAGTACTTCCTGCGACCAGGCACTGCTAGTTACCTCTTTTCGTGCCCCAAGAGGTTGAACGTCGGGGCGGGTGGTGTATACTCGGCAGGTTGTCTTGGAGTCTTCATCATAGATGGAGATTGTGAATAGCACATTCGGGAAAATGTCGCTGATTGCCTCGTTGAGACACTTCAAGACCTCGTTTGCAGGGGCATCTTGTTGTGTGCGGAGTGACAGTCTGGTGGCATGTGCTAGCAACGCTTCGGCCATGATTGATATCAGAAGATTGACGAAATGTTGGCCATGTGAACTATGCTCCTACCTACTAAACTTACCTCATGACCTTTTCCTTCACTTCACGGTGCCAATCTATATATCGATGTCCACGTATTGGCTGCTGCTGGCGTGGCACTAGCAATAGCTAAGCTCGGGATGGTACCCGATAGTTGGCCTTGTGGGCAGCGGAAGTGGTTGCCGACAAAGTTCCGCACTCTTTGCCGCCTCTACCGAAGCTCGGACAGCCCGAGATAACCCAATTCCTCCAACTCACTGCTGTAGGATCTCCCTCCAAGCAGCAATCGATCTCGGCGACGACAAGGCACCTGTTCGGCGATTCCTTCTTGATACCGAATGGCACCACAGCAGTCTACAGGCACGAGATCTGCCAACGCGTGAGCCAGACCCCAACCCCCCCTTCGGTATTACTCCCGCTCTGTGCGCCACGAATGCTGATAGCTGGTTCCAAGCTGCGAGCGATGCCGACGGCGCAAGGTCAAGTGCTCGGGCGAAAACCCATGCAACGGCTGCAGACGCCATAACGCCACCTGCGTCTTCCCATTGAATGGGCGCAATCGATATACCGGAGTGTATGGGATCAACCCGTCTATCCGGCGTGCAACAGGGGATTTGCTAACTGAGACCAACATTGCAGACAAGTGCAAGAGCTGATCTCCAAGGTTGAGGCGTACGAAGATCGACTCAGAAACCTCGATTCAAGTTGGTCTTTCTCGACTTCACAACTGTTCATTGAGTTGCTCACGAATTGATGTAGGGAAGACTGCATCAGATGCTCCTCCAGATAATGACAACGGAGATACGCTTCTCAGTCCTCGAGCAACCGTGCCGCTATCAGACTATCTTCAGCCTCCATCGCCAGCTCCAGACGAGCAGAACACGTCCCCTCATGGCTCAGGTGATCTAACCGGCTGTCTTATACTTGTTCCAAACTCTAACAGCGGATGTAGCAGATTTAACTGAACGCGCAAGAGGCCCGGCTTATGAATCCAGAGTTCGATACCTCCTCGGTCGAAGTCAACAGCAGGCCATCCAGAATCATCGGCCGATCCGAGACTCGTCAAGCGATGGCCGCCAGAACACACATGCGCTCGCCTTGCAGACTCCTGCCGAGCCCCTTCAAAGCTGGCTAGACAACGCCCCTCGTTTCGCTCTGCCCACAGAAGCAGAATCTGGAAGACTGCTGGAACTGTTCCTTTTCCACCTCGGCACGAACCAGCAGTTCTTCGATCCCCGTTCCTTTGTCGACAAGGTAGCAACGCTCTATCAGGGCCCTGCCGCGCGTGAGGCAACTGCGAAAACAGCATGGTATATTGAGTACCTCTTGGTCATGGCGACTGCTAGTCTGATGGACTTCAATACTGAATCTGCGGAGACACACCGTGGGTTCGACTACTTTGCGGAAGCTATGAGGATATTGCCCCCAATGCACCGGTTCGATGTTCCGGATATACTTGTTGTGGAGATTCTCATGTTGATTGCTGTGTATCTGCAATGGCGCAATCGGAAGCCGGATGCATATCTATACGTTAGTTACCTCCCATGCTGCGTTAGGGGTAGTAGTTTTGACCATGACGTTGCAGATCGGATACGCTGTTCGCCAGGCCATCGGGAAAGGCTGCACACTCGCAAAGCCGCCCCGAGGCTGTCTTCCTTCTGAAGAAGCACATCGAGTCCGTGTATGGTGGACCGCTTTTATGCTTGACCGGTAAGGCCCGCCAAAAACGTCGTATATGTGTCACTAGCTCACTGTGCTCTAGACGTCTTTCCGCAGACTTGGGCCTTCCATCCTCGGCTGATGATAGACAATTCTCGGTGCCACTTCCACGCCAAACCCCAGGCTTTCCGTCCCCTGAGGCCTTAATTATCAATATCAAGATTGCTCGGGTCACCGGAAACATCATGACGTGTGAGTGAAAATCATCTGTCTGTACAGCGTCATTAGCTGACTCAAATTGACCAGATCTCTATAACGATGCCGAGATTACTAGTCCGAAGCTGGTCCAAAGCATCCAGAGCTACCTCCAAGAACTGTACGAGATCGGTCGTTCGATGCCCCTCGAGTACTCTATCAATGTCACTCATTCCTACCCAGGAGTGACAAGAACCGGGGGCTCCCTGTACCTCATGCTATATCAGGTTCGACCCTCCACCGCAAGAGAGCCTAATTCTTTTGCCACTAACGTTTCACGCATTAGGCGATTATCCTGTGTGCTCGACCAATACTGCTCCAGCGTGTTCGGGACAAGATATCCTTGCCGTCAAATAGTGAGCCGATGGAGGCCTCCATGGATCTTATGACGAGGCTTTGTACTACTTGCAAACAATCAGCCATCAACAGCGTGCGGATTCTGTATGGCCTGAGAAGAAACGAGATGATAGGTTCGTCCTTGTGGCCAAGTTCAACATGAGTGATTCTGACACGACTACAGCTCGCTTCGGCTTTTTCGATCTGGAGGCCGCTTTCTCGGCAACGCTCACCCTCATAATGTCTGCTTTCATCGACAATATCAGCCTACGGAACATGATGCCAGAGCTACAACAAGCTGTAGAGGTGTTGCGGTACCTCTCAGATGCCGGAAATAAAGCAGCCGAGCAGAGACTTGCGGACCTCGATCAATTCGCTGCCCATGTCTGGGTTGAACAGTCCCCTATATCAAGCATCTTGAGCCACGAAATCGATTTGATGAACTCAGAGGACTCGGAGATGCGCGAGCAGCAGAGAGGATCTGGCAGTGAAGCGCCAATGGAGGACGACACTCAAAATATCAACGTGTCCCGAGCCGAGACGGTCAATTTTGGCGCGGACGGTGCTTTCGTCCCGCCAGAGCAGTCGATCTTCGGAAACGACGCGGGCTTTCAGCACGGCTTCAACTTCGAGATGTATCCGCCTCCGGACACTAACATCATCTTTGGGAGCTTCAATGATCCGAATATGCCGCTGACGGGAGTGGATGAGCTGGATTGGGCAGAAATTGAACGTATATTTATAGCCTAATGAACCTGATTCTCTGTGAGAAACCGACCTCTTGATCTTTATTTGGCTTGGCGAAAGTGTTCGGCTCCCTTTACCAACGCAGTTGCGTATGTTCCCCTAACCCCAGCCTGCTCCAACCCAATTAATGTCTGAATCGTGCAGCCTCTCGGCGATGCAGCGTTCTCCCTCATGGTTGCTGGATGAGTTCCATTTTCCAAGATACTCGCAAAGCCACGGATTCCTTGCAAGACGACATCCATGGCGTCGTTTCTGCGCATGCCTGAGGCTACGCTTCCGTCCAAGAGCCCTTCCAGAGCCACCGAGACCATTGTCATGCCCGCTGTGTTTAGAACGGTGCCCAGATCCATGAGGTTCTCGGCTAGGTATTTCACAGTCCCTACGTAGCTAAAGATCCGATCTTGAAGATTGGCCAGATCCGCAGGTAAGGATGGTTCCGTGACTTGTACAACGGTGATCGATTGGCCAAAGCTCGCGGCAAGGTTTGGAACAGCTCTTGTCCAGTAGATGGGATCTGCACCCGTCGAGCCAGCAGCGGAATGAGGGAGTCGACCGCGCAGAGTGTCTATACTCACGCCAGCCAACATGCTGATCGCAAGCTTGCCACGCAGCGCCTCTGCCACGCCCCCGGTAGATAGAAGCTGGCTGGCCATATAAGGTTTTACACCCAGAACAACCACATCAGCTTGCTCGATGACTTTTCCAACGTCTCCGAATGTCACTTCCACGCGAGTCTGGTGGCGGTCTAGCTTCTTGCGTAGAGCAGAGGCTTCGGCTTCGGTTGCGGTACAAGCTAGGTAGCGACGAAACAATTCTGGCACTCTCGTTGCGCCGTCTTCGGGGTATATTGCATTGAGCAAGCCGATAAGAACCGCGCTGCCCATGGCGCCTGTTCCTGAGTCAGAGGTTGGCACATGTGCAAGAGAGGGCGCCTGCGTACATACCGCAGCCGACAAACCCGATGGTCAGGTTAGAACCGGGCATTTTTGGAGTCCGGCAAGTATCTGGAAGTCCTCAATCGGCGTCGTAACCCTAATTATAACGACTTTTTCAGAAAATCCGGGACCGAGTCGCTGTTAAATACTGCCCATATCTACCTGAAGATGAGCGTGTGCATGCGCTCGGTGCCAATCCCGAGATATGTGGGAAGGCGGATCGACCCGGATGGGAAACAAGAGATAACAAGAGATGGTCGGAGGCTCCATTGCATTGGAAAATGCCACTCGATCCATTGGATAGAAGGTTGAATGCATTTTAGATTATCTTATGATACACTGGCCTCAATTGACTATTTCTTTCTGGCATGAACAGACCCCTAGGTAACTCTACGTGCTGCTTGGCTCTATTATACCTTGTTAGAAGGGTACCCGACTTCATAAGTGCTCATCAAATCTTCCTTCATGCTGCGAACGCTGGTAAACCGCGAAAGCAAGTTAGGGCTCACTGCCTTATCGTTGGTCCCGCTGGCCCTTGATCCTCCGAATGGCTGGTGTCCAACAACAGCGCCGCTGCTCTTGGAGTTGATGTAGAAGTTGCCAGCAGACTGGCGCAGACCGTCCTCAGCGGCCTTGATAGCATTCCTGTCGCGAGCAAAGACGGCGCCAGTGAGGGCGAACTTGGTCGACTTGTCAATCAAGGAAAGCATATTCTCGTACTCGTTGTCCGGGAAGACATAGGCCGTCAAGAGGGGACCGAAGAACTCAGTCTTCATCATGTCGTGTTGAGGGTTGGAGGTTTGGAAGACTGTTGGCTGGATGTACCATCCTTCAGACTTATCCGTCTTGCCACCAGCAATGAGTGTGAGCTCTTTGTCGGCCTTGGCCTTGGTAATAACGCCATCAAGCTTGTTCCAAGATCTCTCGTGAATCACTGGTCCGACAAAGTTGGCGCAATCCTCCGGGGGACCCTGCTTGATCTTGTCCATCTCCTCGACGAGTGTCTTCTTGAGCTCAGGCCAAGCAGACTCAGAAACATATAGGCGAGATGTCGCAGAGCACTTTTGACCCTGATATTCGAAAGCACCGCGGATTGTGTTGACAACAGCGTTGCGGATATCAGCGCTCTTGTGCACCAGATGGAAGTTCTTTCCACCGGTTTCACCGATGATGCGAGGGTAGCTGTTGTACTTTCCAGACACAACGCCGTCAGAAATCTTGCCGTACAGCTGACGGAAGACATCTGTAGACCCGGTAAAGTGCAAAGCAGAGAACTCGGGATGTTGAAGCACAGCATCTGTGACTGTCCGAGCGTCGCCGGGAATCATTTGGATGACACCCTTGGGAAGACCGGCTTCCTCGAAGATCTTCATGAGGACATAGTTGGAGTAGATGGCTGAGTCGGAAGGCTTCCAGACAACGACGTTGCCCATGATTGCGGGCGCCACGGTCAGGTTGGCAGAGATGGCTGTGAAGTTGAAAGGTGTAATGGCATAGACGAAGCCTTCGAGAGGGCGGTACTCGGTGCGACTGCATCGTCATCAGCATGGGATTTAACAATCTCGGGATATTCAACTTACTTCCAGACACCATCGTCGTTCATGGTGTTCTGCTGCTTCAACAGCTCGGCGGCGTAGTGAACGCTGAAGCTAAACGACCAATGTCAGTAATCTTTCAATATCATGACGAACCAGGGAAATTGCCTACCGAAGGAAGTCGCAGCTTTCAGCCGCAGCATCGATTTCCGCCTGCCAGATATTCTTGCCCTGCCCCAGCATAGTTGCCGCCATAATCTCATGACGATTCTGAGATATCAACTCGGCCGCACGCAGGAAGATGGAAGCACGATCCTTGAAGCTCATGTTCTGCCATTCTTCCTTGACGGCGAGTGCCTGCTCAATCGCCTCGTTGACTTGTTCCCCTGTGGCCAGGGGGTACTCAGCGAGAACAGTGCTATGCGAGGAGGGAATCGTCTGCTTGGCGGTAGCCGAGGCGGGGACTGTCTTTCCGGCGATCTGAAGAGGGACCTTGACGGGGAGTTTGGCCTTCAAGTCGTCGAGGGCTGACTTGATCTTCTCTCGGTGCTCGCTGCCAATCTCGTATTGAGGCTAAGAAGCGCTTAGTTTCAAAGCCTCAGCAGCAACGAATCGGGGGTTTCTACTCACGTTTGGTTCGTTCCTGATCGGAGGTGTCTTGAATGTTCCAAAAGCTCTTGCCTGGAGCGAAGGGGTTGTTCGAAGGCTCTTGGGGGCAGACCACGTATTCCTCAGCGCTTGTCTCATGGCTTGGGACGACATGATGTTTTGATGATGATGTAAGGACAATAACTTCAGCAATGCTTCGGAACTCAAGAAAGAACTTTTAAAGGGTCCTGAGGAAGCTGGTAGCCTTGCATCCACTGAATCGCGTGCAACACGGCACTCGGACATGTGTCTCGGACGTGGCCCGCTGGTCGCGCTCAACGCGGGCCGAAGCACCGAACGTTTGGAACAAGACTCGGCAGCGACCGAATGACACACCGAGTTCGAGAACACGCCCTTCCATATATTCTTGACCAAGTTTTTACATGGTTGAATTGACTCTGGATCGGATCCGGCCAAACCTTCGACAGCCTGTGGTGTGACTTGGAGTGCAGCTGTACCCCTGGCTTTCATGCACAGCAATGAAGCACCGCCGTCTAGGCCTGAGGTTTCTCGAATCCCAAATTTTCATGTAATGTACAGATTTGGTTTGTTATGGTGTGCTATCCACTACTGGTACTGCCCAACAGGTTAGCAGTGCAGTCTGCACTCTACACATGGTTGCGTCGAGAAATACTCCAACCCTGTTCCAAGAATTGGCACGCGGCCCTGCCAATAAGAAGCTACATATATAATTGGCCTCAGAAGAGGAAAGCCTTGAGTTTGGTCAGCTTCCCACGGCTGGCTCCCACCTCCTCGGTCTCCTCTGCGGCCAGAACAGCATCGAGACCAGACGTAAGATCAACCTCATTGGGCGAAATAAGCCACTTGCTCTTACGATCCCAGATCCTATGCGCAAAGTAGATTGTTAAAAATACAGGGAAGCCCAGGTACGCTGTCAAGAAGCTCGACACAGACCAGTGACCGGGGAAAAACACCGAGAACCCGTTCAAGAGCAGTAAAGTCGAGAAGATGCAGATACATCCCCAAGCCGCATAAGGATGCAAGCGAGATTGAAATGGCAGGTTAGTTATACCTTGCGCTTTGCAGGCTTTTCTGAAACGCAGGAGGATAATACCGCAGCATGTCCATGATGTGAAGCCAGCAGTGTTGGTCAGGTTGATGAACCAATTGAAGACCAAGCTTGAAGATGAAGACACGTTCAGGTACGCCAACAGGCCAAATAACGAGCTTGCCGCAATAGCGTAGATGGGAATGCCGTACTTGGTGCATCGCTGGAAGACGGCTGGCGCATTACCTGACACAGACAAGGAGTAGAGTGAACGGCTCGACATGAAGAGATACGAGTTTCCGGAAGACCAAGCCGAACAGATGATACCAGCATTGATGACACTATAGAGGAGTTGAATGCCAGATTGTTTGATGGCAATCACCCATGGCGAGGCAGCGGCGCCGTATCCGCCGGCGGTCAGACCTTGGGCGTCACTCCGGCAGATGATGCCGATAGCCAGCGCGCCGAGGATGTAAAATGTGATGAGTCGCCAGATGAACGTCTTGGCGGCGCCTGGAAGATTTCGTCTTTGGCAAGCGCATCTCTCCGCTTGCCAACACGATCAAATCAGGACCAAAGTTGAAGGAGAAGACGGAAAAGGTAAGCGAATAGATAAAGGCACAGAATCGCCCTGCCGCACCGCCGACAAGGTACTCATTCATAGCACCAGGATGACTCCAATAGCGGAAGCCGATCCTATCGCCGTTGGGTCCTCCGCCAAGAGCAAGGATGATGGAAAGAAGCAAGAGGCCGATAATCATGATAACCTTGATCGAAGCGAACCAGAACTCGGTTTCAGCGTAGATCCGAACGGGCATCATGCTCAGAGTAATAATGACAACTATTATAAGCGTGATCAGGGCGGCGGTAGGGATAACATTAGGCTAATAGTTAATAACCAGAGCTGCCGCAGTGATCTCGTATGCAAACAGAATGCCAAAAGAGTACCAGTAGAGCCAGCCCATAGCGAAGCCAAGGCTCTTCGAGACGTATCTTGTGCCATATGAAGCCATGGACGAGCCAGGCAGGGGCATGTAGGTGTTGACCTCGCACGTAGCTGTCATAACTCCATAGACGAAGCAGCAGATGACCGTATAGGCTAGGAAGATGTTGAGAGGCCCGGAGATAGCGAGAGCTTGGCCAATGCCAACGAAGAGGCCGGTGCCAATGGTGCCTCCGATGGCGAGCATCTGCGTGTGGCGGGACTTGATGTTTCGATGGGTCGAGTTCTTTGTATAGGGACTTCGCCATATTCCCTGGCAGTACCTTCCTCGTATGCACTGACTTTATCCATGTCTGCGCCGGTAGAGAAGGGCTTCTCAACGGAGGAAGGCTCTTCCGAACGCTGAATCATAATGAAGGGGCTTGATAATGATGCAGAGAGGGTTATGCCAAAGAAAAGAAGATTGAGGGTTATTCAAAGACGAAGAAAGAAAGCTACGATATTTGAGAGACTTAACTGGAAGGACATCTTGGGGGAGGCCTCAGTAGATAAAGACCTCACGTTGTATGTACATCTCTTGCGTAATCCGGGGCCCCAGTTCTCGAGGAGGTTTATTGCTATCGGAGTGTAAGGACAGTCGACAATCATGCTGATATGCCTCGACCAAAGCCGCGGAAATTCCAAAAGTAATGTGTTCTGGACTCCAACCAGCATGGAGGATTGCTAAGCCCGCGTTATCAAGGCTGTGTACTCGTGTGTCCCAACCAAACCATATCAACTACCTAACTCGGCATGACCTCCGAGAAACCGGAGACGATCAAGAGCAACATCCAGCGCAACTCAGCTGGTTAGGTATCATAGATAGGCCAGTTTGGTTCCACATTGCTGGAGACTAAAACTGGGAACTAGCCATAGCTATCTCGCTGCCTTAACATGGTTTACAGGTGTAATTAGCCAAGCCTCTCCTTAATGCTAGATCTAAGCTCGCTATTCATAATACATCCTAGACCGAACGTCGGTAGGATCCTGATGCTACGAATTGTCATAGCAGTTGGCCAGTCCCGGCGTGTCCTTCTAATTCTAGCAAGAAGCGACGAAGAATCTCGCACCCCCATATAGTCTAGGCCCAGGAGATGCAATGGCGTAGATAAAGATTGTGCCAGTACGGGCACCGTAAAGTGCGAAGCCACGGCTTTTGAACGCAGATCCCCAGCTACTGTATCTGGAATACGTGGAGCTAACCACGGCGCCACTGCAAAAGAACTGAATACAGTGACTGCGTCTCGAACTAGGAACACCGAGGTACCCTTCATTCGCATTTTGGAGGCAGCGGAAGACACTGCAGTGGAATTTCCTGTCAATGGAAGACCATAGAGTTGCGAGAATTTGATGTCTTTCCATATTCCCAGTGGGACGTTGATCGTGAGTACACCGAGCACAGCTGCTATCTTGGCTGCGCTGTCGCTGATCGGGGTTGCTAATGTTTCTGCAACATTGGCAGCGGCGAATGTTGGAGCGTAGAGAGCCCAGACATAGCGGAAGGGCTGGCCCAGGATGAAGAGACGTGGGTTCTTGAAGGCGCTATGAATGTATGTTCGCAATCCCGGTATAACGCAGTATCTTCGTGCCGTTTTCTCGATGATGACTCTAGGAAAGCAAAGGTTGATTATCATCACAAGCAGAAGATATTGTGCTGATGGGGCTAGTTACCTGTCGATGATTGTTACAGCTAGAGCAACACAAGTAGCAGAAACGAGTCCGGCGACGATGTCTCCCGTGATGGCTCTAAGCAATCCATCTGAGGTTTTAGTAGTTGTGGTTGACTGTACTACTTCCGGTTTCTGCTGCTGTTGATCGAGAGCCATGTCAAGGCTTCAATATTGTACGATGTAGTGACAGACTCTGCATGTCGTATGAAGAGGTATCGTCGTTGTTGATGTTCGCTCAGATAAGGCACGTCAAGCTCGAGATAAAGCATTGTCGCTTCAACTGATAACTCATGAGAATGTTTCTTTTCTTCCCGAATGTCCGATTGTCGAAGCCTATCCTCTGGTTCAGGCAGTTGATTGGCCCACGATGGAATCATTTACTCATGTCTTGAGGGCAGTCGAAAGATCCAGAATGGCGCGGCTCCCTCTTCGGGTTGGTAACCGACGTATTCCATGACTCTGCCAAAATGAGATCTCCCCGCTTCGGGGCTGAACCGAGTTATCAACCCCTTGCCACTTGTATCTTCGGTATGCTCTTGGCAACAACACATCTGACTCGCCGCACTCCACATCCCCAGGTTGCCCCAATTTGCATGGAGAAGCCTCCTCGAAGAAGCACTCACCGTCGGATAGCGGCGCCGAAATACCCCTAGCCTTGCAGCGCTACTACGAACTTGATGGAGATCGCTAAAGTTTACTCCAAGTGGACGAGGGTGTCGATGTAAGAAGCTTTTGATACATTCCAGTGATCATCGGTTCACCTCCCTGTGATGCTTTTTGAATGACGCTCCTTCCAGGAGGGCTCCAGTCTAACCAAAAGAAATTCTCTCCAAAGTTTGAACAATCCAGGCCTGAACGGGGTGCACTTTGGTTGTCTCGCAGTGTGACAGCCACTGCATCCGTTGTGGTTTGGTGTTTCAAGAGCATGAATTGCTAACTATAGAGGCTCTGTAAGAGAATGACTGCTCTTCAGGTTAAAAGCATGGTAGGACTCGTCCTGAACCAGACTCTCGATCTTGCTGGCAACGACCCGGCCATCTTTCACTACACTGAGTAGACTTTCGACCCGGTCTAGCACGGTAACATCCTCCAGGGGGTCCTGATCCAAGACGATAAAGTCTACGAAAGCTCCAGGGGTGATACAGCCAAGTTTGCCTTCCATGCCGAGATATTTGGCAGCATTGGTCGTAGCAGACTTCAGAATGCTGCTTGCAGACAAGACCTGCGATCTGATACTAAACTCGCTTGATTGCAGTGGATGCAACACACATCACTCAGCAAGTCAGAGCTGTAGCACATGGTGACGCCAGCATCCTCCAGAATCTTTAAGGGTTGCAGTCCCGAGGCCAGAACCTCGCTGTTCTTGGCCTTGCTTGACTCTGGAATCAAGTCATCGAAGGGCGGCTTCTTGTCCACGACCTCGTAAGCCTGATAAACCACAAGTGTTGGAGTCCTCACTACCTCCTTTTCTTTCAGGTACTGTGCCGTCTCGGCGTTCACGAAATTCCCGTGCTCGATGCCGCGAACGCCGTTGTCCACAGCATGTCGGATGGCTTCGTTTGTATAAGCATGCGCAGTGACATACTTTCCCGAGTATGCTGCTGTAGTCGTGATGGCACGAATCTCCTCAGGCGTGAATTGAATCATAGACAGCGGATCCGTCAAAGTTGCCACGCCTCCTCCGCACATAATCTTGATGAAATCAGCTCCGCAACGAATCTCATCACGAACAGCCTCAAGACATTGCGGCACACCATCGCAGATGCGAGATAGTCCGGGTATGTCGCCGCAACATTGATGCTGGGTGGAAACGTGCCGCACACGAAAGTCGCCATGGCCACCTGTTTGAGAGAGCGCTTTCCCCGCGATAAAGACTCGGGGGCCTTTGACTAAGCCTTCCTCGATGCAGTCTCGAAGACCAGCGTCGGCGCCACCGGTGTCGCGGACAGTTGTGAAGCCACGAAGGAGCATTTCCGAGCAGAGATATGCAGAGCGGAAAGCGAGTGTGCTGGTTTCAGCGGCGTACATTCCTTTCAGCGTGACGTCTCCGGGGGTAGCTGTAAGGTGCACATGGCAGTCGGTTAGGCCGGGACATACAAAACGATGGCCTAGGTCGACGACGTTGCCACTTGTCTCGCAATGGGAAGTCTTTGGGGCTTCTTCGTCCTGAGTCCAAACTGCTGTGATCTTGGAATTGTGGACTGTGAATGATGTGTTCGGGATGGTACTTGATGTTCTAGGATCGACAAGAGTTGCATTCCAATATGTTGTTTCTGTCTTCTCGAAGGCCACCTCCCACGGCCGTTACTTGATGTTGTCAGCCATCTTGTACATCAGGTAGGTCTCTAGAAAATGGGATGGAGTGTACCGGAACCAGCAGGACGCCAATTCAGTTTGCGGTACGTAATTTGCAGCGGGCAATCCATACTCAGAAATGCAATTCAAGTATCTCAATCAGGTGATTGATGCGAGCAAGCAACTGAAAGATCACGACGGTGGGCAACCCCTCGGCGGCGGCCGAGCATCTCGGAGACGCTTCCGCTCACCCACCTTCACCCACTTTCAAGCGGCGGACCACGATACCGACGGATCCAAGATCTTTGCATTCTAGACTTGCTTGTCAGCCCTGTTGGCATTTAGTACCCCGCGTGTAAGTGTCAGCTGGTTGGACAGACTTTGAAGCGCCCAAATTGTGGCAGGGCCGTTATCGGTCGTCAAAGGGCGTCTCTAGCTCGGTGCATGCATGCATATTTGAACCCAAGTCCACAAACCCAATTGCATCTCATCCGTACTCGATCTGTCCTCGTTTTCTTCATGTTCCAGGCGAGTTTCAATCTTACAATGAATCTTACAATGAAAGCTCATCATACCTTTCGGCCCATTGCCGTAGCACCGCTACAGACGCGGGGCTCTCCATGGCTTCATCAGCAACGGATGAACCTCAGCAATGGAAAAGCAAACACAAATTCTGCCCGCTCAGTGGAGATCCCAATGGAAGCCGCGCAGCATACAACACCAACTCCGGCTTTACCACCTCACTCCCTTCTTCCTACCAAAGCTTTACTACGATCATCCCTTGTCGCCGCCGTATCCAGCCACCCCTTCTTACTTAACCCTTCATTGTCTATCTTGACCTTTCTATCTGGGCAAACTTCAAGACTCTTGAGTTTGGAGAAGAACCCCATCCTCTATGCTCTGTTCAAGAAGACCATGTACAACCACTTCTGCGCTGGTGAGAATGGGAAAGAAGTAGGGGCTACCATCAAGGGGTTGAAAGATATGGGCTATTCGGGGGTCATCCTCACTTACGCGAGAGAGGTTGTGATGGATCACTCAACTCAAGAGGGGAGCGGTGTTGGTGCCCAGCTGATCAAGGACGGCACGGCCGATGTTCCGGCTCAGACACAAGATATTTTTGACGCCGATATCGAGGCCTGGCGTGAAGGTGTGTTTGAGACAGCCGGTCTCATCGGAGAAAATGATTTCCTCGCGCTCAAGTAAGTAATCCGAAAGTGGGTGATATCGAGAGTGGGCGAAGGCTGACAAGCTCGATAGGTTCACTGGTGCTGGGGCTGTGGTAGCCGATGCCCTCCAAGCCGACAAGCCCTTCCCGAAACAGATGATGGCCGCCCTCGAGGAAGTCTGCGAAAAGGCCATCAGCCAGAAAGCAAGCATCCTGGTTGACGCAGAGCAGCAATTTGTACAAAAGGCCATTGACCGCGTTGCCATCGATCTCATGAAGAAATACAACCGAGATGGCAAGACTGTGGTGTACAACACCTACCAGGCATACCTCAAGGCCACGCCGGATGTTCTTTACAAGCACATGAAGCAGGCCGCGGATGAAGGCTTCGCAATTGGCGTGAAGCTCGTCCGGGGCGCATACATCAACTCTGAACCACGACACCTCATCAACGATTCCAAGGAAGGAACAGACGACCAATACAACAGCATTGCTTCCGCCTTACTCAACGGGCAGTACCGGGACATGGGCGAAGACCAACCATTGCCTCTCCCCAAGTTCCAGCTATTCATGGGTACTCACAACAAGGAGAGCGTCCTCAAAGCGAACGAGCTGCAGCGAAAGAGGGCGGAGCAAGGTCTATGTGTAAGGCCTGTTCGCTACGGCCAGCTTCTCGGCATGGCGGATGAGGTCAGCTGCACCCTGTTGCTGCTGAAGGCACAAACCCAGGGCGCTCCGATGTTCGTGTCGCCTGAAGCCTACAAGTGTCTCAGCTGGGGGACGTTGGGCGATTGCGTGTCGTACCTGATGCGGAGAGCCAAGGAGAACAAAGATGCTGTTTCGAGGACGAAGCAGGAGTATATAGCATTAAGAAGAGAAGTTTGGAGGCGATTTATTAAGTACTTATAGCTTTAACTAGAAAAGTAAGATAATAGAGAGAAGTATCTATTTAAATATTCCCTTGAGTAGAGGAGGGATTTTAGGTATTTAATCTTAAAATAGTAGCTGTTTATGGCGAATAACAAGAGAAGTCCAAACACAACCCTTTTTGAATGCTTAGGCCTTTGTTGGTTTGTTAGATAGGGTTATTCACGTCTCCCTTGACTCTATACCTAAGAGAAAGAGAATAAAGTTTAACAGCAATGGAAGCTGCCAGAGCCCGACAACTCAACACAATGAACCCTTGACTCTATAAGATAGGTACTTGCTTTCTGTTTATCCCATTCTAATCAGGGTGTGCTTCTTCAGCCCACGTCTTTCGTAGCTCGTCTGAATCGCCTCATCTAAACTCACCAATTCCACATCCTCCTCGTCAGATGTCTTCAGCAATCCAGTATTGAACCATTCAGCCAATGTTTCCATCTCCTCCGCTACATCAGCCTTGGATTTTATCGCAGTATTGCACCCAATGAGCTCAATCTCCTTCCGGTATGCTTGAAAGATGTCCAACGGAAACTCGGGCGAGCTGCCATCTCGAGGGGCAGCAATCCACGCATAACGTCCACGAACAGCGAGAGCCTCGACCGCCGCTTTCATCAGCGAGATCTGGCCCACGGTGTCAACAACGACATCCACACCCTTGCCGTCGTTCAACTTATAGACTTGCTTCTGGATGCTAGCTGCGGCAATTTTCCCGGGAAGGAGGACATCCGGCTCATCCTCTGGATTGCGAGACGCTCGGAAGACACGCTTGCAGCCCATGGCCTTGGCTACCTGGGCTGCCGCGGATCCGACCGTCCCTGTGAACCCAAGCACCAACACCGTGTCTTCTTTGCCGACACGACCTCGTTGTAGGCATCTCCGCGCCGTGGTGAAAGGGACACCAACAGTGGCTGCTTGAATGCGTGACAACCGGGTGGGTTTCTTGGCTAGCATTTCCTCAGGGATGAGGCAGTACTCCGCGTGGGGACCATCGAGCGTGAATCCAAGCTCTGAGTCGCTGGTTCCGTAGACCTCCTCTCCAACCCAACCAGAGTAGGTAGATGACGGTTCAACCTCGACAACGACGCCAGAATAGTCACGCCCGGGTGTGCGTGGGAATGAAGTATATGGGAATAGTCCCTTCGCATTCAGGCGATCAGAAGGCAGAATTGCAGAGAAGCTAACCTTGACGAGGGCAAATCCTGGTTGCGCTCTAGGTTGGGGTTTCGTAATAAGTGATAACTTCGGGGCGGCGTTTGCTAGCTTGTTGATCTGAATGGCTTTCATGGTGAATTTTTTTGCTTGTAGGTAACAGGTAGCTTTTAGAGGTGAATATGAGACTTTGTGAATGTAAATTTTAATGTTATGAATGCAAATATCACTGTGCTGAATGAACTCATGAGATCAATCAAGCATTGGGAAACCAGTCCTTTTATCCATAGGCGGATCATGGTTGATGAATGAGCTTCGCAATGTTATCAAGTCGGAGTCCGATCCGCATCGGGGCTGATCGCATCGGATCGAACAAGACATCCACAGGCTTAACCCGCAAGCTGCTAAAGATGCTTAAATATGAGAACATTTGCAGATGTCCAGACTTTCTTCTTATTCCAGGATCGTTCCCAGTCAATTTGGCTTGTATTTTGGTAATTTCATAAGCTTCAGTGTCCAGCGAGGCATATCATCGAGTAGAAATGCCACACAACAGCACCAACATGAGTGTCTTAGAAGCTAGCGCGCCAGACAAAACCGACGAATCCAATCTTCATGAGGAGCCGCCACGGTCTTTAATCAGAGAGACACTGTTTGTCAGTGTCCTCTGCTCCTCACAGCTCATGACCCAGGCGGGCCTCGCGCTATCACTGGTACCCTTGCGAATCATCGGCGCCAGCTTCAACACAACAAATGCCGGAGAGCTGAGCTGGTATGCAGCTTCCTACAGCCTGACTGTTGGCACATTCATACTCATCGCCGGGCGGCTTGGCGACATCTTTGGACACCGACTGATGTTCATCATCGGCTTTGCCTGGTTCAGCCTGTGGTCCTTGCTGGGCGGTGTCGCCGTCTGGTCGGATCAAATCTTCTTCAACATATGCCGGGCGATGCAGGGTATCGGCCCGGCATTGTTGCTTCCGAATTCGATCGCCATACTTGGCCGCACGTACCGTCCAGGCCCGCGCAAAAACATGATATTCAGCCTCTTTGGGGCAACTGCCCCGGGTGGGTTCAGTATCGGTGCCGTCATGGCATCGCTCCTAGCAGAGAGAGTTTGGTGGCCCTGGGCCTACTGGATCATGGCCATAGCATGTGCCGGGTTGGCCCTGATGGGATGGCTCATCATACCTCGAAGCCCGTCTGACTCCGTTGGCGATAAGGACATACCCACAATGGCTCGGCTCGACATCCCTGGTTCTCTTGCAGGGGTGACAGGGTTGATACTGGTGAATTTCGCCTGGAATCAAGGTCCTGTAGTAGGCTGGGATGTGCCTTACAATTATATCCTCCTGATTGTTGGGGTATTGATGCTAGGGGTATTTGTGCACATCGAGCTCCATTCCAGATGTCCGCTGCTCCCTCCGTCGATTTTCACAAAAGAGGTAGGCTGGGTTTTGAGTTGCATTGCGACTGGTTGGTCCAGCTTCGGGATTCTGGTATTCTATTACTTTCAGTTCCTCGAGGTAATCAAGGGCGACACCCCGTTGCTGGCCTCCGCCAAGTGGTCAGGGGTGTCCGTTTCGGGTGCGATCGCGGCCGTGACAACAGGATATCTGATCTCGCGTATCCGGCCCTCGCTCATCATGTTGATGGCGATGGTAGCGTTTACCGTGGGCCAAATCCTCCTAGCGACGTTGCCTGTGAACCAAACCTATTGGGCGCAGGCCTTTGTAACCACCATCATCACACCCTGGGGAATGTAAGTCAGATATACTATCGAATAAGTGTCCGGATGAATTGAATTTGGCTAACTCCGCGAGTAGGGACATGTCATTTCCTTCTGGGACCTTGGTTCTAAGTAACTCCTTACCTCGAGAACAACAAGGCGTAGCTGCGTCGGTCGTCAACACAGTTGTCAATTACTCCATATCTATTGGACTCGGGCTTGCAGGGACCGTGGAAAGGTATATAAACGTGAGCGGCCAAGATACTTTAGCTGGCTATCGAGCCGCTAGTTATATGGGAACGGGCTTGGCTGGGCTTGGTATACTAACAGCTAGTCTATATGTCATTCTTGACCACAGAAAACACGATAAGGCATCATCATAGATCTTAGTAAATTACTAATCTATAGCCAGTCCGAGATCCCCTCAAATATATCGTCATTCAGGGGCTGCAGGAAATCTTCCAACTCCACATTAGCCATAGCTTCATCTGGAGCGACCTCCTGATCCGATATTCCCGCAACCCCCTCCAGAAGCGATATGTCTTGTCGCTTATTTTCTATGAAGGCTCGAACAAGAGAAAGAGCCATGTTTAGCGCTTCTTGAGTGATCCTGGAGGAGAACTGCTGGTTGATAATTTGGAGAGTTTCGACGGCCGGTGCTACTTCTGTAATACTTGAGCGAGAATTTATGGACAGGAGCACGCATACATATTGAAATATTGTATGAATAGTGTTCCACCATGGGTGCTTCTGAGCCGCGAGGCGGCGTGCTGCAGGTACGGCGGCGGTCCCAGCCTCTATAATCTTTTCAACCTGCGTCTCTTGCAATGGTGGATCAAGCAGTCTCACGCGGCGGTATATAGCAAAACACAATTCGGCCTTTGTCAAAACTGTGAAGTCATGATCAGTTGGCATAGCTGCGAGTTCTTCCAGTGCTATCACAAGGAGCTCCCTCGGGTCTGCTGCGCCCTCTTTTTCATCGAGACTTTTCGAGATTATATTAGTCAGTGCTGTCTGTTGGAAGGTAAAGTCCCCGGCACTTTGTGAAATATCGCGAGAAGGGAAAGATGCAAGATTCACAATAGATCTCCCATAGTCGTAGGCAAAGAGGATGTGAAGACTCTGAGCAACCATTGCAACTCTCTCCCTAATACCCACTCCCCCGACAACGTTATCCGCAGGCCTCTGATCTCCCACAAAAGTTATGGAGTTTGCATCCTGGTGGAGACCCATGGCCTCTACCATGTTGATCGTGATTAAACTGGACAGACCAGCCACATATGGACGAGTTGTGCCGCGGACATACACCGTCCGCAAAATCGACGCCGAGACGAGGTCTAGACAGGGGAAGATGCCAACCAGTGGGTCTTCTAGAATAGACTTTGAGTGAAGGGCAACCCGCATTTCAACCTCTCTTGGGAGCTGATCTGAGAAAAACGAGGCCAGGGCAATGACGCCGCTCAGTAGAGCCTCGTATTGTATTCTTTGTGTCTGGCCGTGCCAGTGGGAGTGGCTTCGCTGGTAAAGTGAATCCGTGTCTAGAAATCCAAAGACGGGGTGAATTACAGAAGTGTAGATATCGATCAAGGCCCTTGCTTGTTCCCATGTGAGCAGTTCTGTTAAGAGAGGCTGCAGTGTAGTATTCGGCTCTTCTCGGATACCCAGGTGGTACCCAAAGGCATGGAGACGGGGAGGCTCTGGCAGACCCATACGCAAGCCCAGTGACCGGGAATGGGCAGCAGATGAATGCTCCGGTATATATCGATTCTTGACAGGCGCAATATACCCTGCTTGATGGCGACGTCTGGTACTAAGCCTACTTGTAGGAATGGATGTGATGCTGCTCCCAGGGGTAAGTCGGGAGGTGGATGTGTTTGCTGCAGGGCGCTGAATAGGCAATGGATTTGCCGTGGCAATACTTGAGCCATGGTGCCCATACTGGCACACGTACCGATATCGTACGCACGTCGAGCATGGCAAGGACCGGTCGCATTTGCGTTTACTCCGACGACAGGCAAGACAGGCAAGACCCGCCCTGGACCGCCGGGACGTACCTAGGCTGGCACTCCTGTTACCGTCTGATAAGGAGCTCATTTCTTCACCCAGTAAGATATGAGTAGGAGACGGTTTGGTAGTGGTTCAGTTGTAAGATTCGGATCGGAGTGCGGAATTACTTGTCGCTTAGATCAATGTTTGATTGGCCTGATCGGATCGGATCGGGTCGGAAACTTGGCCGTGAGAGGAGTCTAGGGTAGTTGAACAATAAGGCGAACTTGTAAAAAAAAAATAACAAAGCTGGACGCTTGGACATTTTTATCAATCAAAGGCTGCGAAATTCACTCTAGACCAGAGACTCCTGCTTTAGCGTTCAATTTTTATTCCTTCCTTTCCCCAGGGAGAGTGAGGCTGCCGGCTGCCTGAGACAAGAGCTGAAAAGACAAGTGGCTATGCTCTTCTAGACGCCTTATGCATATGCAGCAGACTAACGGTGACGAGGCAGATTCCCAAATGGACTCTCACTCCACTTCGTCCCCTCCATCTCCATCCTCGACTTGTCCATCAACCATCACTCTGCCCATGGGGATCGTCGCATGCCCGCAGTCCCGAGATGGATCTGCACCAAGGTCATTATTTTCCCTTGGAGATCTGGGTCAGGATTCTCGAACTAGCCGCGCCCGATTTTTGCGAACTGCCTCGTGGCCATGAGCGTCGCACCTACTTGAGGCTCCGACTCGTCAATCGTAAGTCATTCATCCGCCTTCAAATGAGCTCCCATCTTGCGATTTAGCTGTCGCATTATTCCTCCCCTGACGTTCCAGCACGTTGTTGACAATTTTAGGGACTTTTAATCACCAAATCCTCAAAACCCTCTTCCGCAGCACCAATGACACCGCGTCCCTGCTTCCAGAGCCAACAACGGAGAAAGCTGTCTCGTTGATGCTACTACTCAAGACTAAGACAGATAGCTCAGATCGAGATTCAACGCCTCTCTATCTCCAAGAGTGGGCTCGCTTTATGAGTGCCCAGAAAGCTTGGCAGTGTGATGTCCCAGAGAGTTATTACTCGTGGCTTGAGACAGCATGCTTTGCTACAGTGCATGAGCGTGGACCGATGTGGTCGCTCTTGTACCTGGTGCAAGCCAAGAATCAAGCCAGCTATCTTGATTTCGATGTCAATCTCCCGAATAAACTTCTAGAGTCTTGTGATCCTGCGACGACCGGAGACTCCATTCCTCTAAAAGAAGCACACGGCGCTCTTCAGTTAGCCTGCCAACATGGGAATCTCGCGGCGGTCAAGATATTACTGGGCAGCGGAGTCGATCAATCTGCTCGCCACTCTCTCTTTGGCGTCGCTTTATTTAACGCAGTCCGAAACGGGCATGCGGCGATTGTCCAATGTCTCCTAGATCGCGATCGCAATATTCCGCTTCCACACCGCTACTCGTCGCTGCTGAGACTTGCACTGGACCTAGGTCACTCCGAAGTCTTTGAAGTACTCCTGAAGAGCTCCCGTGGCGAAGAAAAACAGTTCATACATTACTGCTTTTCCAATGCATGCCACCAGGGACAAGTCGACATCGTCCGCACGCTTTACCGATGGTGTGACGGGGAAAACCTTCGGCTGAGAAGAAACCTTCTAAGCTGGTTCGGTCGCTTGATGCCCTGGTGGAAGGATGAGACCTTTTTCCTAAACCCTAACATACGCTTGCAACATGATCAAACACCTGTGTCGGAAGCTGTTAGGTCGGGAAACGTTGAAATGGTGCGTATTCTCATTGAGCGGCCGGAATTTCAGCCCTGCCACGTGTCCGACTACTGCTGTCCATTACATGTTGCGGCGGCTTGTGACAATGGAGAAATGGTCACCCTTGTCCTAAATCGTTACAAAAGAGACAGAAAGGACACCTTGGACAGAATCTGGCTAACGTTCAAAGACGCCTGCGCGAGTGGACGCAACTCAGCAGTGAAGGCCTTCCTCGAGTGGCCAACCGTTGATCCCAACCTGAGAGCGCATAACAGGAGCTGGTCCCCGATCGCGGACGCCATTAGGCTCTCTCATCGCCCTGGCAATTATGTAGAGGTCATCAAACTACTCGTCGGACACGAGAAGCTAGACCCCAACTTCTCAAACATCGGACGGCGACCATTGGAACTTGCCATCGATGCCAAGAGCCACCCCATGGCGGAGCTCCTCCTTTCCCGGCCTGATCTGGACCCGAACCTTCATGGAGGTTCATTAACACCCTTATCCGAAGCTATTCGAAAGAAGATGCATGATACCGTGCGTATTATGCTTGAGCGACCGGACACAGACCCGAATCTACGCAGCGAGAACAATCCAGACGGCACGCCACTCATCACGGCAATTCATTGGGGAACACCGCAGATCGTTGAGGAGCTGTTGAAGCGGGAGGATTTGGACCCAAACCTCCCCTCGACAGTTTCAAAGCCCGCCAAAACCCCATTGACCTCTGCGGCCGGGTTGGGTGGTGATGAGCGGGTAGTAAAACTATTGTTAAGCAGGGACGGGATTGACGTCAACTTATCAACAAACGAGCATACGCCTTTAACACAAGCGATCATGAGTCGCAAGCTCAAGATCGTCGAGATGCTAATGGGCCATCATGACACAGATCCGAACCGTGCTCCAGATATGAGCGCAACCATGCGTGTTTATTCAAGGGTGGCGGGGAAGCCTAGGTACACTTTTATCAAGTCATCTACCACCGATCGGATAGACGATGCCAAGAACATACCATTATGTTTAGCTATGGAGTTACAGGAATACGAAGCAGCCTCGATACTTCTGAGACACCCTGAAATCGATATCCATATGACAGACGGAACAAATAGGACACCCCTTTGGTGGGCCACGTTTGGAGGGTCACCAGCGCTCGTGCGACTCCTTTTAGAGAATGAAGCCGACAAGCAGATCAACATTCAGGACGTGCATGGCTGGGCTCCCCTACATGTAGCCGTGAACTCTGGGAATATGCAGCTGGTGGGTGATATCCTAGAACGTCCGGATGCTGATCCGAATCTGGCCAATGAGGATGGGTACACCGCGCTACATCTCGGTGTCATTTGTAACAATGTTGATATTGTCGCACAACTGCTGAAGTCCCCGAAAGTCAATAGTCGTTTGGTCACACACGCTGGTGAAACAGCACTTCAGCTCGCAGAGGTATCGGGCTATCAAAGACTGGTTGGGATGTTAGAAACTGAGGGCAGGCCTGATTTTTAGTTACTTTGTCCTATTGTACACATGGATACGCGAACAAGTTCACTATTAGATTAATAATAAGAATGCGCAAGTTTCATTATCGTGCGTGACGAAAAATGTACCTGCCGCCCGAAAGCTAAAGCCAACACCATCGAAAAGAAACCTTCATATACCGCAACGAAATTGAGAGTTCACAACAAGAAGCAAGCTTGAGTGGCGCAGCGGCTAGCGCGTGGGATTGCAGATCCTAAGGTCATCAGTTCAAATCTGGTTTCAAGCTCTTTTGCATTTTTTTATCTTCCATTTCGAAACAAAATGATGTCTCATCTTTTCTGATGAGTTGACTCACAGTGGAATGTTGGTTGCGATGGTGGAGTCTGGCGGTCTGTGGCTGGTGGGGCTTGTGTGGCTTCGTTATTACCCTTCTCCACAGTTCATTTCAGCCACACTAGGCCTCGAGGTACGAAGGGGAACTCTTCTGCTACCTACCCCAATTAGTTTCTCAATACTTGTTTTCGTATGCAAGCAATAACAGGCAGGACTGCAGGCAATAGCCTTTGTGGTGATCAGCTGCGGCAAGGCAATTCGTTCCCGACGTACGTTGTTCGGCTATAAGTACCCTATAATAGACTGATCACCACTGTACCCAAGCGGATGGCCCGTCGGTTGAGCAATATACTCTAGAAGTGGGGGAAAAGCGAAGTTTTCGCGAACAGAAGACCAAGGTAGGCACGAGAGCGCATTCAGCTCATTCAACTTATGTCATAAAATCATCTCGAAGTTAGGTTTATGCGTTCCCACATTCCCCGCGTCACCTCAACCACCTCAACGTATAATAGCACAATGGTCAGGACACCCTACCTGCCGCGTAAGGGTGGTCTTGCGTCATACAACGGCTTTTTCCTACCTTGTTAATTCATCCAGGATTTTTGGTTGACGATCTGCGGCACAATGAGTTCACGTCACTGGCGAAAAGCTGGTTTTTTTGCGGGGCCAAGTTCATGACGTAGTTCAGATCGAGATGAGGGTTGAACTGTCCGGGGCTGACAACCAATCACGGTTGCAGGTTCTGTTTCTTCCCTGGCAGCCAGAAGAGAAAGCAGTAGGGGCTTATGCCATGGTAATTACGTTATTCGATTGATCGGTGCTGTATTTCGTCATCACCGTAGTAGCTTCATTTGGATTATATATGTCTGCCTGTGCTCTCCGGCACTAGAAGACCTTTTTTTATTCTCCATAGCCTGCTCGATTCCGATCTTAAGGATAAACCAACAAGCGAGATCACTTAGGACCTCCACCCAAAATGGCTGATATTCTCCCCAAGAAGAAGACCAGGACGAAGAAGGGCAAGAAGAAGGCCGCCAGCGCCAGCAGCGAAGACGAGGGTGGGTCCGACCTACTCCCCGTCGGTGGACTCGACAGCCTGCCCACGAAAGATCTCACAAACACTGCTTCAGGGGCAGTTAGTGGAGTAACTGGTGCTCTGGGCGGACTGGGCGCAAGCGAATCAAGCGACTCCGGTGGCGGAGGCAAAAGCGACACATTGAAGCTGAGGCTGGACCTAAATCTCGAAATTGAAATCCAACTCAAGGCAAGGATCCACGGTGATTTGGAGCTGTCCTTATTGTGAGTCACTACCCTCAACCCAACGTGCTTTTTTTTTGCTCAGATACTAACTGGGAACAGGAACTAAGTGTTGTCTACCGTTTTCTTCTTTTTTGGGGCGAGCGTTCCGACTGTATAATGGCGCAACTTTGGACATCGCAATAGGGATACGGGCACTCATCACACCTTTCGGTTCCTCTAGCACATGAGGTATATCTGGGAGGAGAATTTACGATACATTGTTTTATTGAATATGATAACGTCTTTTATTTTTCACTCCTTTGTCACCTTGGAACAAATATGAGGTAACACGTGCCTGCGTTGGTTTCCTAATCCAGTCCCATTGAGATTTTGGAGGCGTGGAATTTTACAAATGTTCCTTAATTTGGTATAGATGGCTTCTGTCGGCCTCCGCGATCAAATATTAATCAAAAAGAAATCCTGGGAATAAGTGCGAATTGCACGAATGTCACGATGCGTTGATCTTTGCTGCCATGTATCCTTCAGTAGTGATAAGATATTACCTTATTGCCCGATTTTTACTTAATTTCATAAACGATAGAATAGATATTGGACAAGTCGCCAAATACACGCGTCGGATATTGCTCGAGCTAAGGTGCCAGATTCTTGGTGAAAGGACCATTCTCTGGCCAGCCTCTTCCAAACAGTGCCAGGTACATTCCAGTTGAAGGCGGCCAGATGGCTGTCACACCGTCGCTCGCGCGCCATATGTCAATAATATTTCCAAGCAAAGATAACAAGAAACAATCTGGAAAGTTCGATCACGGGATCGAACTTCTACTACAGTGCATTTCCGGGCAGCTTACTGAATAAATATTCAGCAAGGAGGCGCGAGTCTCAACCACTGGCGGCAAGTCAATCCAATGTCTTTCAAAACGATTCAAAACCCACTCACTCATCCACAAGCTCAGACATCTCTATCTCAAAATAAACTCAAATTAGATATCAGAAATCTTTACAAACCACTCCACCACCTCGCTGGGTGCGGAGAGAGCGGGAGTATGATCCCCCGAAACGAAGGTGACATCCACCGTCTTTCCAGAAGCCCTTTTTAGTCTGTCAATTGCGAGTTTCTGATCATTTTGCGAAATTAACTTGTCGTTGTCGCATGAGAGGAATGCAAGGTCCACGCCAGGAAGCGTGTAGCTGAGAAAGGTCACCTTGTCGCGAAAGACCTTTGACGAGTGCGGGCGCGTCTTGCTTGCCCAAACAACCTGCTCATCCGTCGAGAGATTCGAAAAGATCAGGGATCCGATATGAGCATAGTGATCTGGGTCCATCTCCAACCACCCAGAAGTCTGCATGAACGAGACGCCGATTAGCTGTTGTTATTTTGAAACATATGGTTGGGGTTGACGAACATCTCCCTTCATGGGGACTATATTTTCTCTTGGGACATCGGCCAAGACCTCACATGCGGCCTGTCCCATTTCAGGTATCACAGACGGCATGAAGCCGATCTTGACCAGGCCCCCGCTCTTGCCACCCTCTTCTCTCTCCGCCTTGCTAAGTCCTTTGCAACTCTGTGTCAAAGGAACGGTAGAATACGACGACGAGACAGCGATGACGTCCTTGCCTTGATCTGCCAATTTCTCGACCTCTTGCGATATTGCTGCGGCATCATCGAACATATTCGGCGGCTCTCTGTGATCGTCTGATCCGAGACTCCCGGACGTAAGTGGAAGAAAACGAATATCAATTCCTCTCATGGCCACGGCATCTAAGACATCTTGATAGACTGTCTCGGGCATGAATGAGCCTGGAAGCAAAAGAATGCTCGTGTTATTAGCCATTTTGATACCTGCTCATTCTTCTTGCGACAAAATGAAGACAGGATGAAGTTCTTGAACCTGCGAGATATTTCGGAGAGGGGATCCGAGCACATGCGTTTACGACGCTATACGAAGTAGCCAAATTCGGATTAGGGTAACCATGTGAGCAAGCAGATAAATAAGTTCAGTCTTCGGTTGATTTGAGTTTGAACATTTGTTGGCAATTTATGTCGGCTAGTGAAGGTACGTTATTTCGCCACGTGCCAGAGTCTCTCCCCGTCATGGACGAAGAGAAGGTTTAGCTAAAAGGTTAATAAGCATGTTGCGCTTTCTATGCTTAAATGAAGGATGCATCACAAAATGCTATGATATATCAATGCCAGTTAATAAAAGAAAAGGTCAATTCAGAAGGCTCATTTAGCCAGGAAGTTTGGATTCACTTGCAGTCATGACGGAAGACTCATGTTTACAATGGAACGGATGTAAATCAATCGATAGTCTCAAGCTGAGCACTTGACTCATCCCTGGTCTCCGGTGTCAACGTCCAAGTGCAGAAATAGTATTAGTATCCGCACCCACAATCTCGAAAGCAGACTGGAGCTTTGAGAACAGAACGGAACCGATTTCGTAGCCCCAGAGTGATCAAAGAATCAATGCGATAGTTGCTGAGGGACTGACTGCCATCCATATTGTCACTGTGCAAGGCCGGAGCCTTGAACTAATTTCTCGACAGGAATATTGGCCTCGTTGGCTTCCTTGAAAGGATTTGTATGATCCCGCTTAATCCCTGTGGTTATTTCTCTGATCTAGGTAGTAGCTGAATTCATACGAAAGGCCGGAGCTGCACCGGCCTAGAACTTGGGAAGCTCGTGTGTAACTTGTTCAACCGGGGTGAGCACGGTCACCAGAAGTTTTGATTCAGGACTGGGATGGACTGGATACAATTCAGCGACAGCTCAACGTTGATTACCTTGCGTATTTCACCTAGGCGCTCTTGTAGCCTTTGCTTGCTGATTTTATGCCAGCTTCAATCATCCAGCCCAGGTTGAGAGATGTGGCTCGCTCTCCACGGTCGACACCATGACGGGCTAATGTGTCCTGAACTGTGAAAGCAGCACTATACGTAGATTGTGTGATACTTCCGCAGATCCCTGTCAGCCGGCCCTGGGACAGACTTGATGCCAGGAGATTTATAGCCAACTGAGTGTTCTTAAGATCTGGCTGACAGGCACCTCTAGATCACAAACTTCACGTGCAACAAGGTCCCGCAAACCCTTGAATGTACTCACGGAGCAAGCCGCGTCTAATCCCAGCAGCTTGCCCCTTTTCCGGCTGGCCCCGTACAGTAGCGGAGACACTGTACATGCATGTGCCCACCCACCCGCTTGGCTTGTCTTATCAATCGCATCTGGATATCCCTCGTGCTCCGTACTCGGGACTTTTCGCCCACTAACTGGTCATGCACGGCGCTTGGGCTTCAGATGCCTGCCTGTCTGCCACGCTTATTATTAGGCAGCCAAGCCCCCCTTGTGAGGTGGAGGTCTGGCTGCCAGCACTGCCTTTCATCCTCCTTGGCTCGTAGATCGGCTCGGCCCACGGAATCTGATAATTCAGGCGGGGATGCTATCGAACGATAATTTAATACCTACCCCTCCTCAACCCCCGGCTGTCCCCTGACCGAGGGGCCTATTGCCACGCAAAGCTTCGAGCGCCCCGACTTGTCGAAATACAGTCTTCGTCTTGTCGGTTGACATTTCGAGCTTGCCAGTGGCAACGCTCCCGAGATGGACCTCGTCTCCATCATGGCGGACAATCGGAAGCCACACAGCCCCAAGCAAATCGCAAATGGGAAGGCTTTGGAGAAGTATTTCTCATTTCTATGGCACGCTATTCTCATCCTAGCCATCGGCCATTTTCTTCATTATGTCGTCGTTAAGTACAAGAGGTCTTGGGAAAGGCTGTACCGAAAAATTCCATATCCTCGATTGAATTTGCCCTCTTGGTAAGGCCTCCAAATAGCGCCGGAACGTGATAAATGGAGATCTACGAAAGACTAATAACCATCAGTTTGAAAGACCAAGGGCTGCCTTTTATTTTACTCGCCAGCATCTTCTTAATCGCCAATTTGTTTCTCTTCCTCACACCTATGGTATCGTACAGGCCAAATTACTGTGCTTCTCGACTTGGTTGGTGAGAGCGACTCACTGTTGACTATTTAGTGTCACTTGTTAATTCATGCATAGGCTCGCTGCTATGAATATGCTTCTTTGCGTCTTCTTGAGCTTGAAAAACACGCCTCTACGCTTCATTCTACCCACATCGTACCAGCGCCTCAACTTTTTCCACAGAGTAGTTGGTTACACAGCTCTCGCCCAGACACTCCTCCACGGGATCTTATACACCGCACACTTCGGCATAACGAAACGATGGTTCAAGGTGATCCAGGCAGGAGGCAACAGGGAAGGACTATTTGCTGGCGCGGGACTCCTCATATTAGCTTTTGGAGTTTTCGCGCAGGTCAGGTACACGACATTCTACGCGACGCATGTGCTCGGATTTATCGTCATGGCCATCTTCATGGGGCTTCATAGGCCGGCTTGGGAGAAAGTACTGCCGTACTTTGCCGCTCTCATGGCCAGTATTTGGGTTTTGGATCGGGTGCTCCGCTTGTTAAGATTGGCATTCAACTTGATCAACAACGAAGCCAGACTATATCCGCTTGAAGGCGGAGGAGTGAGGCTCGTGTTCAATAAACCGTTGCCTCGAGGCTCACCCGGAATGCATTGCTTTGTTTGGATACCTGGAGTCCGCTGCTACAAAAGCTATCCGTTCACCATCACGGCCAACTCGGATTCGGGGCTGGAGTTGGTCCTGAGGTCTTACGAAGGGTTCACAAAGGAAGCTCACGATTTGGCTCTTGAGACTCCCGGACGTGCGATGAGGGCTTCCGCTCACGGACCGTATGGCAATCTGCCAAATTTCGATACGTATGACAAGGTTGTCATGATTGCTGGAGGGAGCGGGGCTTCCTTCACTTTTGGATTGGTGAATTTTCTGCTGGCGTCAACAAGCGAGCATCCCACGATGCCTATCACGTTTGTTTGGGCAGTGAGAACTCAAGGTTGGTTGCGCAAGGTCAGTGTTGGAGATCACTGCTAATCAAGCCAACAGATGATGTATCGTGGTATATCCCAGAGCTTCTCAGTTTGGTGAAAGGCTTCAAAAGCGTCACATTGATTATTCGAGTAACTAGAGAACCCTTGAAGAATTCAGATTCACAATCGGAAGAATTCGAGCAGGCCCCTTCAGATCTGTGTTCAGCAAAGACAACCGCCTGTGTGGAAACAACGCCATTGTTGGAAGACTTCACGAGGAAAGCCGCGCACCATCTCCAAAGCGCTGCAAATTTAGAGTGGGAAGCTGCAAAAGGCGAAGCTGACCTGAAGTTCGAAAAGCTGCAAGTGGACCAGGCGATATGGGAATCGATACAGTTCCTTGACGAAACTACACGGGTTCTCATCGCCACATGCGGACCGAGGTCATTGACCAATGCTGTAAGAAATGCAGCCCATGATTGTTCGAGGCATTTTAGACCTACTATAGACATTTGTTCGGAGAATTACGACTGGTAATGTTAGAAAATTTCATGTTTATTATTTAGAAATGCGAGCGAATTCGACTGCTCTGCTGGCGAGCCAATGGATGATGCAGGGGAGTTTTTATGTGAGTGGGTTTCATCACCGTGAGAAAACCCACCAGCTCGTAAATCCGAGCAACTAGCGAGGTAGCCACACCCATGGTACAGTGTCGGAAAGGAAGGCATCTGGTCGTGTGACCGTTGCATGGGGGCAGATTGGGCAGCGTGATTTAAATGGCGCCTCACGAGGACCCAAGTCATCCATTGCCGCGTGGCATAATCCATAGTCTCCAATGTTTCAAGTCAAGATCATTTATTATATGGCTGGCAGTATGAGCCAAGATCCTAAAGTAACTTTTCCCGTTGCCCGCCCCAGAGCACCAATTTTCCCTATCTTAGACACCTCGCTAGTTCTAGCAAAGATTAACATATTTGTGCAGGCCATTAGAACACCGCGGCTTCCTCTACAAACCAGAGAACCGACCAGTTTGCAAGACCGATGACGCCCATCCCCCAGAGCGGAAAGCCGACGAAGTTATGTGCCAGACCCCAGCCGAGAGCTGATCCGCCTATGCTTGGTCCAAAAATACGGGCAAAACTAGAAATGCTTGATGCAAACCCATGGACCGTCCCCAGAAGCGTAGGACTCGGTGCGGATTCATTGACCAGAATCATAGAAGCAGGCGTGATGAAGACGCGAGCAAGAACCTGCAGTGATAGCAAAGCAGTAAGGCAACTCCAAATCACTGCCACGTCATCCGGAAGCAGGACTAGATAGGGTATCAAGAAGTAGGCGGCAATACTGAGTGGCAAGAACATGCGATAGGAGGCGAGTATTCCAAGACGAGCGCTGAGCACGGGGTAGAGCAGTATCTGGAGCGGAATCCCGATGCTGCCAAGTATAGTGTTCACCAAGCCCATACTCTTGCTCGAGAGGCCGAGACCGCCGCTGAATCTAAACGGAAGGCTTGCGTGTGAATTGTCGTACCTGGGGGTTGGAAGTAGACTGAAGAAGACTGTGTTGAACGCAGACCCGTGTAGGGCACGGAGGAAATGTTGCAACAGTGTGAAGCAGACATTTCTTGTAAACATGTCTCTGAATCTGGCCTGTTTCTTTACGGGTTCTGGCTCGCGCGCGATCACTGGTTGAGATGCGCTAGGAGATGTATTTGCTGCAGATGGAATGGGCTGATAATCATAGCCTTCTGGTGCTTGCCCCTTTTCCTGTCTGAAAACCTTTCGAACGATGAATTTCCCAAGCTCTCGGCCTGGATCAACCTTGTCTCGCCTCATCGGGTGCGTTTCATCCAATCCGAGGATGATACAGAACGCTGCCGCAAGAAGAACGGAGGCGCACACGACATTCGGAAGCGCATAAGGAAAT